TCCGATTCGCCTCCACTCGCGACGGAGCTCGCTCCTCCTGCAACGCATCCGTTCTAACGTGCTGTGTCCCGAATCCGAATCGCCGTTCCGAGGAACTGCAATCTTCTTCGACGTCCTTGACGGCAATCTGCTGGAGGAGATTTGATTCATGCTTCACGGCTACCTGCCAGAAGCTAGGGCCCCTGCTTAGGGACTAGGGACTCTCACTGGCAAGAGGCGCTTGCGGAGACTCCGGCCTCGTCTCGCCGGTGTCGGGCAGAGAGGATTCTTTCGCGTGTCTCGTGGTTCCAGTGCTGAGCTCTGGCCTTTTTGGGATTGCAAGGCGATTGCAGGCTGCAGGCATGTCGTCATGGTGCATGTTTTGACTCGGCGGGATGTGGGATTTGGCAGTGAGACTCGCGCCAGCGCATCTCGCTTCCAGCCAATCCTGTTGCACCGTTGCACCGCCAGGAGCTCGGGATTGCAGCAGACCAAAAAGAGCACACAATCTGGGAGTTGGCAGTCCTGTGGTCTTTCAGATTCATCTCCTGAGTGATACAACTTCCACAGAGTCTCCGGAAGGTCCGGCTGGCGGACGCCGAAACTGAGGCCTTCACCATTTTGTCTACCTCACGGGGAGCTTTGAGGTACGTTCCATCCAAAGGCTCCAGCGGTGGAGGAGGAGCCTGACAGAAAGATCCTTTGCCAGGCAACGTCACCGTGCTTTGCTGTGACCGTAGCCGTAGCTGGTATCCGCCTCGAACTTTCGGTGCATCCTGTAGTATTGCAGCCTGGAGTGCAGGCTTTGCCCCTCCTCCTCGTCATCGTCCTTTCGCACCTGATGTGACACAACATAGCTAGCCGTACTGCTCCTTTATTGAGAGAGCCGACGCCGTTCACTTCCCATGGATTGTTGCCGGTGCCTCGGCGGATTTTCCTGCGGAAAACCCCCCGCCCATGTGATCCGTGTCCACGCCCGCAATGATCCTTCTTTGCTTGTCTGCCTGGAACGTATGACGGAGCGAGTGTGGCCGTTGACTCGCGCTTCCCCAACATGCTCAACACCGGCAGAAGGACAAGAAGGGTAGAAACGCTGTCGATGTCTGCTGCAAGCGCTTTGGAGTCCACCGGCGGGGCCTCGAGCGGAAGCAAGTTGAAACAACTTTTTGTGCTTTCCATCACCGGGCTCGCCTTTCCGGGAGCAGCTTCAGAAAACCGCCTGGGCGAAGAGTTGCTTGAGGCTTGGGGGTGCAATGACTCGAAAATGCACGGTCCAACATGCCCTCCTGCCTGTCCCGGTTGTTCTTATCTCGAGGGCTTCCATCTGAGAAGCTAAACTGGTGGATGGCCTGCGAAGCTGAGAAGGTCTCACACATGTCGGCTTCCTGGTAGCGGCTCAAGGCTCAAGCCTTGTTGTTCTTCTCCACCACCTGCAGTACTACCGGAAGCGCAGGAAGCAGTCACCGCACACTTGGACTTGGGGACTTGGGGTGCGGCATCATTTTGACTGGCAACCATGGCCGAAACCGCCTGGCCACCTCACATCCCAGACGGAGACTCAGACTGGGCCAGAAATTAATCATTGGATGTCGTGGTCGTGGTTGCACCTCGTTCCCTGAAGCGGTAGAGCTTTTTGGCATAGCTAAACTGCCCACCTGCCATCAGCGCTCGTGTCTACACTGAGCGGGAGCTAGTGACCTGGTGTTCAGCATCAGCCTAAGCAACACCTACCGGCTTCGGCTTGGAGACGGAAAGGCCCAGTCTTTGCTCCTGTGTCTGTTCTGACAAGATCCCCCGTTCTGTCTCACCTGGAGCAGCCGTGGCCGCCATTGCCAGCAGCGATGGCCTGAACTATACGCTTCGCACATCTTCACACGCCACACTCTCCCCGTGCCCCTTTGCCCGATGCCTTCCGCTGTTGACGCGGCAGGATCGCGACATGGTCTCAGCGAGGCGCTCGCGCTGCCTCGGAGCTGAGGCAAAGTAAACCAAAGGCTCCCTCTTCTTGCGGCTGTGCTGAGGTCTCGGCACGCTCATCCGTCTCTCACTGAACATGGCCTCACCCTCGAAGGCTCCTGGAGCTGACTCAGTAGCCGCCCCAATTGCCGGATCCCTGCTCTCTCCTAGAACATCACTCGTGGGCTGGAAGTTGAAATCGCAATCTCTGAGCATTGCAGATGCCATGCCTCCAAAGCAGGTGGGGACCACGAAAGCTCAGAAACTTGCTGATCCAGGGAAGCAAAGCCTCTAGAAAGGACGGCCGGGTCGCGCACGGAGACCGGCTCGTTGTGCCCAGCTTGTTTTTGTGAGGAAGGTGCTGCTGATGGAAGGGTTGGGGGGGGTTAGAGGGTCTGCGCCTGCGTGTCAGTGCTTCTGGCTGCTCTGTCAAGCAGCAATGGAGCCGACGTGCTGCGGAAACACATCCGACGACTTAGGACATGGGACCTGGATTTATGATGCGGGAGATTCCGGATTTGAAAGAAGAGCGGGCGCGGTGCCTCGTTCTTGAGGTCGGTCCGACGGGCGTCGGACAGGCCGTGCTTCTTGAAGCTCTTCACAGCACACTTCTCGCCATCTGACAAGATGCTCTGCAAAGGCTGAGCTCCACCAAAGACAGGTTCAGCTGGCCTTTGCTGGTGGCCAGCTGAACTGGACCACTCATACCAGAACCCAGCACCTGAAGGTTCAAAGTCCGTCCGATTGTGAGAACCACTTCCGTTTGCCGGCACCTTGGAGGCAACCTTGTAGTCGTCTCTCAGCCGCCTCCGAACTCCAAGAGAGGTGACAAAGCGGCTTTCTGCACAAGGGCTCCTGCCTGTTCGTGCAGTATCGCCCTGTAACGGGGATCTTGCCCTTTTTCTCCATCACCTCGCCAGAGGCACTAACGTGAACAGCTCCTGAAATCAGCTGAACACTTGCTGCGAGCACAGGAATGGGAGCAAATGAAGTGATGAAGGTTCTTCAGCGGAACCCTGGATCCTCTGAGCTTCTCTGCCGCGGCCAATAGCTGCAACGACCGGCGCCAAGACATGTATACGCAGCTACAGACCAGCTTTGGCTGCACCGATGCCCGAAGCCTGGCAACCCACTTGACAGGACCTGCACAATTGTACTCGAGAGTGATGCCCCAGCTGACGCGGACGAGGCGAGAGGCAATGGAAAACACACACACACACACACACAGGCACAGGCACAGGCACAGGCACAGGCACACATCGTAAGTGCGAGATTGTGCAACTTACAAGATCAAGGACTGCAGGGAGCCGAAGAAGTTTTCAACAGCAGCCTCACTGAAAGGCAGGAACCCACGCCCCACACCTCTCAAGCTCAGCGAGATCAAGTCTGTCGACCCCCATCAACAGCCAAACGTCCGACAAGCGTCAGTCCAAGCGGGGTGGGTGCACCAAGGTACCAACCACCCACCGCGCAGCGTCCACGACCGGCAAAGGAAATCACCCTGCCTAAATTCCCTAGCCGCCAACGAACCTTAGCAAGACGAAAACATGCAAGTTGTATTTTGTCGGCAGACGGACCTCTTTGGTGTCGATCCACTTGGAGTCATTGTCCACAAGGTTCGACCTTTCGACTAACCGCTGCCGAAACTTCACAAATGTGGGGAGCTGACCGGCCTTCCTCCCTCCGTCTCCGAGATGCTTCTAGATGTGCCCAGAAACCTCTTCGGCTGCGAGCATTGAGACGGCTTTCGAAAAGAACGCAAGGCCTGGCCTCTGTGTCAGCGCACGGACACCTTCCACTAATCCATCTGAGCAGCAATCCATATTGGGCCACCGTGGTAGAATTCTAGAAAATGAGGCCATGTATTCTCCGCAGTCATCCACGAATGAACTCCTCGAGTCAGTAGGTAGGCTGCGCAACCGCGAAGGAGCTTGGAAGACTCATCGTCCTACATTATCGGCCGTGAGACAGTGCCAATTCACTCTGTGCAAGTGCATATGTATCGGTAGCATTGCTGAGACTGCTGACTGCTTGGTACAGCAAGCTTTACTAATGCTTCGGAAACGAGCATGTCTCCCGAGCAACATGCAAATGATCGAGACAACGTGGACATGCACATGCCAAAGTCTCAGTTGCTTGAGACATGTCACTTCCTTGTTTTTCGGCGAGGCACATTGTTCTACACCCGATTCCATCGACAAGCTAGGCTTGCAGGAACGAGTGAAGGTGTGAGACGAGAGCTACAAAGAACATGAGCTTGAGGCTGTCCGTTGAAGCGCCATAGAAGGCAAGCCAACCAGAAAGGCTCCAATCGACAGGTAGTATGAGCTGAACTTGGGCAGGCGCATCACATGCTTTGGCGAGGCAAGGCGCGGCTGGGGTGCGCTTAGATTGAAAGGGCTTCCCTCAGCGTGCCAACTTCTTGAAAGCCCTGGAACCTCACGGAGAAAACGCGGAGAAATGCAAAGACTACAGTTGGCTAGGCCCTAAGGCAATGGAGCGTCTGACAACGTCTGAGCGCTTTTCCGATCTTCGGGCAGCGGTGTGAACGACAGCGGGGCCTGCCCAACCTGGCTGCCACGAACGACTGCTTGCGACAACTAGGCATCTATGATGCCGACGGCGAGAACGACAACAACGGCGGTGGCGGCTGCAGCTGTTGCAGCCACTACTCTCAAAACCACCAGGAACATCACAGAAGTCAAGAAGAAAGGCCGATTGAAGCACAACACCACCGCCAGCAGCACCAGAACCAGAACCAGCACCAGCAACGACGACAACCACAACAACACCACCACCACCACCACCACCACCAACAACAACAACAACACCAACAGCGACAGCAACGCCACCAGCAACGACGACAACAATAACAAGAATAAACCAAACAGCGATAAACAAATAACAGTTCCCATGCTGACAGTAACAAGGCGAATAAGAACAATAAGAATAGCAATAACACTAAGGATAAGGACAATGACAAGGCGAAGACTACGACCCTAACCTATAGAGCCTTGGAATGCTCTGCAATGCCCCGCAAGTCTGTGTTTCAGGTACCGTGGTCCTCACAATGTACAGCAAAAGTGATCACACCAGCAACACCCCAAACGGCAGCACCATGATTTCAGAACTTGATATCCTACTTGATGAAGAGCAGGCAACCCTGGAAGCACCGGCCAAGCCTCGAAGGCGATGGGCCGTTCTGTGGGCACCTGAAAACAGGAATGTGTCAAGTTTGTAGGGTTTAGGAACTACTGGAAACGCCCCCAGACATGTACATCAGGGCTCTCATCTCTCCTCCTTTGCTTGCAGAAGTGTGGATTGTGCGGCTGAAATTGCTTTTGGAGCTGAGATTGCTGGCCTGCCTCCATCAATCAGGCCAGTACTTCTGCTCTTGCTGCAGCTGCCCCTAGACTTGGACTTCCTCTATGACAGAGTAGACCGCCCCCGGTCGCCGGCGCCGCGCCTCGGCCTGCACTGCGCGGCCCGATGCCCCTCGGCCTCGCTCAGCGCCGACCTTCGGCGGCGCCTGCGCCTGAGTAACAGCCATCATTAAACAAGGTGTGGACATGTTTCTTGTGCCTGTACTTGCATGCACAGATGCAGCCTCTTACATTGCATCTTTAGTTGCAGCACATTCACAGCAGGTATATCTTTCTTGCTACGAAGACTGACCCTGCTGCCTGTCACAACAGTGCGAACTGTCAGCCTCGCTCTGGGCTCGGTGACGATGGCGAGCACGATGATGATGATGATGATGATCGTGAATGTGATGGTGGTGGTCGTGGTGGTGATCATGATGACGAAAGTTATGATGACCATGTCGCTATTCAGTCTGTCGGTCATGCTAGCAAACTGACGATGGTTAATGTTCTGAGCACTCGTCCATGTTCAACTGTGAGTATGATTTGTGGGTGTGTGTTTTAGTTGTGGTGGTGGTGGTGCTGCCGCTGTTGATGCTGCCTCCAGTAGTAGCCCTGCGCAGTAGGAAGCCTGTGTTCCGGTGGCAGTGATTGAACCAAGGCCACACAGGCCCAAAATGGCCCAAAGTCACGGTGTGTCAGGCCTCTGCCCGGCTGTCGGTTTCCAGCACGTCCGTCAGCGTGCCTCGACTCGCGCATGCTGACATGGCCGTCCGTTGTCGGAGCCCAATCCCGGCCTCCGACTTCTGCTGCCTTCAGGGCCTGCTTCGCAGCGATGTCGGCCTTGATTTGCTCGACCTCTTGCCTGTTATGCAAAGATGAGAGCTTCGAGAAAGGGCTGAGCAATCCAGAATGAACCTCAAAGCAGGCGACAGCTGCTCCTTCAGCCGGAAATCGGTACCCCCTGCAACGACTCCGACCAGAAGGTCGCTTTTGAGCAAAACTTGATTCAGTGACAAAATTGACAACACAGGCACCTGAGGACAACTTGTCGTTCGCAAACTGGGATTGGTCCTAAGCACAGATGCCGCTCGGCTTGCCAACATGTTTCCAAAAGAGTCGGCCAAGTGTCTGCATGAAAGACACCTGCACTCGGGGATCCATTGTCTGTGGCATTCTCGTATTCCTGAAGCTGGGATGATCCGGTCCGAGTTTGATCCATTGCTATGAAGTTCATAAGCCTGCCTCTGTCCCTGCGACATCCTCACCCGTGGCAACATGCCCTGCATTCCCTGCAATGGTGAAGGGATCTGCGTCTGGTCGCATTTCAGTATCTTCCTGAGGTCAGCAGCGTAGCAGAGCTTGCTGTTGAAACACTGACATCAATCACAATCTCAGCAGTCCTGAAAGCAACAGTTACCGTCGGCCGGAAAGCACATGAACATCCACCTTGAACTGCTTCGGCGTTTGAATGGTTTACTGTCTGGCGCTGCTTGCCAATTTAAGGACACCACAGGTGGGAATCATCTGTCTTCAAGTTCTTGGCCTGCGACGAGTCCAGCAGTCTTAGTGGAACTGAATGCAAGCTTACAAAAGTGACCCGAGAACACGGATGTACGTGTGGACTTTGTGTCAAGCTTTGGGGAGATATGCTGCATGGCAGGGCCACGGTTGCGGCGGTGTCTCAAGAGTGCCGGTTCTGCACCAATCTGTATCCGGCCTTCCTCTTTGGGGCCTCCGCTATGTTTGTTGTAGCCTCCATGCCGGCCTCAGGTAGAAGGAAAGGAGCAAGCCCGGAGGACAGCAGTGTTTGTTGTTCAACCGACTGAATGCCAGCGACATCTCTCCCTGCACCTGTGGCTCCACTGATTCTCAGAGCGTCCAAGCAGTGCGCTGCTGGCAGTTCACTAGTACACAGATGCTCAAAGCAGCCCGACAGCAGCAAAAACGACCATGCAAGCACGCGCAAAAGCGGAAAAACTCAGCAAGACGACTGTGCTCCCGACGGGCTCTTCTACCACCAAAGCCGAAGCATTGAATTCTCGGCAGTCGTACTTACCTAGCTCTTGGAGTTGTTGCACGCATGCCGCGGTGGTTTGTTCATGGCACGAAGGCTCAGAGTTGTGCCGAGGGTCTAAGGTGAGCATGATGTGGGCTTGGCGGCTTTAAATGCCCTGGGTCACTTGGGAGTTTGGTGGAGAGGTCTTGGTAGCCTCTATCTGGGCTGTGCCTGCGCAGGTTCCAACAACTCTAAAGCTGGCAGCCATGAGTCCTGAGCCACACTCCCTCTCCTGGCATGGTATGTTCCTGCAGCCATCAGCGAGGTGACAACGGACGGCTGCTCCGATTCAGGTCTGAGGCAGGCTGCTTCAACTACCAGCGATTTGCGGCCGAGGCCTCTTTTGGCTCTCTGCAGTGCGCCACTTAGCAGCTTCGCCGACTGGCCCGTGATTGCCCTTTGGGCATCGCCGCAGCAGGCGATTCAGCTGCGTCCTCCCAGATGTCCGTGTTGCCTCTACTCCGCTGCGGATGTCGTTGACCGGCGACTTTCGGGAGCCCAGCCCTTTGGAACCTTCTTCAATGGGAAAGGCTCGGCTACAGACCAACAGCGGGAATAGGCTTTGGCCTGCATCTGCTCTTTCAAGCAGCAGCCAAATCTTTTAACCTCCTCTCTGACAGAGATCCCTCCCTGCAAAGGATCCACGATGCACAGTATGGCAGTGTCCTCTACCATTCTGGATCCAAGGAATGCCTTGGCTTTCGCCTGGTCCAGAGGTGTCTCCACCTTGCATATCTTGGGATTGAAGCGGGCGACGAAGTCTTCAAGAGAAGTTTGATTTCTGATTCGCAGTATGTCATGCCATGCAGGAAGCCAGATAACACCCCTTCGATGCTTAACAACAATACAACTGGGGCAACGGGCACTGCATCCGGCTCCATACCTGCAATGCATGAAGTAAACATAGAGTTCATTCCACCACTGCTGCAACGTCACGTGCCCGAGATTTGGTTTGGGCTCTGGAGCTCCGGTAAGAAGTCTTGCTGATTTTGCGGCACGAACGCCCACTCGTTTGCATGTCTTCCCGGGCTTTGGATGCATCTCTCTCCTTCAGTGACACCATTTCATGTCACGCCAAACGTAGCAGCGCCGGCCATGTGCCAGAGGAACGGCGCTCCTCAGTGACTGCCTGGCACTGTGCAATGGATGAGCGCTACTGTATGGAAGCATGCGGCGAAATCGACAGCAAGATCTAAACTCAACTTCCCGGGCTTCCGATGTAGGACCCACGACTTCCGCATCTTTATTGGTTCAGATGGGACTGCTTCTTACACAAAGCTCTGGCTTTTCTGAGGCGTCGACCTTGTCGGCATCTGACATGAACTGAAGCTCATGTCGCACAGATCACACAACACCAGCTGAAGAGGCCTTTAGGTCACCCAAGAACTGAAGCAGCGAAAACGACAGTGTACTTCCTTCCGTTTCCTGCTTGAGAGCCAATCTGTCGAGCGTCAACTGCAGCATCTGGGTCATAACTCGGACTATGGAATCTAGCACGGCCGGATATCCACATGACAGTGACTCCCGTAGTGTCCACAGCCTAAGCTCTGCTGCTGTTCTGGCGACTGAAACTCGGGGCACACGATCCTTTTTGCCACTGAGAAGATTTTCCCGGCTGTTCAGCTAAACTTGCGCAATGAGTCTCTTGCTGATGCTCCCTGTGGCAACGGTCGCTTGAACCAAGCATTTGATAGCAATGGTGGTTGTCAGTGTGACTCTGATGGTCTAAGTAGAATATTTACACCTTGCGCTGGCTATCAGCATTGCCATGATCGTTGGTGCTTTTTTGATACTACTTACCGGTGGCGGTGATCACGAGCACGATCATGTCTTTTGCATTTACAATGTAAGTCTAGTCTTCTTCATCCGCTCGGCTAGTCGTCTTCGTCCAAGGGCCTCGGCCTCACTCGTTCGCTTGCCTCCTTCCTCTTCTGAGCCCACTTTCGGGCTTCCTCCTCCTCGTTGCCGGGCGTGTCGGGGTCCTCCTCCTGAGACAGAGCTGGCTCCAGGGCTCAGGGGCACATGCGAGGACCTCCGTTTCTAGAAGTTGCCTCTTGGTGGCGGTATCACAAAGTTAGTGTCAGATGAGAGGTCGCCTGGAAGACATAGCCGCCCCCAGCAACACCGCCCTCGCGGCGGGGCCGTGCAGGACCAGCAGTTCCACCAGGGGACACCTCGTGGGCCAGGGCTCCGAAGATTTTCACCACATGTTGCGGACCGAAAATGAAGGGATTTCTGGGAACAGCTCAATTGAAAGCATCTATCCTGGCCTTGCCTCTTACACCCACCAGACCTCTGCTGAAGTCAATCAACCATGAATCAAGAACGGGTGCGATCCCAACAGTCCCCCTCTCCAGCAGGATTAATTATGAGGATGCCCCAGCTGTCAAATCGGCCCTGCGACACATGCTGTACTACCTGTGCAGAATTCCGTCTGGTATGTCAGGGCCTGCTTGCCGTAGACGCGCAGTCCGAGCTTCATGAGCTCGAACCGTAAGACCTCTTGCTGATGGCTGAAGCTGAAGGGGGAGGTCAGCCATCAAGCCCTGCAAACTACTTCTGAATGGCTCTTCCAGAAACTGCCCCCGCGAAAAGGCAGGCAAGCAGCATCCACTGCTTCTTTTAGCTGGACGTAGTCGCACTCAGCATCATCCTTCAAGGCTTCCTGACATCCCGTCTCACGGGCTCCAAAACCACTCAGGATACGTTCGAGTCCCGAATGCCGAAACTTCCGCCTTTACAGCTTCCAGCTTTGGCTGCAACGTAATCCGGGCGTCAGTGGGGGCTTTGTAGCCTCACGCAACTGTAGCTAGCAACGGCTTCATGAGAAATTTTGGCTGATGCCGGTGCAGGTCCGAGCCTAGTTCAAGCAGATTCTGCTCTGTCTGCTCAAGAAGGTTTGCAGCTGAATACCTGCACTGCAAGACACTCGCAAAAAACTCCCACACTTATCCTGGCTGCTTGTAACCCCTTGGTCGTCGCACCTCAACTCCAGCCTGAACTTGGCCTCCTCGTCGTCGAACTCCTTGTCCTCAGCATCATCTAAGATGCGCTGCACCTGCGCGGCCCGAGGCTGCATTGACTACAACCGGAACTGTACGGGCATGCTCTGGATAAATTGGCAGTCAGACCTCCTCATCGCCCAGGGTGGAAGAGTCCTATGTCGCAGGACACATAGGCATAGCGTTGATTTATTACTGAACCTCGCAACATACCTCGATTTTTTTCCCAGTAAGTCTACAAGGCGCATGATTTGATAGCTGCATGCAAGATGTTAAGACATCAGTTCCTGGATCTTGATGCTCTGCTGCTGGCGCGTGCCCCAGTCTTTGGCTGCCACTGTGAGGATGCCCTGCCGAAGCGATGATCTGCGTCCCGATTCCGTTCTGTGCCTAACACGCAGCCTCCACGTCAATGTCGAAAGAGACTTCAATCTTGGGGACACCTTCCGACCGCAAAGGTTTGAAGGAGCTAAGCTCAAGCAGTCAGTTCTTGACCACTCTCTTCTCGGGGTCGTTGGCCTTTGGGCGCTGTGGGGATGCCGTCCAGCCGGAAAGTGCCGAGCTTCTTGTTGTCTTTGGCAAGGGGCCGCTCTCCCTGCAAGACCACCACCTGACATGCAGCTGGTGCATGCACTTAACCTGCAGTGGAGATTACATCGTGCCAACGACTTGTATGTGAGGATGCATGAAAGTTGGCGCACACACATACGTGGATAAACAGACATGTGTATGCACAACCAAACATACGCACAGATGCACACAAAAATACCAATACATGTACCTATCTGATATGCATGCATCCGTCCATCCGTACACTGACATGCATAACATACACCACATGCATAGTGCACAGGCTCATGAAACACTGGATTACACATGGAAAGAGACAGCAATACTGGCGAATTACAAGAACGGCTCTTGCACGATGACAGCCACGTAACATCACGTAACAGCCCGGTTTTTTACCCACTGCTACACGGCTCCTTCAAGCCTCGATGGCATCTTGCGCGTCGGCGGAAGTGGTGAAAACCCTCGTCGCCTGCCACAAGCAGAGATGGCCCTTGGAATCTGCACACTTCTGGGATCAACATCACGCCTATCACTGTCTTTCGAACTATCAATCGCTGTTGGCTCAACATCCTCATCATCATCACCGCCCACACATGTCTTCGTAGTCCTGGTTACCCATCACGACTCTCTTCAATCGTCACCACTGCTGCCGCCGTGTCCTAGAATCGGCACCACACCCCCCGATGCCTACGGTGATAAGGAGGCTCACAGCCAGTCAGCGCTGTTGATTTAGTTGTAACCGTTGCCAAACCAGCCATGGCAGCATTCGAAGCAGTCATACTCAGGCGGGGCATGCTATGACGATTATGTTTGGTACACTGACAAGCACACCACAGATGGCATGATCATTTGTAATTTTGTTCTGAGACTGATGATGACGATGATATCACCATCATCGCCGCCGCCCTGCCGCCGCCGTTACTGTATCGTTATCATCGTGTTCTTGATGATGCCGCTGCTGAGGATGCTGATATTGATGTGACTGACAACAGCAACAGCTTCAGAAGTGATATTGACTGTTGCGATATGAACTTCGTGATGAAAATAACTGCAGCCATGCTGAACAAACGGAGACAGACAATGGGACACTTATGATGACCAGCAGCACCCCCACAGTCATCATTAGCAGCAGCAGGTCCACGATGTCTCATGGTCATCACTCGCTATCAGCATCACATGAACACACTACGATTGTCATCATCTTCGTGAGGCTTCTTCGTTCCGGGCCCAGCCTTCCAGGGCACGGCGGTACCCCGCTCCATGACGGGCGAGAAAACTCCTCCATCAGTCTCCACGCCCAGAGTCAGCGGGGTCACATCGATGAGCATGATGTCCTTCACCTCGCAGCAGTCTTGAGCTCCTCTTGCGCAACTTTGAAGGGTGTGGAGTCAGAATCTCGCCTCCCCTGCGATCATGGCGGCTTGGATGGCGGCACCGATGCCCACCACCTCGCGTAACACTGTGACAGAGAAGCCAAGCTCTGATGGCCAGTAGACCTCGTCGGGACTGATGGAGATGTTCATTGGCTTGAAGGAGCTCAGCTCCTGCCCCGCCGGTGCTGCTGTGCTGCTGTGCAGTCCGACAACCCCCCAAAGGCACGTCGCTTTGTTCTCCTTGGCCAAGTTTTGGACTGCTGGAATCCGTGTTGAGCCGCCCACGAGGATGACCTGCTGCTCAAATCCGAGGCAACGGCAGATCATGCAGTGCAGTGTCCCCGGCCTCGTGCAGATTCTTGGGCTTGATGCGCGAGTCCTCTTGGTGGCTGGTAACACCATTACTGGAATCGCGGCAGGCAGTGCAGCCAGAATCAGCAATGGAGCCTGCAAGGCTTGCCTGACTGGCTTTTCAAGGCTTTCCAGCAAGTCTCCGCAAAGATCCTCCAAGGCTCGTCCAGCGGAACAAAGCACTGCGACAGCCCGCAGCGAGAGGCCCAGGTCCTCAAACTGCTCTCTTTGAAGAACCTCCTCAATGTGCTTTGGCCCAGTCTCGTCGGCCGAAATGAAGGGCACGGAGAGCCGCACCTGGGCCGCGAAGAGCTGGGCAGCGAATGCCGCCTCGCCCTGCCCTCTGCCCTGGCCTCATTCAGGGAGGAGAGCTCGATCTTCGCCTTCTCGCTGGCTTCTGCAAGGCGCTGCAAGGCCTGCTTGTCCTTGACTGCGGACGCTTGCGTAAGCAAGGGCGGCCCTCCGGACTCCGAGTTCTACCGCCGAGGCGCGCTTCGGAGGTCGAGGCCGGTCTCCTTCTCGAAGTTCTCGAGCAGCCAGCCCATGATCCTGCGATCGAAGTCATCGCCGCCAAGCTGGGTGTTTCCGTTGGTGGCCAGAACCTGGCTTCCGCTTCACGGATTCACCAGGACCACGAGACCGCTTCTGGACCAGAAAACAAGATCTGTGCCTCGCAGATCCCATCTCCAGCCTGCCGGGGGGGGTTCTTCAATTCCTGCGGTCCTAGTCCGGCGGCCAGAAAGCTCCTCTCGAACAAGCGCCTCCATGACAGAGACATCAAACGTGCCGCCGCCGAGATCGAAAACAAGCAGGTAGGACCTGGCAAGTTGTCCCCAGTGGTCACCAGAAAGCGGGAAGCTGGGGCCAACGCGAGTTCTTCTGGTCCAGACCGTACCTCAGCAAGCATCGCGGACGCCTCAGAGTCGGGTTCTTTGGCGCCGTGATCTGGCGCACGCTAGGGCCGCCATTGTGGGCTCGTTGCAGATCCTCATGACATCCAGGCCAGCAAGCTTTCCAGCTGTCTTTGTGGCTTGTCTTTGGGAGTCATCGAAGTACCTTGTCACTGAAACGTGAAAAGCTTCACAACGAAGGCCTTGGAGCATCTTGGGGCACGCTGGGACGGTGATGACGGCCTTCCTGATGTTGGTCTGCAGGAAGGCTTCTGCGTCATCGCGCAGCTTCCTGTTCGGCGGGGACGAAACTTCCGAAACCAAAACAGGTGCTACAAGATGCGGGGTTGCAGCCTGAGGACTTGAGCGGAGACTTCCTCTGGAGCGAGGTCGCGTCCGAGAGCGGGGCAGTCCAGCCTCACCTCGCGACAAGCCGATCCCGGAATATGAGACCCCACACCCGATCGTGTTCAGAAGCTGATTCGCTCGCTGGGTCACATTGGAAGACGTCTGGTCGTCATCCCAGGTTAAAATTTCATTTCTGCTGCTCTCAGAAATTTGATCACGAACACGATTGAGAAGAGATCTGAACTTCCGGAAGCTTCAGGCAGCTGCAGACTAGACCTCTCTACTGCCCTGTCAAGCGCCTTCCCGTCCGCATCCCTGAGGTGGTACGGGATGGCTGTGGCTGCCTCCGCCACCTCGATGGCCCGACCGAGCAAAAAACAAGCAACGGCCGGCCCGACCTACCTTCTCGTGCACGAACAACCGCATGTGCCTCTGCATATTCTCTGCCGAACCATCGCTTCACCGAAGCGAAGGTGTTCAGCGGATTCAAGGCCGCCTGTAGCCCCAGGCTTGCCAAGGATCTCATCCGGTACCAGCCGTCCAAGCCTGTCGCTTGGCGGTCGTCCCCACAAGGATCTCTCCATCTTGGGAGTATGCCACCACCTCAGCTGCGGCAGATCTGCTTCGATACGCTCGGTGCCAATGAGCGTCTGTTGATAAGCTTCCGACGCTCGGGGTTGTGCGCTCACCCTCCCATGTCCACAAACTCACACATTTCCCACTGTAAATACTTATCCATGCCAACAGCGACCTTAAGTGGTACGAGGAATGCATCCTTGCTTTCGACTGGAATGTATGACTTTGACAAGAAGCTGAGGACCGTCTCACACCTCGCGTTTGACCTCGCCTCCGCGTTGGGGATGATAGCCGGCGTGGCCGCTTCCACGGCTGCCACGACCGAATTGCTGGTGCCCAGGTCAATGCCCACCACCTTCCGCACAGAACAGAGCAGATGCCTAGGCCTAAACAAAGCGAAGCACTCGAGGAGCAGTGCCTTCTCGCCCAGCTGAACTGCCTGGGCTGTACACTTGCTATGGCCATCAGGACGGAAGTCGTGAGATGTTGGGGGCCGGGCTCTCCGCCCTGCTCTGGACGACTCCGAGGACGCTCTGCCCCGCCAAGAGGGCAGCGGGAAACCGATTCCAAGCCCGCCCACCGCCCGCAAGCCGCGGTGCCGGCGGTGGGCGTAGTGCGAGACCAGGCCAGTCCCGGCCAGCAAGGCCGCTAAGGAAGCCGGTCGTCTCTCTTCGGATTTGGGCAGCCGAGGTGGTGCAGAGCAACTCGCTCGTTGAACTGGCTCTGCACGCTCCAGCGCCAGGATCGGCTCCATGGCTGAAGTTCTACGATGTGAGATTCCGTCAATGCAGCTGTCTTCATCTGGGATCAGGCTTGCGTTGGACCTGAGCTCCTGTCGACAGTGGTGATGCATGCTGCCCGCCGCATAAGCAAGCTGCAGCATACACGGTTCGCTGGCGACTGGTTTGCAACATTCCCATGCAGGCAAGCAGACCAGGTGAGTGCCTTTCAAGCGAACTTGGATCAATGAATCCTCCCCTTCCATGCTGCTTGACAGCTTCACCGCGCGATAGCGATCTAGGACTGCCGCCTGTGCTGACTGGCTGTGATCTTGAGATTCATGCAATGTGAGCTGGAGGACGTACAGTACAGGGTCTATACGTATACATACATGCATTGGAATACACCAGGCTGTAACTATTCTGCACTAGAATAAACAGAATAGAACAGAAGAGAATGGCACAGCATATCATAGCGTGAAATAGCATAGATTGGAATACAATGCAACACATCCCCTGCCGGTAACATGTTTCAGCCGCAGCAGGGCTTTACAACAACACGAGTGGTCCTCAGAACTTCACGAACAGCTCGCGACAATATGACAAATCCTTCACATCTTTCAATCGCGAGGATTCACACGGACCAACTGCATAAACATCATTACAGTCCAGCCAATCCTGCGCGCAACTAATACGGAACATTCGGCTATGAAAACTCTTAGGAATACAGCCTTGTATTGGTGGACTAAGTTTCTAGCATGTCATCTCAATTCACACCCGATGTGCGTGGAGCATTCCACGACGGCGCACACACGACTCTGAATTGGACATGGGTTCCTGCACACAGACTCTGAATTTCAGGTCTGTGAACAGGCACTATGAACAAATGAGGGCACAGACACTGCAATGGACCTGCCCCACACCTGCCGCTAAAACCGCAGGGCAACTCGTTTGTCCACAGACATCGGTGCATGAAGGCTTCCGAGCTCGATTCAGTGAGCTCGCTGTGCGTTGCACTTGAGCTTGAAGCCCTGGCGAAGTCGGGCAGTTGCCAATGCAGCATGAACTGAAAGGCGGCAAGGGCGACACGTTGCGAGCCTGCAGCCTCTCAATGCACTCCGAGACCTCCTTCAAGTTTTCTCGGACCTGGCATTCCGAACCAGTACTGCGCAGAGTCTCAGGTCATGTTTTGGGAGCTCCCAAAGCCTTCGTCACCTCTCCTTCAAGGCGCTCTCGCCGCGCCTGTAAATTTCCAGCAAACTGTTCGGACGGAGCATGTTCCCACAGGTACCTTGTAGTTGGTCTTGTCCGCATCGGAGAGTGAGATCTTGTTCATGTCCTCCGACGCGAGAAGCGTGTGCTGCACAAGGAATCGGCAAGGAGGTGCCGATGCTGGAAAAACAACTGGAATATGCGTCCACATCGTCGTCCTCTTCTAGTCGACGCAGCATCGGCAGCTTGAAAAAGGACTCTGCAAACAGTTCTACCTTGCTCATGCTCGTTTCGCAGGCACGCAAGCCGGTGCTGTGACGGCATACAAAGCCGGCCTGATCGCACACCTGGGATCTGATGAAGCTGTACGTCTTAAGGACCAGCATTTGGACCTTGTCGACTGCCTGAAGCGATGCCAGGAACTAGGAACAGCACTGCCGTGGGCCGTGGTGCAAGCGACATCTCAAACGCAGCGCTGCTTGCCTCGTCGATCTGATGAGACTCCGTGGGGATTTCGAGCAGCCACTTGGAGAGGGTGCTTTCGATCCCGGACCGGCTCTGGATCTCCTTTGGAATCCTCTCCTACCGCGATACTTCGATCCGATCGCAAACACACATCGCAAATCCTCAGCAGCAAAGGAAAGCAGTCTTCTGAAGCCTTTGTGTCGTCAATGGAAGGAAGTGCAGCGTCGGCATCCTCCTCGTCGGATTCGGCATGTCGGAGTGTCAGAATCCGCAAGGTGACTGCAGGAGCGAAAGCGGCCTCCTCTGCGTAGCCTCCGTAAGTCGCACCCTTGAGGAACACCCACGGGTTGGCAAAGGTGGACCTGGAAGTCTGGAAGCATGCGCCGGTCACTGGCAACGACAGGTTGAGCAAAGGAAAAACCTCAAGACCGCTCGCGTTTGTGATCAGATCTCGCACTGCGCTCCTTATGCCTACTTCAGAAGTTCATGATCCACACCATGCTCGTCCCCTCTGCCGGCTGACGTGAGCATGTTGTCGAACAGCTCGATGAACTGATTCAACTGGCGCTGGCAGGCCTTCCACGACTGTGCATTCTGGACGGTGTACTTGCTCACTGCTAAGCTACGAGCCAACATGACATGAAGTGTTTGCTAGTGTAGATTCAGGAGACACTGTCGAAGCGAAGTGGATCACCCCAGCAGTCGTGGCGAATGACTGCTGCAGGATTGCTTAAGGTGTCTACAAATGCTGAAGCCTGATCGTAGGTAGAGAAGACCAGGTGCTTGATCATCTCGTTCTGTTTAATGAGCTTCACATTCTTCCAGAGAAGGCTGGAATACATCGTCGCGCTCGGGTTCCCCTCCAAGCTGGCCATGAAGTCGATGACGGCTTCCTGCTTTTCGGAAGTCTTGGGCTTCGCTTCGCGGGAATGCAGCCTTCCAGCCTTTTGGATCTGGAAGAACCATTTGATGCGCTCACCGACGTACTGCACTCTTCCTGAGCGACTCCACGCTTCCTTCCAAACAGAGTGTGCCTTGAAGCCGTGACCTATCTGGGTAGCTGACTCTGCAAAGGCAGATGCGCTTCATTACTCAGGAGCTTCACCACCACATCGCGCCAAGTTAAGGAACTCATCGAGACGCCGCGCGCCTGGATGCTCGAAGGAAAAGGTTGCAGTGTACGTGGTCTGGGCTCGAAGACGAAAATATACGAAAATACACTGCCCGGCCTGGATCACGTCACGCTTCTTGGTCTCCACGGCGATCTCGGAAAATCGGAGGAAAATTTCGACCTGTCTCTCCAGGGCACGATACCAGCGTCACCGCCACCCCCCACACACACTTGCTTGACTCAGATGCAAGCTTCAGACATGACGCGGCGGAACTGAGCACCGCCGTTGACCTGCACTGGCTTACAAGCTGGGGCCTGACGAGAAGCTTTCGCTCAGACGCCTCTGCGTCCGAAGCACCGACTTGTATTTCGTTTGTCAGATACCTCCCAGAGGCGTCTGAAGTCTGAGGAGGCTTTGCAGCTGTCGCGGCAAAGCCGGGGCTGGCACTCTATGTAATCATCTAAATCACGAAAATCCTCCGACGGAAGCATCACGAAGTGATCGGATCCGACCTTGTGCGACATCTTAGAAGGCCGATCTTCACTGGTTTCGTAGGGACGGGGCCTTCAAGTGATGGTCATGAAACGATCTGAGCTCTGCATCGAGCTTCATCCGCCCGGTCATTAAGTTCGGGATACCCTGCAGCACAAGCGCGTGTGCACGTACTGTGTTACCCTGAACCTCACGTAGAAGGGAGGCACGAAGGCACCTCCATGACGTGCCTCAGGGCCTGGGCGAAGGACGTCCCACATTCCCGAGTGGTGCTCAGGATCCTGCACAGTTTCACAGCCGTGCCAGGTGGAGCTCACACCACGAGTGACATGAACACGTGGAAGGCGCGCGCTCGCGCGCTACGTGCAGAATGGGCAGTTCTTCTTTTCGGATTTGCTTCTTCCAACTTTCTGTCGTGACTTCACTGTCCGAAGCTTCTGGCACGAACGCAACGTTGCATCCGAGACTGCGATGACAGGCCAGGGGTGTCTCCGTCAAGAGCGAAATGCTTCCCTGTACCACTCTGTCTCCTTGTGCTGCAAGTGCGATTTTGCAATGGAGGTGCTCAATCGAGGATGGAAGCAAGACCTGCACTGCATTTCTCTTTGACTTTCTTGCATCGGGCTAGGTTTTGGAGTTTGGGATACGACGATGTGCGAGATACTGCATTTCTCTCTGACTTTCTTGGCCTTAAAGATTTGGAGTACGATCATGAAGTTCGCCCTTTCCATGTCATCATGCTGCAACTTTCGTACTAGACTTGTGCGATAAACAACCCTCGGTCCCACCTGCAGAGAGGTCTTCCTCCGGATGGTCTCGGCGGTAGTCCAGCAAATCTGCGAGCCCAACTCCGGGCAGACGTCGGTGCTCCGCCCAGAGCTCCAAGTTCTCGAGATCCAAACCCCACTGCTCCGCTGCCGCAGAAGCGATAGCACCCATCCGAGCTCGCTTGGGCGCCTCAAGCTCCGAACCCATAAAGTGACCCAGGCCGATGCCAGCCCCCGCGTCTGCAGAGGTGCCTCAGTGGTCTGCTTCGGCATCCTTCCTTCGACACACTTTCGGAAGCAACTCTAAACAGCCGGTTCTGCCGAGCTACTTTTCGTCGCGGGACTTCCGCCGGCCAAGTCGGCGCCAGAGATTTGACTCATCGCACGGTGGCTCCGTTTCGTGCGCAGAGCGCTCAGCCGGGGGCTGCTTGTCGTACTGGTGCCACCGGCTTTGTCGGCCTCCCGGGTGGTGGCTTCCTCCACGCAGCCTCCAGCAACCTCTGCCTCGCTGTCCTCAGTGGCTCAGCTCAGCTGAGACTTTCTCCACAACACACTTTCAGAAAAGAACTGAGAATTTTTCCCCCAGCAGCTCTCCGTGGCCGTGTGCGCGACGGCAGCTGCTCCCGAGACGCCGAGAGTGCAGTACTGTCGGCACAGACTGTTGGGATCTCCATGAACTCCGACAGGTGCATTGATTGGTCAGTCTTGTCAGAACGCTGGGTCTAGCTTTTTCTTCGTTGTTAGGGATGTTCGAGTCTCTACACGGCTCCTCCTGTAAGACCGGCTCTGCTGCCTGGTACGAAGTGTGGGCCTATGTCCTATGTGCCTTTCTCACCCGCTGATGGAGCGAAATGGCCAAGCTCGGTCGAAAAAGCATGCACAAAGAGCAGCCAATTGCTCCCACAGAGATGTTATCTTCGATTGTTGTCCGGATGGCAACTGATCGAAAAGCGCCTGTGGGGGTCCGTCTCCTCGTGCTCAGTGACCAGGCTTTGCTCCTTGGAGGTCCACTTGGCCTTGCACCGCGGAAAGGGACCCCCGCACGAGAAGGAGGCAAGTCGAAGACTTCTGGGCGGCGCCTTCAGGTCTTTCAGCTTGTCGAGCACAGGGTTGATTGCATCAGCAAACATATGCTCGATCTTCTTCTCCATGAAATTGGCGAAGGACTGGAAGCCGATAGTCTGAAGCAACCAGCGCGGGGGCACCGTGCAGTGGAATTTCACGCAACATGCTGGATCGCCAAGTGCCTGCCTCTAGGTACTGCGGCTTCAACATCCGGTCCCTCATCTCCTTCACGTCCTGCCAAGGCGGAGGCATTCAGCGTATGCAAGAGGCTTTGCTCCCAAAGCCCGCCGTCCTTTTGGTTCATGTCGTCCCGTAGCTTCACGAAAGAATCAGCCGGACAGACCTCTCCATCCTCCACAAAAGAGAGAAGCTAGTGTGGCGACAAACCAAAGACCAACCTCATCCCTGGGGAAACAATGTTCAGGAGCCTGCCACCAAGGAAGCGTCAGGGCGAAACGGACCAAGTTTTCGGGTAGGTCGCCGAAGCCGTCTACCCATTGGTTGACGTTGTCCTTCCTCAAGGGGCGGAGTTTGCGCTGCAGCCGAGAGCCTAGCGGCTCCTAGCACATTTCTGCAACAGTCATTCTGCTTTTGCCCAGCCACGTCAGGTCGGTATAGTACTTGTCCAACTTCGTTCGAACGAGAATGGTCCTGCTGGCCGAGATCGGGGGACGCGAGGAAGACAGCGGTGACGCAGCATGCTCCCTCCGCTCCTCTGAAACTTGGGGTCGATCTTTCGGCACTTGCCCAAAGTGGACATGGTGGCCGCATCCCCACACTGGGCACAAGGACAATTAAACATATTCAATATCAATATCTTGACTGGAACGGAAAGCAAATCAAAGGCTCAGACCTGCTCGACACAAAGCATCACGTTGCGAGGATCCCGCATGAATTGCATCACGAGCTCTTCGATCCTTGCACAAGTGAGCCGGCGACCCTTTCGGCGACTTGAAGCAACAAGGGCCGCGCCTGTTGCACAGCTCCTGCTTGGAGCTATCCAGCGCGAAGTCCCGGAAGCCCGGAAGATCCACTATTTGCATGTCTACACATGCAGGAGACCTCGGCGTCATCAAATCTCGAGATCATCCAAACACCCAGCGCGGGCTTCGGGCGCGTGGGCGGCGGCAGGAAGGGCTCGGGGTTGGACCCGTCAACTCTCTCAGCATCTCTCAGCGACTTCCGAGTGCTACGCTGGACACGTACGCAAATAGGATCAGCAGAAACCTGATGCTGTTGCACTCATGGCTGCTGGACACACCATTGACTGCAAACCTACTGCTTCATCAAAACCAGTTCAGTGTGATCCAGAACCGGCGAGGAGATAGACTCCGGAGAAGGACACCGCTGTGGCTCCAAGCCGTTTCCCCCAGTTCCTCATGCGCATCACCGACCTGGAAACCAAATGATGCACGCATCGCTGATGATCTCAATCGTCCGAGCTTCAGGTCAGGGCCAGCTGCATGACTCTACCGATCTCGTGCTCGTTCCAGTGTCCCGAAGCTCTATCCCGAACAAACCTCGACTGCGTGAGGACAAGGCAAGAAAGCCGCAATGCTGCAGGGCTTCCCGGGCTTCAGGCCATTTCGATGCCTTCGTGCCGGCAACATTTCGGAACTCGAGGATCGTGGGCCTTCGGCTGCCTCCGTCTTCCGCGCTTCGCTGACCAAAAATGAATCTCCTCATGCCCCCTCCAACACGCTCGAACATGCTTGAACCAGCGCATGCCGTCCCCCTGCCATGTTCCTGCTGGGAATGAACCGGTTTCTGCAAGTGCGGGGCCTAAAGTCCCGGAGATGAAGTTGAAGGTCTCCCCTGCGAGGGCCTTCACGAGCGGCAGGGTGCTTTGCTGTGAGTCGGGGTGATATGACAGCCCCCCCCTCGCCTCGATAAGTCTGCTCTTTCCCACCGATTGCTTGCCAATCAAGATGAACTGAGGCCTGAGAGATGCACATAGGCACCAGGCATTCTGTGCATGGCTTCGGGTTTGAGATGCCGGGCATCGGGAAGTCCACAATGCCGATCTTGTCCTGTGCAGCGGCATTGTGCCGCGGAAATGGATGGCTAAATAGCAATCCTCTTGCATGACACTGCCCAACTACCTGTTGCCAACGCGACAATCCTCTCCTATCAGATGTCCTGAACACGGGCTTTGACATCGCCCAACAGGTTCAGGAGCTCCGACCGGGATCCCACACCTTTGCATCCAGCAGAATGCAAAGGCCATCCCTCGTCCGTCCCTGCCGTCCCTTATCCCCTGGTGCTTGGTGCACTTGGGACTCCACCGGCCATGGCGGCCGCTCTGAGCCCAGCTGGGAGAGCCGCCAGTAAATCGAAGCTGTGAGCCATAAGGCAGAGGCGGCAGAGGGATCCGATCCGAACTTTTCCGGTTTTTCCAGTTGCAGTCGCATCCTTAGCCCCACGAAGTCTTGGGCCAGGAGCTGGGTTGAACTTGCAACTTAAGGGCACGCAAGACACGCATGGCTCTTCGAAACCGCGTCCCCAGTCGGTAGAGACACACATCCTCGCTGGTTTGTGTCTGCATGAGATCCTTGTACGTAACTCGGAATTCAAAGCTCAGGAACTGCTTAGCTCGTGGTCTTCCAACAAATTATGACAGTAAATCTATCCAAGAAATGCCTCGTGCGAATGTTGAGTGACAGAGAATGCATGTGGTGTGTCGGGCGAAGGCCCCTGACGTGGCAGAAGGAACAGCTGGATCTGTTTCATCGTTGGCACGACTCATCCACTCACACGCTTTGTACAGGCTCTGGGCATTCGCGACTTCCGAGCGCCACCGCCAATCATAGTGACACTTTTTTCTCTAGAGGACATGGTGAAACCGCTTCGATGATCCTGCAGCAGCACGGAACCACTGGAAGGTGCCTTGCATCCCTCCTGCGCATCACAAACCTACGCCGCGGGCGTTGCAGGTCCTCATCCGCCGAGGGCAAAACCGCCCGCCTTCAATGGGTGTGAAAGCTTTGCACAAGGACTCTCTCCGGGATCCTGAGGAGGAACATCAGGCCTCATCAAGGATGCTAGGAGACATCCAGACGAGGATCCCAACGCCAATGAACAGCACCTCGGAGGTGAATGAATTCCGACTTTCGATGTTGAATCGCCCCTACCTCCACTCTAATTAGTCAGACTTTCTCAGATGGTCGCTGCACCACAGCAGGGAAGACCAATGGCGACCTGCGAAATCTCCACAACGGTGAGATTCTGGGACACTCCGAGAAATGCGCTTGGTGCCGAACACTGGCTTTCTTCTCCCAAGTTCGCACTTCGCACTCGTCGTAGGGCTTGACCTCATGTTGTCCCATGCTGGGCACATCCAGAGATTGGAAGTCCTTGCTTGAGGCTGCAGCCCTGTAGTGCCTCTTGTACCACGAACACGTGGAACGTACCTGTTTTGCTGAAGCCAACGGCGTGTTTAAAAAAAGAACATCGACAGCGCACTGATGCTTGCTTGCATGCAGCTTGGCGCACGCCCAAGAGGCAAAGCATCAACCCCAGCACAATGCACACCACCGCCGCCGCCGTTGGCAGCAGCCTGGGAAAATCCCTTCACCTGTCTCTCGACAATGAAAGATGCATCGTAAAGGCCAGCACGTGTCGCAGGCCATGCTGCCCTGACACCTGTGCATGATTTCAATGCTCGTGACAATCAGATTGCTTTTGCCTGGACAAGTTTGGCTTTGAGGGCACGGCTCGCAAACATTGCCATCACACGAGGAGCAATACTTGCAGTCGCCTTGTCGGCAACTGCGCTGCGGCACTGCGGATCACTACATCTTCGCTTCGCGCCTCGAGGTGTGTAGGCTCTGTTGGCTTGCATGCACCTCGCTGACACAAGCAGCAGCCAGCTCGAAGCAAACTTGGAAGGGACGTCTCTCTCCCAGCAGAATCTCAGCGATGGCAGGAGTCCGAAGTCCTTGGGCCGCTGCTCGATCATCTCTTGACTTGGCATCTCTTCGAGCGCGTAGACGTACTCGGCATCCTCCGTCCTGCAAAGAGAGGGACCAGGGGGCGTGTCACATGGATGTATAGATAGGGGAAAGAAGGGATGGCACTGCGGCGCTGTGCCTGCAGCGATATCGATCGCACTGGCAGGCCGCAGCTGACACCACCGGGATCAAGGCCACCACGCGCTTCATGGCAGCACAGAGTGGTGCAAGGCTGGCTCTATTTGGGGCTGTTCTACACTCGCACTCAGGAAGGCTTGAGTGCTAGTTGCAAAGCTGCTCGAAGTCCAGAGTGGCAGCTTGGCTTCGGTGAAAGGGTCCGATGAAAACAGATCTTGATCTGTCCTTCTCTGTCTTGAGCGATTCGTCTGGGCAGGAAGCTAGCCGGGAGCCAGGATCACTCAGAACTCATCCCAAACAAGCAGTGGTGATGCGAGTTCTCGCATTCCCAGTGAGGCAAAGTCGGCAGAGTGCCCCGATCTGGCAAATCTTTTCAGCCGTGAGGCAGCAATGAAGATCCCCTCGAGGCTCAGAACTCAGAACTCGTGGCTGAGCTTGGAGAAAGCAAAGACCGATCCCGCCTCACTTGCTATCTCAACATTCATCCCGCCACTGAAAACCTACTGTGTTGGCCAACATGAACCACTGACCGGGTCCTACAACAAGGCTGGGGTCGCAGCGACACACAGAATGTTGAAGGCAAAGAAAGTGGAGATAGCGATAAGTGCATACCTTGGTGCTTTTCTGCTTCTGGACATGACACGCCATGGACCCGAACAAAGCGAGCTGCTTGAAACCGTCGCTGCGGTACTTCAGGACCTCCGCAACGGGATCCTGCACAACAACCGCGAGTGCTGATCGGGTGCTGAGGTGTGAGTTCCGCAGTCCTGCATCCAGTAAAAGAAGAGCGGGTGGTTTGCTTTGATGTTGTAGGCCGCCTCCAACAAAAAGCTTACCGATTCTTTCCACTTTCATGCACAAGTCACACCATTGCAAGCAGTCAGTTCGCAGCACCCACTCTCCCCGTGCAAAAACTCGCTGGCCTCCGCTTGCTGCACAGCGAGGCGGAAGAAGGGCCGCTGGTCTTCGCCTAACATCCAAGGACGAGAGCCTTTGCTCTGCGAAACGCAGCTCGAAACTTCTGCTGAGGCCAGGGACGCATCAGGCGCAAGCCGGAACGAGCTTTGGGATTGTCAAACCTGCAACCAATCGACACATCTCATTCCGATCCCAGCGCACGCCCTCCATCGCATTTCATCACTGAGCTCTACTCATTGTTGACAGGTCCCAAATCATGCAGCACCGAACAACTGGAGGAAACCGAGGGCGCAGCTCACCGCAGCGGAAATCGGCAGTCGTGCCGCTGCAGCAGTTCACCCCCACCTGAGGAACGGTGCCCTCGGGGTGTTAGGTGCGATTTGTCCTCAACACAATGACTCCTCCTTCTCCTACTCTCCTTTCCAACTTGGCACGTTCACCTTCAATGGACGTTGACTTTGAGTTGCACGGATTGCTCAGCACTTGGCGGCCCAGAAGTCGTAAGAAGCGAGAGGCTCCTTTCGAGTGCTCGCTGTTCCTTGGGTTTGGTATCATGGCCGCTCGCAGACCTGGGAAAGTGCAGCTCCCTCCCCCCTCCATTGACATGCATGCGAGCAGAAACCCTTCGAACAAAAACACGCCAAACAATGTACTAGACTCGCGACGAAAGTAGATCCGCAATGTTCTCACGGCAGTCCTGTCCGAAGACGATGGGTGCAACGCAGTACCTTGCAGGTCTTGGCCTCTGATAAATTCGGCCGAGTTTACGGCCTCCGACATCTAGATCAATGCTGAAGCTTGTTGCATGCCCTGCCTGTCGAGGTTCCGGAATGCCATGGCCTTGGAAGTGTCCAACCTCGCGCGCTTGGACGGACATCCGTTGCCGATCAGTTCTTGACTACTGAACTCTCCGGTGTTAGCCTGTATCATTGTCGTAACATGCCTGCAGCGATATTCAGATGATGATGCGGTTAATTATTACCATGAGGACCCCGATGGTGATTGTGCAGATGGTGATGATGCCATGATGCTATGATGCTGGCGATGAGGATGTGGAGGATGGTGATGATGATGATGATGATGATGACCCTGATCCACAGTAATGATGTAATCAGCACAATTGCCACCCGCTGCGACCCAAACAGACATGCAATCTTTGGGAGGTCTCCCCCAGCGCCGAGAATCTGAGCAGCTTGCCCAGTGCCGTCCTCGAAGTAAACGCGACCGGCATCCATCAGTTGCTGCCCTTTCTCCCGCGCAGGGTTCACCTGACATCGGAACTGTGGACACGGCTATCTCTACTTTCAACCTTTGGTGAGCTGTCGATCTGAGGCAGGCACCGAGGGGTAGGTGTTGATGTTCTCGATGTCATAGTACGGCTGCATGTTGTACCAGTAGTTCATGTCTCCCAGGACCTCGATGTGAACCCTACTGCTTCAGGATCGAGGGGGATGGGACGACGGCCCAAAGACATGACTGTGAGGCCTTCTACGACTCGACATTGATTGAAAAGAAAAGCATTGCAGCGGATTTTTCCGAAGCGAAAAGAGCCGGCTCTCCAGAAAACCGAAGGTGAGAGCCGGCAGAGAATTGTAGAGAGAGCAAGCCCCTGCTCGGGACTGAAGGTGAAAGCAAAAAACACAGGAAACGTAGTAGAGAGTAGAGACATGTCTGATGTGGGGCCCAGCTGCTGCTGCAGAGACGGTGGCAAGGCCCAGGGCCAGGGCCGCAAAGGTGTACCTGGCACGGCCGCACGGCTGCCACGGCTACGTTTGCATGCTGGATGTCGTGAGTGTGTCAGCATCTGTCTCAGAGCACCATGTAGGATCCTGATCTTGCATCTTGGTCCTGCGCGCCATGACACCTCCCCGGTCGGAGCCGATTTTCAAGCGACATGCAGCTATTGAAGCAAATCCCGCATGTCCGCATCGTGCCTGCACCGCCAGCAACAGCTAGGCCTGCACATGTGCACTGCTGCATGCGGAAGGCAGGCGGAGGCAGTGGGCCTGCAACCACCGCCAACCAGGCCAGGACAGGGCTTTCATGGTGGGTCGAGAAGGACATCGAGGCCTGGGCTTAGTAAGGCACATTGGAAGGGAGGCAGGAAGGACTGACTCAGAAGCTGACGAAGACTCCGCAGAAAACCAGCCATGGCGTGAGAACGTTGATCAGAATCGAGACCTTGCAGGCGGAACGCAATGGCCGCAACAAGTCAGCCGCGGCTGCTCGGGGTTTTTGATCTCACCTCCCAGGCTGGGGCCCGGTCCACATTCAAGCGCTTGCGCTTCCCGAAGCCGAAGCTGCTCATGCTCTCAGGGTCCATCCGAGGAGAGATGCCGGCCTCCGGTCGCTTCGCACTTGTCTTCGGATCCTTCGGGCCCCTCTGGCCCTCGGAGATCTCTAAGCTTGGAGCGGACTGGCTCTGCCTTGCGTAGGCGCCTGCACTCGTGACGCTCTCCGGTCTCCATCAAACTGTCTCCCATTAACCATTCCCATCCCGCCTTGGAAGGTGCTGTAGGGCTTTGACATGTCTCTGCTATGCTCAGATACTTCGTTGTGGAACTGAGAAGCCTAGAAGGCTCTGGCAACAAAGGCGACTGCGTCACAGGCGGTCAGAGATCGTCAGAGTTCTGCAGATGCATAAGACTCGTGAATGAACGAGCTGTAGTTTTTATCCCAGCCTCGTGCCGCACGAATCCCGGTCTCGGATGGGCTCAGTACGGCCTAAAAGCCTCGTCGAAACCGCGCTTTTGGCCTTGCATGCCGGGCTTGTTATCCGCAAACTTCACGGTGAAGCGACAGCTCTCGAGCATTTCCACAGCTTGGTTCGCATCCTCGGGTTGGGCAAACCGCACGAAAGCGCATGGCGAAGCTCCTTGCTTTCTGAGGATTTTGACATCAGCGACCTGGCCAAAGGGTGCCATCATCCCCCAAACGAATTCCATGTTCACGGCCTCAGGTAGGCCGCCTACGAAGACCTTTTCGCCTTGGCCACCGCCCATCGATGTGGGCACCGGGTCATCACCACCTTTGGCCTTGACCAAGCCTGATGGGGCCGCCGGAAAAGCCTGGAATTGTTGATGGGGCTGGAAGCCCTGCTGCTGAAAGCCCTGCTGCTGAAAGCCTTGCTGCTGAAAGCCCTGCTGCTGAAAGCCTTGCTGCGGAAAGCCTTGCTGCTGAAAGGTGCCCTGTGGCTGATACGCTTGGGAGTACGGCTGCGTTGCCGTGCCGCGCATAGTTGGAGGCGGCACAGCTCGCATGGGCATAGGGGCAGGTGCAAAAGCCTGCATCTGCGGCATCGGCGGCATCGGCATTGTCGACCGAGACTTCGCGAGGTCGGCCATCTTTGCAACCAGCGTCTTGCCTTCAGCCGCTAACTCTTCCTTGCCACTGAGGGCATTGATGCAAAGCTCTGCCTCCGTGAAGGAGGAAAACGTCACGAACGCACAAGGCATCGACTTGTCGTTTTTGGTGAAGATCTTGCTGTGAGTGATTGTTCCAAACTGTTGGCAGACTCTGCAGACATCGTCGGACGTGACAGTTGGCGCAAGGCCTCCGATGAAAACCTTGGGCTCTTGCTGGGCACCTTTCGGCGCTCCCTTGACATCGGCTAACTTGACATTTATACCTTCGGGGTTCCCGTCAGCTTTCATCGGCGTTTTGTCAAGGTCCGCGATAGCCTTCTCAGCAGCTGCCCATGTGTCAAAGCTGGCGAAGGCACAGTTCTTGCCCTCCAGCAGTTTAATGGTGTGCGCTCCATACGGCGCAAAGAGTTCTTCGAGGTCACGTTGCTCGCAATTCGCAGGAAGTCGCCCGACGAAAACTTGCGGCTGGACCTGAGAAGCACCCATGGGTGCCTGCGGGGCCCCGAGCCCGCCCAGGGCGCCCTGCGCTCCCGGCATGGGCCGCCAATCGGACGGCATTTCGCCAGGGCGCACCTTGCTGGTCGCCATCCTGTCACAAAACAGCATGTGCAGCACATGCACAGCAGGAGATCAGATGCTCCGAGGCCGCAACTTTACATTGAGACCCCCTTGCTGACCTCACAGGCCAACAAATCAGCACAGTGCAAGGTGCCTGAACCCAAACTCAAAATGGGACCTCCAGGCATTTGGTAGCCGTTCAGCTCTGCAATGGCGCGCTGGCCGTAATCCGCATTGGCGAAATCCGCGAACCTGGCAGCTGGAGCATTCTCCCAAGCCTCCCGAAGCACTGCACATGGGGCCCCAAGGATAAGGACGGCAAGGAAGGCGCGCAGCCCTTGCCATCCAGAATGCGAACGTTCGTGGCTCCGTATGGGACCTCTGCTGCTTTCGTTTCGGCAAACGCACGTTTGCATGCCCAGCTGAGGCCGAAGCCAGGAGGTCGGAGATCTCTGCAACACCTTCCAAGCTGAGGCCAAAGAGTTGCTCTTGTTGCATTGTGCTGTCTCGTACCTACACCAGGCGGAATTCGACCAATGAAGACCTCCATGCTGGCCATGTCCTTGGAGCGGTGGAAACGAACTCTTAGCTCAGCGTTCTTTGCCTCAGAGCCCCGCCTGGAAGCTAAGTCGGAATCACCGCTGGGACCAAGGTCTGCATTTACATCAAAAATCAGAGATGATGAGTCGATGATGAGGTTGCTGTCAGCCGCGCTGTTCAGCACGGGTGACTTAACTTATCGACTTTACCCATTTTAACTACTTAACCCATAGCATGTGGAGGCTGAAGGTGGGTCGGCAAGCAGCCAAATGGCTCGTGAATGTTGCATGTCATCACGGTATCCCCTTGAGCCGTGCCTGGACAACGCATGCATCGCCAAGCGAGGCACGTCATATCTGAACTCACCAGCGGCGCTTGTACTGAATGCAGGATGATATTGGCTGGGCATTAGCTGGATAGTGCATTATCGGGACAGCATCACCCGCCTGCTTTACAGGCCTTGGCAATGGCTGTAATCGTTTGCGTGTGTCCTGCACCTCCACCACAGCTGCTGCATATACACCAACTGTAAACTGGCCGATGCCAACAATCTGACTGTCAGCATGCAGCAAGCGGAGTGGCAGCACGTGGAGCGTTAGCTCTGCATATGAAACATGCTGCGGTCAGATTCCACGTCATTGCATCTGGCTGGTGGCATTGAGTTTCCAGATGTTTCCAGTATCATGCGGGATCAGACCACATCGGCCTATTCACACAGTAACGTACACACAAAACTCCCGTGCGAGCTCCCAAGAAACTTCCAGCCAAAGCTGTCATAGACACATTTGGGAACTCAGGAAGCTCACCAGCTCGGGTGTCCGAGAGTCAGAGCATACAGGAGTGGAGGGCATCACTTGCGGCGGAGTACCAGTCGCTGATGCTGCGAAACCTGTCGTGCCATCGGCCACCTGATCACTCGCTGGCAACGTGCTCTGGCTCTGCAGACTCTGCAGTACACAGGAGACGAGCCTGGCCTGGTACACTCAGTGAGGCCTCACACATGCGTTGGCGTTTGGGCAGCTAAAAACTCAAGGCCCGCAGTTATGCATACACGTTGAAACAGTACAAGTAGTACATGCACTCATGCCCTGTGAGCTCGTTTTGCCAACTACGGGGAGGTGCACATGCACAAAGTACCGGGGATCTTCCTATTTGCGTTCCCGGCAACGCTCCTTCAATTGGCTGTCTCGAGACATTTCCACAAGAGCCGCCTGTCCGCCTCGCTTTGCACCAGGTATGAGGAGGCATAATACAGCAAGTTATGAAACCCAACCTGCCAAACAGTTCCAACCAGATTTTTCCCCAAAAAAAAAAAGGCCTCGCCCTGCAGCGCCCAAAGAGAGGCAGCCGCTTCCTGTTCGAAGTGCAGTCGCTATGGTCGCTATGGCAGTCCTGAAACCCTTGTATCGTGTTCTATAACCAGCCTCACTCCCAAACTTTTGGCCCCTGGAGCACAGGAGCGCGCTGAACACCATCACCATCTTCTGGGGGTGGCAAGGCTCCAGGACTAAAGAAAGTGACGAAAGACTGACCAAGATCGACTCAGAAGTCCTCGGCGGAAAGAGTCCCGTCGTGACCGAGCATGGGCACGCAGCGCCACAACCAAAGAGTCATGGCTCCCATTACCCAAAACAATATGATTCCAGCAATCACTTGGTCACCGGTGATCAGCACAAGCATCCTTTCGGACGCGAGAAAGAACCCGAATGTGCCGGCACCAATGGCGACAAGCCCTGCCGCGATCAACGTCTGCGGAGCTCGCAGGTGGCGTGCTTTGTAGGCGAGGTTGAGCAAAAGTAAGCACACACTTGGGAGGAACATGAAGCACAAGGTCACAGCAGCGAGGGCCACCTCCACGAGGTCTTCTGTGGCCGCGCCCTTCATGCTGTCCGCGCACCAGATGTCGATCATCATCCAGAGAGCCGGGCTTGCAGCCTGCACAATACGCCAGTATGAGAAGACCTGCGTTTTCAGCTGGTGGACCAGCACTGTCAGGAGCCGAGTTCGCACAATCTCCTCGAAAGCCTCTGCCGACCCGAACCAGAGGGAGATGCAGCGAACGATCAATTTGCGGTCGCAAATCATCGTCTCACAGGTGCGTGGATCAACATGCCCACAGGAACAGCAATGGCACGAAGACTTGTCAATGGTGAAACCGCGGACTTGATCCTGAATTTGTTCGATACTCCGATAGTGGGCAACAACCGCGACTGCGAAGAGCATCAAACATGGAGCAGTGAGAAGACACATAACGAGGCCACCCCATGGAAAGATCGGCACCTGTGAAAGAAGGTATGCGACCAGAAGCACGCTGAGACCCAAATGACCAATGAGGAGTGCAGGTGCAACAAACACCGGGCAAACCACCAGATTCTTCTTTGCACCTGGCTCTCGACTGTGAAGGAATGCTGCCATTTCCTTGGCTGCTCTTCACTCGCGGTCTCTCAACTTTTCGTACCCTTGAGCCACAGAAGGCTGGAGGCACAAGTGATGTTGCAAATCCGCCGAGGCCAGAGGCCCAGGCGTCTTGGGGGTTACCTCAGGTACCCTCCACCTATGCAGTCCAAATGTTTGGAGAGACCCGTTTTTTGCGTTCGTTTGCCACCCTTGCCCGACTTCCCCTCATTTTACCTGATTTGTCGGCCTCCCCCCTCCCCCCCCCCCCCCCCCCTCCCCCCCCCCCCCCCCCCCCCCCCCCCCCCCCCTCCCCCCCCTCCCCTACCCATTCTCCTCGCACTTCGTATCAACAACCGTGTAAAGGTTGGGGTTTGACAGGCCGCCCTAGCATAAAAAAACATCGACTGCCCCCTCGCCCTGCCGCTACACAGCCGAGGCGGGCGGCGTAGCGTTAAAATTATCTCCAAGTGTTGCCAAGCTGCAAAGATGCACCATAGTCTCGAGGCCCAAGTCACGTCCCACAAGACCAGAAAAGACCTCGAGTTTTTCAAAAAGGCACCGATGCTCAGTAGACCTTGGGCCTTTAGATTCGCATCAGTCTGGCAAATACACGCAATATCCAGGAAGACCTGCTTCCTCCGGCTCCACAAAAGCAAGGTCACGTAGTAACTCAGGACACCAGTCACTGTGCCCCATAGATTCCATGGAGGCAGAAGGCGCAACACGCACAGGGAGCCAACAGAAGCAGCGCAGAGTGTACCCACAACGAACGCTGGCAGGCCATGGTTGAGGAGAAGGACGTTGGAAAACTTTGTCAGAGCACCGGTGGACCAGCTGTGAGACCAAAACTCTTCAAATTGATCTGTTGCCTCGCTCAGAGCATACAGTTTCTCAAGATCTCCTCGAATCCACCTGCGTGGCCCGCTTCGCAGTGCTCTAGAGGCTCGTACTCCACGAAGGATTTCCGGACTTGTGGCCCGCATCTGCTCCATGAAGCGGACAAACTGTTCGTACAGGTCCGCGGACAACTCAGAGGACTCTGACTCCTCCCAGCTGCATGCTTCTGGTCCCTCACTCTCTGAGAGAGCAGCCTCTGGCAAACCAAGACAGACCGGCTTGGGTTCCGGAAACTCGCTGGGCACCTCGAGCACCAGCTCTTCACACATGGCGGCCAAAGCTGCCGAAAACTGGAGCCGAAAGACCAGCGAAGCCGGAGGCACAAACTTCTAAAAAGTCCCAGGCCACACGATTTTGCACGGGGGTAGTTCTTGAAAAGAAGAGGGCAACCTCCCTATCTGAAACTACCAGCTGCAGCCAGGCAACGTGAATGAAGCCATCAGAAACAGAGCGATAAGCAAGCAAGAGAAAGAGAGTAGATGCGGAAATACGTGCTCTGATGAACACCGACATGAGCCGCCCAAGAAGGCCGCACGAAACTGAACCGATGCCAAAAAACCTGAAACTCTGCAGTACTATGCACTCTAGAACAGGCTGCAGGCTCCCCAAGAAGGCAATGGAGAAGGCCCGCCTCAACAGCGTCTGTTCGCGCCCGCAGAGCATCCAGAGCAAGGCGACAGCGGTCCCGCTCCTTTGAGAAACAGTGAGAGAAAGGCTGAGACTATTCTCCGCTGGTGCTCTGCTTGCAGTGGAGGTTCCATCGCCAGCTCCTTGCTGGAGGCCTGAACTTCCTTTTGAAAGGAGGGAAGATTGAGCCCTTCCTTCGTGTTGCCAAGGCCAAGCAGATTGGTCCTCGATGGCTGCCACTGTTCCCACCCAAGCAGCCTGGCGCAAGCGAGGTAGAAACAGCATGGCATAGCATGGCCCAGCGAGGCCCAGCCTGCAGCTCCGCCTCCAGGAGATCGGCGCTACCCAGAGCTTCTGCCTGCACGGGATTGCACTACCTCTCGCAGTTGAATGTCTGAAGCATCGTGCTTCAAGGTCGGGAGCTCGAGGGGAGGTTGCCGCGAGAGAATATCATAGAATAGCCCGGCTGCCTGCGCGGCAGAAACTGCTGAGTGGGCCTGCTTGAGCTCCCGGATCTCCTGCGGAATGCCAAGACACGCCGCAACCAAGAGTCTACGGGAGGCGGCTCCTCCATCTGCTTCTGAAAGATGTCGGGATGTTCGGCAGCACCTCACACCGCTCAGCTGCAAATCTCGCGGTCTCAGAGATTCATCCTCCGAGGGCGCGCTCTCGCAGAGGTGCTGCAACTGCACGAGCAACGATTGGGTCATCCTCGGAGTCTTCGATGTGACATGATGCAAACCACTAGTTCAGAGCAACGTTTGAGCCGAAGGACTCTTGGCAGATCTTGCGGCAGAGCTCGCGGAAGTTCTGACCTGAGGGCGCGCTTCCTTGAACCAGCTGCGAGCAAAGGGGCAGGAGCATCATTACTATAAGTTACTATGAAGCATAACACTGCAAGCTCGTTAGCACACATACTACCTGTATAGCCCCACACGTATGGTCAGGCATGAAAAGTGTCTGAGCCGATGGCTGCGCCAGGTCATGACCGCCTAGCACGAGAAGAGCTCGGAAACGGAAACCGTCCCCAAGGTTCGAAGAGAAGGTTCAGGTACGGTATCCGGCAGACCCGGCCTCGGCCGCCTTCTCCGCAGCTCGTCCGGCAGCCTGGGCCTCAAGCTCTGCATCTTCGCGTCGGGCCACCAGCAGAGCCAGCTCCAGCTCACGGTGCCGATCTTCCTCCTCTCGAGCCTCCTCTTGCGCCTCCTCCAGAAGCAGCTCCCTCTCCATCTCTGCGGGCTCCGCACTCTCGTCTTGACAAGCGTGCTCCCCGAGTCTCTCTCGCAACGTGTCCTGGGCAGCGCGCGCCGCTGCCGCCTTCTCGGCCTCCACCGAGGCTTTCACAATTTCCTCGACGCTCGCTGCGTCCAATGCGGCGCCCTCCGCTGCCGCTGCCGCGGAAGGAGTTCGGCCTCTCTGAACGAGGGACAGCACTTCTTCCCACATCTTCTCAGCCTCCCAAAGAGAAACCTCCAAGCCTTTCTCCGCGTAGTCCTCCACGGCTTCCGAGGCCTTCGCCTGCTGCAGGGCCTGTCTCAGCCCGCGCAAGGCCTGGTGCCAGCAGTGCAGATCGAAGGCCGCTTTCTCTGGCGTCCTCTTCTCTGCGAAGGAAAGGGCCAGGGTGCCAAAAATCCAGCGGAGGTGTCCATCCAACTCGGCTCTGAGCACGCCGGTGCTACCGTCGGGTTGCTGCGTTGACCGTTTGGCCAGCTTCAGCAGCCGGCCGCGCCTCTGGGAGTTCCAGGACCGCAAGGCCTCCATGTGGCTCCGCAGCTTCTGCAGCGCGAGCGACTGCTGCTCGCGCTGTGCAGCTGCCCAGATCTTCTGCGCTTCCGCTTTGGCGATGCGCTCGCCCTCGAGCTGTTGCTTCAGATCCTCCAGCTTGGAGAGCGCCACCTTCAGAGAATCTTGGAGGCCTCAGGCAGGAACGAACCCAACAGAAAGCTGACCTTGATCAACCTGATCTTCTAAGCGGCAGGCCCCGTTCTCGAGCTTCGACTCCGTCGGTGGAGGCTTCCAGGAGCCGGAGCTCAGCCTGCTCTGCACGCAAAGATTCTTGAAGTAGCCTCTGCTGCCAGACGCCACCCGAAAACCTCTCTGGCATCTCCTCTGCAGTGCAAGGCGAGCTGGAACTGGGGGAAGCTTCGGAAACCGAGGAGTCCTCCGGGCTTGTGAGGGCAAGTGCCTCCTTCACGGGCTCGGGAGTCACGCTGAGCAGTTCCCGCTGCCTGCTCCAGATACTGCGGACTCACGTCTATCGCACTGTGCCCCTCGAGGTCCTCTGTAGCTCCGCTGCCATGGCAGCCAGCTTGGCCTGTCGCAACAAAAAACGCTAGACTCGCTAGACTCGCAGTCGACCTCTGAGCTTCTTGGACTGGCCGCCTCGGCTTCCTCGGCTGCCTGGCCTCGGAAGAACACAGGCAGCGGCGCAGCAGCGAGGAAGAGCCCCAGCCCTGTTTGTCACGAGCTCTGCCAGTATGCTTGGAAGCATCATCCGACTGCCGTCTCCGGAACCCCTTAGGGGTAAAGACGACGAGAAGTGGGCACCACAACTTCGAAAATTGACACGGCATGAATATGTACAAGAGCCGTATTTGCTCACCCGCACACGGCAGGCATGGGCCTCTCTTCCTCCTCGCCGCTGGCATACTTGGCAAAGCGCGGTCGCTCCGGGCCGTGGGCCAAAGCACTCGACTTCCATGGCCAGCCTCCAAATTCCGTCGTTTGGTAGTCTCGAAAAGCCTTGGAGATATCCTGCGCCAACATATTTGCCACGCCAAGCACGGGCCTACATCTCGAAACTTGAGACCTCAAACTCCTCCTTACAAGCATGATTATGGCGACCCCACAGATTTTGCATCAGCCCGTCCTCGCGGCTGTTGCCGACGAAGGGCCCGTGCTGAACAACGGGCTCCCCGATGTCGCGGCCTTGCAGAACGAGGACTTCAATCGGCCCGTCCTCGGCAGCGATCTCGGTGTCTGCATCTGGGCGCAGCTTAAGACGCTTCTGGCCATGGATGACCTGCCCACCGATTTTGCTCTTCGTGCCGGTGTGAATGTACGCATTCCTGTTCAGCCCTGAGACTCCGGCTCCCGCATAGGCCGGGAGCGTCCAAGATCCTTTTGCTGGGATCTTCAGGGTTAGGACCATGACATCTGAGGCAGGATCTGATGCGTAGGAATTCGGAGGCGGGGCCGGCGGCGAGCCAAAGCCTGGTAGGGAGCCCGCGATCAAGGCGATTTCTGTTCCGTCGGCCTGGTGGACTGTTGCTAGATCCTCCGCCCAGAGCATCTTGAAGCTAGGTTCCACCATCTTGCTGCGCTTGGGCAGATTGATCCAGATCTGAAAGAGCTCCAGCACATTCTCTGAATCCTGATTGAGCAGGGGGAACATCTCGGCATGGCTGATGCCGGCCCCGGCAGTCATCCACTGGACGTCCCCACCGCCAAAGCGCCCAGCATTGCCCAAAGAGTCGGTGTGGTCCACCCAGCCGCGTCTGGTCACCGTGATGGTCTCGAAGCCGCGGTGCGGGTGCTTCGGGAAGCCGGGGATCTCCTCCCCGTGGTACCTGAGAGACGAAAAGGCAGTCTCTTACGCGTAACACGGCTATACAGCTACGCGCTTCAGTCACTTCTAGAAGCCTTCTTGTAGTCTCGGGACATGTTCCAACCGGAGGGGTGCCCGAAGTCCGCACCCATCCTGTGCCCCTTCAAGGATGCATTGGGAGTCATGTCCGGCTTGCCGGGAGGGTAGTGGTCCAAGTGGTAGACGGCAAAGAGGAATGGAGACTCGCAGTCGAAGGGGAAGCTCATGGCTTCTTCGCGGATGATAGGACCACCCCTGGGGGCCGGTGCCCCCTGACAGGCAGAGAACATCGTGGTGTTTATGAGGCACCCCAGCAGCACGATGCACAGGATCGGCCTACGGGCCTTCATGTAAGCCAAGGCTGCGACACTCCCGGGCAATGCGAAAGCTGCTTCAGCAAAAGCAGACGTTCCAGAGCCCAAGTCCAGAAACTTAAATCCTGAACATGTCTGTGGCCCACAAGGGCTCCTGACGTGAACCTTCCAGAAATTTGAAGCGCTAGGCGAAGACTTGTACCATAGTTACTAGTTGTGGGTCCTTGCGGCTTCTTTATCGGTGATCCTTCTGGCCTGCAGTCTTTGTCCGTGGCTCGCTGGGCAATGCAGCACGTACAAAGGTCAAACGCGGTCGAACATCCGTCCGTCGTGTACTCTGATTGTGCCTCGCTATACAGACATAAGACGTCGAAGCGACATAAGACGCCGAAGCCCCGGAGCTATCACTCAACCCAAGCCGGCAATCCCAAGCCTGCAATGAACAGCCCGAGACTGTCCAATCCTCACCTGCGACTGGGCTCTTGGCTAAGACCCTGCTCGTCGCCGGCCTCGCGTGACGCCTCAGCGCTAAGCTGCATGAGGCAGCGCTGCGCCTGGCATAGGCCGTTCCTTCAGTGGTGCTATGCGGCCAGGGTTTGCCACCGACGGAGTGATTTATTCTGTCAGCGATTGCATGGCACAATGCTACAGCAGCTACGAGCACGACTGGCACTGGCACGAGTATGCACATCGCGACGGCAGCAGCAGCCGATAGCCACGGCAGTCACAATCTTGTCAACTCGAAGCCTAGATCACGACAAGTTCCAGCAAATGGAAAGCAGGCTTCTCAAACAGCCTTGGTACTCACCCTGAGCCCAAAATCAACCGCGCACCTCGGCAGTGGCTGCCTCCCACGCACTTTCAAACTGCTCCCCCATGCGCCGCTGCTTCTGCCACAGCTCCTCGCTCAAGTTTGCTCGGCTCTGACAAGTCCTATGCTCGAAGTGCGCAATGGGCTTCCGTGGGAGTCCTGGCGCTCCGTCTCCACTCCGAAGATCTTCTCTTGGAGCAGTTTGAGCTCGAGCTGCACGGCGGAATGCGAGCCGAGAAAGAGTGGTTTAACGCCACTTGCTATCACATGCAGATACCACTCGAACGGTGTCGCCGGGTGGCAACAACCAGGAATGAAGATCGAACCCACGAACACCGCACACCGCGGCAGCAAAAGCAGCAGCAGCAGCAGCAGCAGCAAAGACTGAGCACTCGCGGTCGCCCAAATCAGAGCTCAAGCCCTGCCTATGCATCCCACGTAGGACACTGCGAAGCATGATGCAGAGTTCTGCTATGAACGGAGTCAGAGCCGCCTGCAAAGCTGCACAGCGTGCGACAGCCTCCGAGCCGAGCTCCTCGCAGCAGTGACCGTTACTGTCTCGTTAGAGGTTTTTTTGGTGCTTCCCCATTGAAGCTCAACTTTTGGGACAAAACATACGAAAGGGTCATCACTCGCCTGAGGATTCGGTCTTCTTAGAAAAAGATCCTTTGGGCGGCTTGCACGTGCAGCCGTCGAAACGTCCAGACTTACACCCGGCCAACAGCGTCCTGACTTTCTACATCCAGCACCTGACCTATTGTTGCCCCATTGAACGGTTCCTCCGAGTGGCGAAGCTCCGCAGTGCGCTGTGCTGCCTGACCTGGTTCAGAGCTCGTCTCAAACACATTGCATTCGGCAACATGGATTTGTGGTCTAGGAGTCTAGGAGTCTAGGTCTTCACGAAAATACTCCTGAGATGCTTGAAGTACATCACTCAAGGAAGTTGCAGGTGTTTCAAAGCGACGAAATGACGCCTGCTTGGGTGCAAGGGCAACTTTGCTGAACAACACCATGTGAGTGTCAAACTGGTGCATGCAATCGACTGTCATACAAGGCAAATCATTTGCGTGCGCTAAAGAGTCGCCGGGCTTTCCAGATTAGTCGCGAAGCTGCCCACATGAAGGAAGCAAGCAATAGGGACCGGGCGGCGGCAGTCCTCGAGCTCCTTGATGAAGTTTTGACGACCTCTTCGTGCACTTCTGCCATAGATCTCTCTGATGTCATTATCCATGTCTGCAGCGGCCCCTCGTCATGCATGCAAAGCTTTTCTGCTCGGTTTCTGGTGGGGCGTGATCGAGCTGTCATGGTTTGCAACCCCACGCCAACAACGCACTTAGAGTCTCTTAGAGTCTTCGTCGTGGTTGAAAGGGATCGGGCGCGTCGGGGCTGCGATCCTTGCGACACTGTCAACTCTCCACGGGATCGATCGTGTGGGGGGGTGCCGGGCAAAACCCAAGTGAGTGACACTTGCGCAACTACGCGGATACTATTTGGCGCTAGTCCCCCACCTACTGTAGTCACCTTCTGCACGACACTCCTGAGAGATGCGCGCTCTTCCAGGTTCCCCGTGTCTTTTCGAAGCGCCTCGACCTGACAACTCAGCTCGGACTCGGCCACTCGACTGCTCGGCCCAGCCAGCGGCCCGGGCCCTCGTTTCGAGCTCGCGCTCCCTCTCTTGCAGCGACACCTCCACCTGCTCTGGCTGTGGTGGGTTGTGACCTGGCATTGGTCGGCATCTGTCTTCAGAGCCCTCTGAAGATCTGATCTACCGATGCCTTCGAGGCCCTTCACCAGCCGACGCAGGCGATCCCTTCGGAGCCTCAAACATGATCACACAGGCACGAAACATCTCGTATCATGTTTAAGTTTATATCATCACATCATCTCCCCTCTCTCCTCTGTTGGGATGACCGGGACCTGGGCTGGGACTCGAGGAAGCGGCCCCGGGCGCCCTCCAATGCAGCCGAGACCTCCTGCGCCTGACGCGGAAAAAGTGGCGCAAACCTCCCAGAAAACATGCTACTAGCAGCTGCTACTTGTAGTTCAAACCCATCAAAATTACACAGCGGCCAGCGGTAGCCTCCTGGCTGCCGTTGAGGTCCGCGGTCTCCACTCGCCGGCGGAGGTGCCGGCGCCTCGGACTCGGAAACTCGGGGAGCTCCAGGCTGCTCGAAACCTCGCGGAAGCTCCTTAGGGCCTTGGGGCATTGACTCTTCATGGAGGCTGCTGATCTCATTTACCAGGAGGTCGGCCTGAACGAGGACATGAGCACAATTGAGCACACAAACAGCTCCAAACCCGGGCAAGTCTTCCTTCTCGCGACTTCCTTTTCGAATCTGAACCAGCATGTGATACAAAAAATGTTCATGAAGTGGACGGCGTTGCCGACATCGCACGAAGGTAGACAGGGCCTCCGTCGCTTCGAACTTCAAGATTACACCAGCGAAGACCCCAAACAGAATGCATCGAATCATACCGGTTCAAGCTGGAATGTGTTGGATCCCAATCTGGCTTCGCCAGCAGATTTTGCGAAGAAGAATTAGGCATGGGGCGATATATTTCTGCGAAAGAAGAGTGGGTGGTGGGACTCAAGCACGTGGGAAGGTTTTTGGGAGGGTCCAGGGAGCATCGTTCAGAGGATCTTGCTGCAACACCATGCACGGAAAACATGCACATTTCTCCCGCAACTGCCACATTGTTGCCGCCTTTGCAAAACAGGATACCTGGCCTCTGCTGCAAACGTTCGCAAACCAAGTGCAAAAGAGCTTGGTTTCGAATCAATTAACTGTCGGACGGGAAGAAAACGAGAACTTTGCCGTGCATGTTTGGCAAGACAGGTAGGAAGGGATTTGTCGGCTTACAAGGCAAACACAAAGCTCTCTTGACACGCAACCGTTCGCGTTTTCTCTGCCGACCGAACGAAGAGCATTGTCCACAGGATTTTATTGCCGCAGGAGCACAAAGAAAAACGCAACTTCTCCACAATTTTCATAGCATTACCGTATTGCAAAACAGGATTCCTTGCTATATGGATCGGTTGGCTGTCGCACGGGAAAGAAGTGTGAACTTTGCCGCGCAATTTTGGCGAAAAGAAGCGCGCACAGGGGTGCGTCGGCTTACAACACAAAACAAAAATCTTTCTTTACACGGAACCATTCACGACTTTTCCCGCAGACCGAACGAAGATCCATAGAATCTTGCTACCGCAGAAACCACGCACGGAAAAAAACACACACAACATTGCCGTTTTGCTTTTGCAAGACAGGATATGTGGCCTCTGCCGTAAACCTTTGTGGAAGAAGCGCAAACCAGGTTGGTATACGGATCGGTTGGCTGTCGCACAGGAAAAAAGTGTGAACTTTGCGGCGCAATTATGGCGAAAAGAAGAGCAAATGGGTTTGTCGGCTGACAAGGCAAACACAAATCTTTCTTTACACGGCACCATTCACGATTTTGTTCGCTGACCGAACGAAGATCCACAGGATCTTGCTGCCGCAGCAACCACGCACGGAAAAAACACGCAACATTGCCGTTTTGCGAGACAGGATATGTGGCCTCTGCTGTAGACGTAAGTGGAAGAAGCGCAAAACAAGTTGGCATACGGATCGGTTGGCTGCCACACGGGAAAAGGTAGGAACTTTGCCGCGCAAACTTGGCAACAAGAAACACAAAGGGGTTTGTCGGCTTACATCGCAAACACAAATCTTTCTTTACGCGGAACCATTCACGGTTTTGTCCGCAGACCGAACGAAGATCCACAGGATCTTGCTGCCGCAGAAGCCACGCACGGAAAAAACACGCAACATTGCCGTTTTGCGAGACAGGATATGTGGCCTCTGCTGTAGACGCTGTGGAAGAAGCACGAAAGAGGTTGGTATACAGATCGGTTGGCTGCCACACGGGAAAAGGTAGGAACTTTGCCGCGCGAACTTGGCAAAAAGAAACGCAAAGGGGTTTGTCGGCTTACATCGCAAACACAAATCTTTCTTTACACGAAACCGTTGACGATTTTTTCCGCTGACAAAACGAAGAACGTCGTCCACAGGATCTTGCTGCCGCAGAAACCACGCACGGAAGGACACACAACCTTCCCGCAACTGTTACAACATTGCTGCCTTGCAAGACAGGATACCGGATACCTGGCCTCTGCTGTAGACGTTTGTGGAAGAAGCACAAAAGAGGTTGGTTTACGGATCGGTTGGCTGTCGCACGGGGAAAAGTGGGAACTTTGCCTCGCAAACTTGGCGAAAAGAAGACCGCACAGGGGTGTGTCGGCTTACAAGGCAAAATAAATATCGTTCTTTACACGGAACCACTGACGAACGAAGAACTTCGTCCACAGGATCTTATCTCCGCAGAAACCACGCACGGAGAACACACACACACACACACGTAACTTTCCCGCAACTGAGTTAATCCGACCCTCAACAGCAGCACAACGATATTGGGGTAGGATCGCCGGGCAAGGCAAGGAAACTCAAAAGGGAAGCCCAGCCCAAAGAGGAACACAAGCTGCAAGCGTACCTCTTTTCTCATTAGTTGAGCCAAAGATCATGTCATTGGCACATTAAGCTACACAGTCAGACATGTTACCTATACAAGGACAGGGAACGTCGTATTCTATCAACTAACTGTTACAACATTGCTGCTTTGCAAAACAGGATACCTGACTTTTGCTGTAGATGATTGCGGAAGAAGCACGAAGCAGGTTGGTATCCGGATCGGTCGCCTGTCGGACGGAGCAAATTGGGAACTTTGTAGTGCAAACTTGGCAAAAAGACGTGCGAAGAGGTTTGTCGGCTTCTTAGGCGAACGAAAATCTTCTTTTGCACGGAACCATTGACGATTTTTCCGCAGACCGAACGAAGAGCGTCGTCCACAGGATCTTGCGGCAAGTTTCCCGCAAGTGTCATAACCTTGCCGTTTTGCAGGACAGGATACCTGACTTTTGCTGTAGACGTTCGTGGAAGAAGCACAAAAAGAGATTAGTATACGGATCGGTCGGCTGTCGCACGGGAAAGACGGGCAACTTTGCCGCACAAACAGGGCAAAAAGAAAAGCGAAGGAGTCGGTTTACATCGCAAACAAATATTTTCTTTACACGGAACCATTGACAACTATTCCGCAAACCGAACGAAGAACGTCGTCCGCAGGATCTTGCTGCAGCAGAAACCACGCACGGAAAAGCACACAACTGTTACAGCATTGTCGCCTTGCAAGACAGGATACCGGATACCTGGCCTTTGCTGTAGACGTTTGTGGCAGACCAGGCGCCCAGAAAGGAAACATTAAGGGAACCCAGCGGGAGCTCAGGCCCTCTGCTGCGGCCCGCCCGTCCACCCAGGAGCCCAGAAAGGAAGCAGGAAAGAAGCCCAATTGGCAGCCCAATCCCTTTGCCGCGGCCCACCCATCCAATCCAGGAGCCCAGAACGGAAACATGAAGGGAGGTAAACGGGATTGCCGCGGCCCAAGGAAACATGAAAGGAGCCCAGCGGCAGTCCAGGTCCAACCCAGCAGCCCAGAAAGGAAACATGAAGGGAGCTCAATGGGAGCCCAGGTCCTTTGCCGCAGCCCACCCACCCGTCCAAACCAGGAGCCCAGGAAGGAAACATGAACGGAACCCAATGATCCAATGATAGCCCAGGTTCTTTGCCGCGGCCCAACCGTCCAACCCAGCCCAAAAAAGAATTGAAGGGAACTGAATGGGAGCCCAGGTCCTTCGCCGCGGCACACCCATCCAACCCAGGAGCCCGGGAAGGAAACATGAAGGGGACCCAATGATAGCCCAGGTTCTTTGCCGCGGCCCAAAGGAAACATGAAGGGAACTGAATGGGAGCCCAGAAAGGAAACATGAATGGAGCCCAATGGGAGCCCACGTCCTTTGCCGCGGCCCAACCGTCCAACCCAGGAGCCCAGAAAGGAAACATGAAGGGAACCCAATGATAGCCCAGGTTCTTTGCCGCGGCCCACCCGTCCAACCCGGAGCCCAGGAAGGAAACATGAAGGGAGCCCAATAAAGCCCAGGTCCTTTGCCGCGGCCCACCCGTCCAACCCAGCACCCCTAAAGGAAACATGAAGGGAAGTGAATGGGACAGGTCCTTCGCCGCGGCCCACCCGTCCAACCCAGGAGCTCAGAAAGGAAACATGAAGGGAGCCCAATAAAGCTCAGGTCCTTTGCCGCGGCCCACCCGTCCATGGGAGCCCAGGTCCTTCGCCGCGGCCCACCCGTCCAACCCAGGAGCCCAGAAAGGAAACATGAAGGGAAGTGAATGGGAGCCCAGGTCCTTCGCCGCGGCCCACCCGTCCAACCCAGGAGCCCAGAAAGGAAACATGAAGGGAGCCCAATGGGAGCCCAGCCAGTTTGCCGCGGCCCAGCCATCCAACCCACTGCGGCCCACTTTTATTCTGAGGAGAGAACCCCAAAACGTACCTGTTTGGGGAAAAATGAATGTTTGAGTCCCCTTCGATCAGAACGACTTGCCCACGAACTACTTCAACTTCAACGCTTCTGCTCCAATCTTCGCCGTCCGACACATTCAACGTGAATGTCTCCTCTGGCGTTGGCAAACTGAACTCCTGCACGCCACGGGGCTCCATGCAAGCTTCGTGGGAAGTGCTAAGGCCGAAAGCCAAAGTGCGGAAGCGTGCAACTGCATCTTCCACAGCACACTTGGCTGTCAGTTCGGCACGGATGGCATCCTCGCGCTGGTTCACAACCAGGACCGGGCATCGAGAATCCACGCGGCTCTTGCCATGTTGAACACCAAGCCCAACGACGATTTGCAAAGCGACAGCTGCAGCTGCGGGAGCGATTGCCGGTTGAGTTGCCTTCATTATCTGCGCCATTGCCGCTGGCATCCGCACCGGCATTCCCGCTGAAACTGCTTCTGCAACCTGAGTCGTGTGATGGTAACGGCCAAGAGCAGTTCTGATGCATTGGCACACAAAATGCTCGCAGTTGTTCCACAAGAAGTGGTACTGGCCTTGACCCACTTGTTTGCGTGCCGCCCTTGCTATGCGCGCGCCTTGCGCATCACTCCCAGGGTGCCATACCACATGTACAAAAGGAAAGTCTCGGCAGAACTTCTCAAAACTGCAGGTCTGGACAATGCACTTGCTACCGTTTCCTCCTGTTCCATTGCCCGCGTAGTGGATCACCTCTGTCGGACTGAAGTATAGAGCATGATGATCGAAACCGGCAAAGGCTTTGATGTGTGTTCCTTGAGGAAGTTGAAGAAACCCTATCTTCTTGTGGTAGTGGACCCATGCATCCTCCACCATCCTTCCATGCACCAGCAAAGCTTCAATTTCTGCGCACCACGCTCAATTCTGAGCGATAAATTCAATGTCGGCTCGCTCGATATCAAGTCGGCAGTGCAGTCACTCCGCGCGGGCGAGGTCACCTACGGCGATCCTGTAAGCCATGGGGCTGCAGAGCTCCGCTTTGCAGAATTGGGCTTGCGAAGACAAGCTGCCCCTCACCTCTGTTCCTGAGGCTTCCCTCCACCGCGCAAGCCCGAGGCGTGCCTTCGCGGTTTTCTCGAAATCCGAAGGCCTTGTCTTGTTGCGGCAACTGCCAGAGATAGAGAATAGGCAGAGAGAGAGCGAGAGAGAGATAGAGATAGAGAGAGAGAGAGAGAGTGGGAGTGTGTGGGAGAGTGTGTGTGTGTGAATAGAAACAAGGACAGAGTGACGGCAAGACCGATTTCCACAATTTGCTGCTGTCCGCAGCAGCGGTGGCGTGCACCAGCACTGCTAGGATTACAAATCTAGCCCTGGCAGCCCACAGACTCATAGAGGAGCCCACGAATTCTGATGCTAGCACCAGCCCAACTGGCCTTTGGCCGGAGCCTATGTGATCAAAGTGAAACCACTGAGCTGGAGGATTCTCCAGCGGAAAGCAGAGTCTACGGCACTGCACCGAGCTGCAGTCGACCCAGGCTCGGGGACGACGTCAACTTCATGTCGACGACATTGGGTCGCGAAGGCCGGCGACTGAGGTAGGACTCCTCACACGCGATCCAACGGCGCTGTCCCCATGGGGCGCTGAGCCTGGCACGTGGTCCTCCATTTGCTTCGAGAAGGTCCGAGGGAACAGAGACAGGTCCTGCGTGGGTCATGCGTCTGCTGTGGGCCCGCTGCTGCGGCTTCTGTGGCACAAGGCTCTACCCGATCAGCTCTCCTTCGTCTTCTGCGGCTTCCCACGGCTGCGGGCCTCCAAGGAAAACTCGGGGCTGGCGGCCTCGCAGAGACAAAAGAGCTCGGCACAGCGTTGAGGGGCAATTCAGGGCCGGGCCTGGATCTCCTTCTGAGCCATCTGTTGCTTCAGTTCCCGGAGCTCTCGCTCCAGCGCCGCACTTCGCCGCCGCTGCTCCGCCAGCTCTGCTTCGCCTCGGCGGTCTCCACGCCGTGGGCGAGAGCTCTAAGCACCAAGGGGGGACAGGGAACTGCTCCTTCCGGGTGCCAAAGAAAGCGACGTTTCTAGATTCTAGACAAACCCTGTTTTTTCCTGGCTGCATGTTCAAAAACTCGCGAACGGTGGGAGATGCAACGTCAGAGTCTCAAACAAGTCTCGAAATCTGGCGTGCGCCATTCGCTTCTGCAAAATCTGAATAGCTGAAGACTTGAAGTGCCTGTGCTTTCGATGCTTTCGGGAGGTTCCCCTACGTGTCTGGAACTTGGGAAGGCCACGTGGCCTCGATTCGTTTTGGTTCTGCGGCTTTCAGTCGGGTCTGCTTCCTTTAGGGATTCCAGTTCCCTGCGGCGCTGTCTGTCCTCTAGCTGGTCTTGCTTGGACTTGATGCTCACCTGAAGCTCACGATGCGCCTCCTCGAGCCTGAAACTCTCTTCCTGTATACTCGACATGCCTCCCGACTCTCAAGGAAGCATTGTGTGTCTGCCGCAGCCATGCCGCTACCCAAGTCACGTCACAGTAGACACATGGCTTAATTTTAATCTAGCAGATCAGCTCTGCGAAGGTCCCTTTCCATGTGATCATGCTGGTTCCCTGGCCAAGAGGCTGTCCGCTTGTCGCTTCTTCAACGCGGCATTTTCTGCCTTCAAGTTGACCACCTCTTTACCAACGCTGGCCAACCTCCACTTCGCGACGGGGAGGGCTGCTGAGGGCTGAGCGACAGATTCAAGAGACACACAGAGACACGCAGTCACGTAGGTCTCGGACTTCATGGTTGCCTTGGCACGGGATGGCACAGAGGGTTTACTCCAGTCTCTCACGATGTTGCAGAAATCACAGGCAGGGTGAGGCAAGGACGAGGTCCTGCTCGGTGACGCCGGGCTTCGAAATCTGGCTGAACAGACCTGAACTTCCAGGCTTTCTCCTCACACTCTCAGCTTCAACTTGCAGCCGAAGTGCGGGAGTCCAGATTGAGCTCCTGGCTCCATGATGCACCACACAAGAGGACTCATCTCGGACACCACGGACTTGGGCCAAGGAGCCTGTTGCAGCCTAGAAACGTCTTCGGCAGGTAACAACCTAAGCCAGTCGCTACCATCGAGGATGACACAGCTACGCATAGCCTAGAAAACCAGAAAAGGAGACGCCTTGACGGTCACCGTTCAAGATCCCTTACTTCCTAGAGGAGCTTTTCGAACGAATCGGGTGGTGTTGGGGCGCTGTTAGTCAGGTTAGGGCTCGCTGGTATTGGGCTTAAAGAGCAGCCAAGAAGCTGTCCCATCTGAGCCAGCATCCTTTGCAAAGCTGCCCTCAAATGGGCGACTTCCTGACAGGGATCTTCGGCGAAGAACACACCGGCACTTGGAGCCCTAACAGCCTAGCAGTTTTGGGCGTGGTGCGGGATTCATTTCGACTTGATTTGCGCGGACTGGGCTGGTGGCGGGATTCCTGGCATCTGGGCGGGGAGGCTTTCAAGAGAAGCGCCTGGAGGAGTTGCTTCGTATCCCGACGGTGCCGGTGTTGCCACTCCGCGCAACCACCACAAAGACCGTCAGGTTGTGCCTGAGCTTTGTATTCAGCTCCCACGTGTCCAGTGGACAGCTCTAGCAGCTGGTGGTTTGAAGTCGGGTTGCTCCTAGCACCAAGAATCCGAAGTCCCCTTCCCTAGAACCGCTCACCTCAATCCTTCTCCGCTGCACGCACCTCGATGACAGCCAGCGCCTGGCGCATGGCCAGGTATCGTGCCTTGCAGAAAGATCCACAGTGACTGCAAGGTACAGTAGGGCAGTCGGGGTACAGAGAAATGTCAACAATAGCTGAAGTCAGCACCTACGAAGTCAGAATACGACAATCTGCTCCCTACATGAGTTCTCACTTGCCGGGTACGCGCCTTCTGTTCGGAATCAGCCATGGCTCTCAGGCCCCAAGATGCAGCAGTTCCGGTATGATCCAAGTCTCTACGTTGGACAGATACCTAGAATCCTGGAGCTTGGGGATAGTTGAAGCCCCTGGCCCATAACCTTCAACTCAAGACTTCCAGCCTGCGGCTGCATGTGAATCAACTCCTGGGAGCCCTCTGATTGCGGGCGCATCAATCTTCGCAAGAAGCAGTGGCAGATAGGGGCGCGAGCGCAGAATGGGTGCAGGTGCCGTTTGCTGGGTCCGTGGTGCAGAGTCTCGCCAACGGAGGATGGGCTCCCTGCAGCGTGGAGCCAGGAAGCTGCACGGAGCCCAGGAGGCTTCCATATGGCACACCCTAGCAGAAGCTGGTTGCGATGGAGCCCTCAGCCCTCACACGAATTACAGGGGACCACCGACCTCCCTTTCTGTGTTCTCCCCGTCGCCTCATTCTTTGACACAAGTTTAGGCTTTCAGAGCTGATGCACTCCAAAGGCTCGGACCAACCAACTCCAGCTGCTGAAGCTTCAGGCCCAGGTGATCGAGCCTCCAAAGGACTCGACATTTTTCAGAAACCCTTCACTGCGGGGATGGCCAGACGGCCCTGATCCTAACAGCGAAGAGCGATCGTGGGCCGTCTTCCTCGCCTCCGACGGTACACTGTCCGCAAGGCCTCGGCAAGCAGTGGCGGCATGACTGCTGCCTCCGCACCCTTGCACCTCGCACGAAAGCTTGGGCCTCCTTGTGATAGTTCTTGGAGTGGTAGGCCTTCGGAAACGTGTCAGGATGTGGAAGGGACCAGCGAAGTACAAATCCCAGGTCCAGGCAGGCGTGGGGCCATAGCCGTATGCCATTGCAACTCAGGCTCCTCTTGAGCCACCAGGCGGTGTTTACAGCTCGCGGAAGTTGCTGTGCGCGGTTTCTTCACGTCCAACTGTGTCACCACTGTCGCCATGAAACCATATGCAGATGCACACCATGTGCAGCCATTGCAGCCTTTCTGGTCTGGCCCTTCGAACCGGTAATACGCGGATTTCTGAAGCGTGAAACTCCACATCCTGAAAGCGTCGCGTCGTTGTCCGTCGCTGTTTTCTGTAACACTAAGACGCCACAACAGAACGATTTAGACCGACGCCACGAAGGACCGGTGATGCAGCTGGTCAAGAACTTCATGCCTTGACCCTGCATCGCCCCAGGGAAATTCGTAAATACGTGCAGGCCTGTGAAGGCCAAGTCGGAGATTTACTGTGCCTCGCTGGCAACCAAACGCAGGAAAATAGGCTGCGCACGAGGCAGGTTGGTAAGCTCGTCATCTCGAAACAACCCACCTTCGCCAGTGCGGCCAAGAGTACGCCCTGCTCATGTTAACGTTTCTGCGACCACAACTTGCAAACCTGTTGTACTGGGGCGGCGTGTAGCCACTGGCACTCGCGCGAAGTAACAGTGGACAGCAGATATACCATTGTGATCTTTATACACAGCTGGCTCGCCGTCCAGCGATCAAATTGCATGGATTTCACAGGCTCGAGGGCTTCTGACATGGGGCTGATCGTGGAGGAGTGCTGATTTAAAGGGTTCGAAGCGACGGTCCGTTCAGCAGATGTCAGCAGCCTCCCAAGCCGGACGACCACTTGGCAGCCGTCGACTTGTCCCAAAGTTTCTGCAGCTTGCCCTTTGGCAAGGCAGATACTTTGCTCAGGAATCTTGATCCTTGGCAATCCAGCGCTAGGATTTTTTGAGAAAATTTCGGAGACTTGGTGCCCCGCAGAGCCCGGATACCGGCTGGAGAACACGCTGGCATCCGACTCCGAGCGGCGGCGACTGGGCGACCGCGCCTCAGCTGCTCCACTGCTACCTCCCGCAACCAGCACTTAACAATGACAATCGTTTCTCAGTGTGTCAGCAGAACCTGAACCCTTGCTTCGGTCGTCCTCATGGCAAACGTTCAGAATCGGGCTTCTCCGAATGCGGGCGGCGAAGATGCGACCGTCCTGCACTGGCACACATGCCTCGCTCCACAGGCGAGGCAATTGATCAGGCAGCCCAACATCTCGCCTGGGCGTGGCCTCGCAGGATTCCAAGCCATCCTCCTGAGAGACGCTGAGTTCCCGCTCTTTTAGGGCTTGCAATGCGCGAAGCACATTTGGCCGAGGTTGTGCTCACGCTTCGAAGATGACACGCTTCTCAGACGATGCTCCGGCTCGCACATGCGTGCGGAAGGCTGTTGCGATCTGCTAAACTGCTAAACACAACTCTGAGGCGACTGTCCAGACGAAGTCATGCATGCGGAATGCGCCTCCACCTCTGACCATGGATCTTCCGGCTCCGAGAGGAAGCCCTCACACAAGCAGGATCTTCACTAGAGGCTTCTGGCCAAGAACGACAAGTCTGACGACACGATACTCAGAGCCCATGCTGCATGCCTCCGTCATATAGCTGCGCGCCTGAAGGATGTCTGGATTCGGGAAAGCGAGTCTATCGCTGACGGCAGGCAATGGCTCGGCAGGGTTTTCCGGGTGCACTGCTGGCTTCAGGGTCTTGGACTCTCGGATAGGGTCCTCGGAGATTCTCAAGATGACCTGCGCACGGCAGCAGCACCGCCGCCGGAGGAAGAGCACCCCAAAAGCACCGAGCGGAGCGGTCGGGTGTCTCTACCAGAGGCCTCCAAGCTGACCGGGCGATGGTCACTTCCCAGTTGCGAGTGGTTCACCTCCCGCCGGGGCAGAGCAAATCATCCCGTCATCCGATCCGATTTTTTCAGCGCCTCGTAGCCGCCCCTCGGCAGCTCCCAGCTGATGCGATCGTAGAGCGCATCCGAGGCCCAGTAGATCACCCGGTCGGCACACGAGGGGAACCTGGCCACTGGGAAGATCAGGCCAGGACCCGCGAGCGCCATGGGATTCATGTTGCAGACACACACAGAGTTGCGAAAGAACTCCCGAATGGTGCGAAACGCGGAAATCTCCATTCATCTGCGCTACCAACTAAGTTACGCTGCAAGAAGTGGGCTCCTGAAAGATCGGAAGTCCTTCTGCTTGAAGGCCTGTGCACGGTGCGAAGGCTTGCCAAATGAGCCCGCTCTTCAAACTGATGCCCAAAATTGCCCAAAGCAACCTAACCCAAGGTGCTAGTCCTCCTGATGCAGCGGCTGGCCATGCTGGTGAAACTGAGCCATCGAGTTGTCTCAATGTGCACAACCAAGCTCCGCGCTACCCCCCAGTTGTCCAGCCACTCCTGTCCCAAGGTCGCCAAGGTCCTGTCGCTTCATTGGTGTCCGAGCGCCGAGTGTTGCCAAGTTCTGGTTTTGCATCTCAGATATCCCGGAATGCCGTCAGCAGTGCTGCTGTGCAATGACTTCCCGTCACTGCTGTCCTCTTGTAGAGACCACCTTCTGTGCGCCTGAGGATCGACATCCAGCCATGTGTTCGGGACAGCACAGGACTGCCAAAGCCCCGTGGACACACGGAAGCCCTGAGCTTTAATTTACGGATGGTGAACCGTGGCATCCAAAGGCCCTTCACCCTCACGGCAGCACCATACACATGCCTGGTTTTGAAGCTCAGGACTACGCTTACTTGTCGTTGTGGAGGTCGTCTTCGTGGTCTGAACCTCCCCGGCAGTTGTCAAGACTTCACCAGTGGAATTCTGCTTAGCCTGCCTCAAATGTGACGGGAATGTGACCGCTTCCGAATTTATAGCCACCTGGCCTTGCTCAAGTCCGGAACAGAATCGGCTCGCAGTCGCCTTATCAACGGCGTAGCTCCGTAGCTTTGTAGCAGTTTCCTCAGCGACTGTGCAGGACGTCTTGAGGCCCCGACGCCTTGGACATCACATCACCTCGTAGGGACGACGTAGGATTCGACAACTGTGACAATCTACGAGTTTCAGCTGAAGAAAACGTCTGTTTCCGCTCTTCCACCTGACACTAGCCAGAGTGTCCTCGTATCAAACGACAGGACTTCGCGGGGAAAGAAGCAAACCTGCTCTCGTGCCTTCACCCGCCTGTCTTCAACACGGTTTCCGAACGGCAGAGGCGGCTACATGTCACCGAAGGTCGTGTACACAACACAACTAGTCTAGGGCTGGGCGGGGGCTCTACCAACTTCACACCAACAGGAGGACGAGGACGACCACCAGTACTTGCAACTGTAGCTCCAACTGCGATCCTCCGATAGTGACGAGATCAAGCGGGGTCCATCGCGCTCTGTCTCGGAGCTGAGTTCTGCACCTATGGTGAGATAATGCTCGCGGTCTGAGCCTGCACATGAGCGTTGGCAGCATTGGGTCTATGTGCAGCTATCCGAGACTAGCTTCGGCACTGGCGACTGGGCTGGAGAGCCCTAGACTCCAGACGCACAGCGTCCTCAACCTATCTCCCCCCAGAATTGATCACCTGAAGCTGCAAGGCCAAGCCTGACTCCTCACTCTTGGGGGACTGTTCCGCACGCTCCGCGCGCCGGCGTGCAGGACCTCACGAAGTGTCGTCAAAGCAAACCGCGAGGCGAGGGAAAGCCCCGCCGGGGCCCCGGCTGTTGCCAGTCTGGCACACCTTCTTGTTGTTGAATTTGTAAGTTACAGGTAGCTCATGCACCTTGGCACCACGCAGCCAAGCATGGTGTGCAGCCAACCTGAGAAATCAGGATCCCGGCGCTGTCGTGCGACACGGCTTCACGCCATCGCCCGGCAGGCAAATCTTCCAACTGGCCCCAGAGGTGGGTGCGTTTCAGTGTCAGGCAAGTGTCAGTTCGCTGTGCGCTGCTCATCACCTGTTCCGTCACCTAACCATGCTAAGATTCAGGGCCTGCTGCTGAATTGCCGACTGCAGCGACTCGTCTTCCAGCAGCTCCAATAAGACATCGTTGACCTCGGGCTGGGCAACGCAAAGCGTGGTGCAGCAAAACTGGGATTTGCCGGGCCTCGCCCTCCCGGAGCACGGTCCGGCTGTTGATGTCCTGGCCAGAATGCACTTTGCTTCGTCGACGAGGTTCAGAGAGAACCCGGGTTTCAGCTCAGGATGGGTCCCCCTGGACGAAGATGATCGTTCGCTCGTCGGTCAGGCCCCTGCGAGAGCCGCAGTGGTTGAGAGTAGAGATCACTCCCTCTCACTGGCAATCTGGCAATCCTCTGGTGAGCTTTGCGGAGCACCTGCTCAAGGACCGGAGTCACTTTCAGAGAGAGAAGGTCCCGAATGTCACACCTTGCGCAAGGTCTTTGCCAGGGCGATCTTCGCTGCTTCCAGTGGGTCCTGCAAAGGGTCCTGGTGGTCGCGACAGGCAAGGGACGGTCGCAGCCCACGGCCCAGCATCTGAAAAGGTTTGATGGAGCGCTGTCCTCCAGCGCTGCCGCTATCTGTGTGATGGGGAAGTGACAGCTGACGAAGCAGATGCGGATGCCTTACAGCTCGAGCGTCACATGCAGCATTGGAGGACGGCTACCGAATCCTTGCCCTACTAGGCAGCTACCGACCAAAGCTCCACCAGAGCCGCCACTGGGGCTGTGTGTGTGTGTGTGGAACACCTGTTTGCCAAGGTTTCAATGATTCATTCGTATACTTTCATGCAGGGGGCGCGGGGTCCTCTGACACAGCTCGCGCCAACGAAGCTCTGTGTCAGATGGACAGGCAAACGTACCTGCAGGCCAGTTCCTGGGTGCTGGAAGCACAGCTGGATTGGCCATGAATATGGCAAGAGGCTAAACCAGAATCCTCTTTACATCCTACTCCTCTGTGTTGGAATGAAACAAACAATCGACTGATCCTGTTTGTCCAGAGGGAGGATTGCACGAGTGTGCTCTAGACGGCTTTCGTCGATCGTGTCGTCTACGGTAGGGTTGCCTACTGCAATGGCCCTGATCGGCCCAGTTGCATTCAAGGACCCTGATCGGTCCGAGCCCTGATCGGCTTCAAATCAAACCAAGACCCTTTGGTCTCGCTTCAGCAAATACTCTTCGGAGTTGTCATGCTTTCGCCTTAGGCATGATCGCCTAGTTTTCGACGGGACTAAGTATCTGTTTTGTCACAGCAATGCCCCTGATCGGCCCAGTTGCAGTGAAGGACCCTGATCGGTCCGAGAATGTTCTCCCCTGGACACCACTCAGATTCACAGCTGTCACATGATCCAGAAGAGTGCGCCAATTGCTGTGCCAGAAACGGAACAATGGGGGTATCATTGGTCGTCACACCCACGCTGCTCTCTTAAACGCCCTGGCTGTTTCAGCTGTCGGTCGGCAAGCACCGCAGGGCTGCGGCATTTTGGTAAGACCTGCGAACTGTGGATGCTTGACCGTATTAATAGGACATGCGCTGCAGGGCTGCGGCATTCTGTAAGACCTGCGAACTGCAAGCGCAGTCCTCTAACGGGGTTTGAAGTGCCCAATGTGGGCCACCCCTTATTTGTCTTTTCTTTTTCCGCATGTGTCATTTCGCAGTCACAGTTCCTTTCTATTTCAATGCTCGCAGCCAGAGAGGTTTTTTAAGCCCGAAGGGCGGCCTCCAGCTGCAACTCCTTTACTTTTCGTTTCCGTTACTTTTCTTTTAAGGCTACACAGCCAACCGCCCGCCCTCCTGCAAACATCTGTCTTTTCTTTTTTCTTTTCTTTTTCCGCTTCCCTAATGCAAAGCAAGGGCCGAGCACAAAAGCCTGTTGGCTACCCCGCAAAGCGGGGTGTGTGTGTGGAACACCTGTTTGCCAAGGTTTCAATGATTCATTCGTATACTTTCATGCAGGGGGCGCGGGGTCCTCTGACACAGCTCGCGCCAACGAAGCTCTGTGTCAGATGGACAGGCAAACGTACCTGCAGGCCAGTTCCTGGGTGCTGGAAGCACAGCTGGATTGGCCATGAATATGGCAAGAGGCTAAGCCAGAATCCTCTTTACATCCTACTCCTCTGTGTTGGAATGAAACAAACAATCGACTGATCCTGTTTGTCCAGAGGGAGGATTGCACGTGTGTGTGTGTGTGTGTGTGTGTGTGTGTTTGTGTGTGTGTGTGTGTGTGTGTTTGTGTGTGTGTGTGTGTTTCTGGGAGTGCATCTGGCTCAGCCTTGACATCTTCCTAACGTATATGCACTTCATTGTGTTGTGTGCTATTTAGGACATGTGCCCTGACCAAAAGAGAAAGCTTCAAGCAGACAACAGACCCCACGATGACTATCAGGATGAGGATTGGGATGATGATGATCAGCATCATCATGACAATCGTGACTATGATGATCGTGATAATGATCATGATAATGATTCATGACCAGAACAGTGATCATGAAAATGATCATGATAATGATCAGGCTGATGATCATGATAATGTTCATGGTAATGATCATGATAAGAAAGCTCATTAACAATACTCATAATGAGTATCAGGATAATGGTCATGACAATGATGATGACGATGGTGGATGATGATGATGATGATGATGATGATGCTGAGGCTGAGGCTGAGGCTGGGGCTGGGGCTGAAGATGAGGATGAGGATGAGGGTGGATGAGGATGAGGGTGGATGAGGATAAGGATGAGTGCAAATTCCTGGCGGCGCGGTGGCGGTGGCGGTGGTGGTTGGGGGCGGAGGTGGGGGCTCAGGCGGGGCGGAGGGGGCGAGGGTGCTGGCAGTGGCGGTGACAAATCTCCGGAGAACTCCGGACAAGGTGACGTTCAACGCATAAAGGTGACGTTCAACGCATAAACTCCGCCCGCCTTCCCCAGCTCCGGGCAGGATCAAGCTGCGTCCGATGAATGCCTACAACTCCGGCAAGGCTCTGCTCTGGTGTCTATCTGACGACGGCCGCTCCTTCTTCGGGTTCGGCACTGGAACTCCTCATGCGGCATACGACAAAGCATAAGGCCGTTGACCACAGCTTCTGGAACTCGGTATATTCATACGGTCAGCGACAGCTGGCAGAGATGCATTGCAGAGATAGGTGGACGGATGCCAAGGCTTAGCGGCCCTTGCCATGAGAGCGCATCTCGTAAGTCGCCTGTCCTCCAACCTGCCTTTCCGTCAATCTTCCGAAGATGCCACCAGACTTGTCCTGCCACTCCGGCAGCAAAGATGTAGCTGCTTGACACATCACAGTAACTTAGTCCGCTGATTTCCTTGCGTGCCTGTTTACTTACTTACATGCATCCCTTCCCACCTCCTGGAACTCATCGCTGCAGAAGGCGAGCCTGGGGCACGCAGGATTCAGGCGCTTGGAGTTTGGGCCTTTGGGCACCAAAGCGCTCCCTGAGCCGGGCGCATGGACTTTAAATTGCCGTTGTAGCTTGCGGCAAGTCCTGCACCCCGGGCAACTTGTCGCCAGAGCAGAGCGCTTCCCCCACCCGACCACGGCCTTCAACAAAGCTTCGGACCACATTTCGTGAGCTGATACTTCCCTGACACGGCCGTGGTTGGAATGACGACTTGCAGCTGAAGCAGTCACCTCGCGCCGGGCACTCTGCGTCAGGAGAGAGTCCAAGCGAGGCTTCCTCGGAACCGTCGGCACCCGTCGAAAGAGGCTTCAGGCACTTCTGACCACTGCCATGTCTGGGGACCCGGCTGGTCGCCCGACGTGTACTTGGCCACCCAGCTTGTGAAGTTCAAACGTGTCTGGCCAGGACCGGCCGAAGGTCAAGGTATCAGTATGTCAAGTTGCCGTCAACATGGCTTCACGATGCTGCATGCGTTTGCAAGACACACCTCGACGAAGGTGGCGAAGGAGACGTCTAGGGATCGCCCATCTGCCAAAGCTTCGGACAGGGCATCGCAAAACACGCCGCGTCCTCCTGGGAAACGAGAGGCTTCAGTCTTCAGGCACTGGCTCAGAGACATGGATCGGTCGGCATTGTGGTTTCGTTTTCACATGCTGCAACCCTGTTCAGCAATGCATCCTCTCCTGGTCCAGAGAGCTCATCGACAGATCGGAAGTCAGAGTCTCAGATGAAAGTAATCATTGCTAGAGACAACGTGCCCGCAGCCATGCCAACTGCAGCACTTTCCAAACTCTCCGGAAATGCTGTGCTGCACTCAGGGCAGCTCTGTTCCCCATGTTGAAATTGTAGAATCGGAGCCTCGTGCCAGACACTTTCCTGGTAATGAACAAACAACAGAAACACACACACACAGGCGCCTGTACTCTTGCCACGGCTTTGAAACATCTCCAAGAGAAGTGGGCCTGAGGCAGCCATGTTCCACATTCCAAAACTCCAACACTTAGTGTGCCGAACAAAAAGAGACCAGTTCATGGGAGCGCACTCCATGTCAGAACTTAAACTGCAAACCCACGGAACGCAGCCACCACAGGGCACCGGGCAAGGACAGGCATCGGCTCTGAGTCGGAGTGCCTTCCGCGGTGCACCATGCTGGGCCAATGTTTGCATAGCCACAGAAGCTATCCACCGAAACTTGGCTTTGCTGAGGACTCTCCTACATGCCTGTGTTCTCGTCCAGGTGCACGATGTCCGTAGTGTGACCTCAGGTAACACAAACTGCAGCACTGTGTCTTCAAGACTTTGAATCACCAGGCCTTCAGAGATGTACTCGAAGCCGACCGTCCTGTCCTCAGAAGACATTCGCCGAAACTCAGTCCGACAATTCTGCTTCTCTGACATGCTGCTGGGCTTGGGGTTCCATGGTTCAACACCCTTGAAGCTTGCAAGCCCGGTCTGTAGCTGGAATGAGTCCCGGGGCTCTGCGGCCATAGCACCACGTGAATATGAAAATTTGGAACCTCGATCCTGAAATAGGGAGCTTTGAGTGTTCGTCCTGATTTACGTGTCGGCCAGGCAACAAGACCCAAGACCCGGTGGATAGATATCAGTCTCGGTTGCGAAGACACCGGGGCGCCAGCAACGGCACCCACGCAGCAGTTCCTCCTTCGTCACACTCAAACTAAGAGGGGCCCGGCCCGAGTCTCGGGGCTGGATCCCATCGCCACAGTGCGCTTCCCGCAATCCAAGGTGCTCTCACACGGTCCTTTTGATACATCCTATCTCTTTCACACTATTTTACAAGTTGGTGAGGTCAGTGCTCACACGAACCGTTTGCAGAATCCCCGACCATGGAGAAGCTGCGAATTTCAATGCTAGGGTGTGGACATGCTTTGGCCATGCTGGAGACGACCAGGCCTGAAGCTGCAGTCAGCGGCGCTCGCGTTTCCCATCCTGGCTACAGCGGGGGCTTGTGCGGATCCGGTTCCGCCCTTCGCTGCAATCAGCCTGCCCAGGCTGCCCAGGCTCAGAGGTGTCTCGGAAGACACGCAACGCCTGCAAGCCCCAAGAAAAGATTGGGATTGAGCATTGGAGCAGCCCTCGCGGTCATGGGGCCTTCCATTGCGAGATGCATTTACCCGGTGTCCCCCAACCGGTGTCAACTGAACCGTAGAACTGCAGTAGACTCCGCCACATTGAAAGACTGCACGAACTGCTCAACTGTGCTGGGGCGTGGTGGGTCGCGCGTGTAAGCGGAGCCGAATCTTTTGTCTTGCTGCCCTTGGTGGGACTGTCTGCAAGCACGCCGCCCCAAACCTGTGATTTCTTCAATTTGCTTCACATATGCAACCGCCACTTTCGGCTGGCTGGTGATGTATCAGGGCCTCACGAAACGGCCTGTCCTTAGCCCCTAGATTGCTGACCGAATACGGCCCAGCACGGCTCAGCCACGCAGCAGGTCCTACGGGGTGACTCCTCGCACTTTCACGTCTTCCTGAGCGGGCAGTTCTGATGTAAAGATGCAAGCAGAGGAAGATCCCATGCGGGGCCTTGCTGAGGAACCCGGCAGGATCCACCTTCGCCCGCTACTCACTGGTCGGCCAAAGGAAGCCAGCTTCACTCTACTGAACTCAACTTCCGAGCATCCGGCTTCATTCGGCACATACTTGACCTCCCAAGCGATTGGGTCATAGTAGACTCTGCGCGCATTGCCTGCACCATCATCCTGCAAGCAGCGTGCTTGCACGATCGCATGCGCCAGAGCCACAGCAGCCCTCGCTCCTGCGGCTGCGCTGCTATCCACATCTTTTCCGTCTTGTGGTACAGCCATCCACGCTCGTACCTTTGCATGGCCAAGGAACCATGTCAAGTCGAGACCAACTGAGACAAAACGGCGCGCAATTGCCATGCCGCAAGAGCCTTGGCATGTATCAACGATCTCGTTTCGTCAAGGCTCTCTTGCCGGAACAAGTAAAGCACGCAGCACTCACTAAGACTGGAACTTGTTGCATGTCCCTGGGCATACTGTAGAACATGTAGAACAGAGTCTCCAGGGAAAACTTTGAGAAGTGTTCCTGGCAGATAGCTTCTCCAGGATCGTTGACCACGTGAGCCCATCTCGCTGTGCTTCACTGCATGTCAAGGATTGTCAACCAACCTCATTTGCGGCTTTCCGATTTAAACCAAACCTCATGGAACCCTTACCTTCTCACGTTTTCCGTGAGGCTGGAAGTAGCAAGATCTGGCAGACCGAAACCGGCCCAAGCCCACTTTTACCTTCAGGTCTGAGGCTTGATTTCAACCTGAGGCTCAGCTTTCTTCGGTGAGGGCCGAGGGCTGGCTTCCCAGGAGCAAGGTATGACGAAAGACCCGGCCCCAGAATGGCAACTGGAGCTCTCTTCGAGAAAAGGGCAACAACGCGCCGAAGCCACCAACTTCGGACTCGGAGGGTTCATGAAGTAGCCTGGGACATCGCTGCAAAGCTGCTAAGCTGCTAAGCAAGCTAAGATGCTGCATGAGGTTGCTGTCAAGCTGCTTTGAGGTAGATAGAACTCTGGCTCCCGGCGCGGTGGCGTGTCGTTCCTCCAGAGCCACGAAAGGTCATGGAAGTCTTGCGGAGACACAGACTAGTGACTATAAGAAGCCCTTTCCCCCGAAAGTTTCTCACAGTCCTGCCAGTCAGATCCATACCCAGGGCCAGGGTGTTAAGATGTGGATCTGACATGCGAACCACCTGCGCAGCAGCTTGTTTTCAATCGTGCACAGGCTCTGGGGCAGCCCGCCTCCAAGATCCCCACCATTCCAAACTTGTCACGGAGGGCGTGGGAAGCCTGGCACAGCTGAAGCCGGAGGTCAGGCGCGAAGATCACTGCAGCCGGTACCTGAAGCGTGGTGACGTAGAGCGCTTGATGCTTGCGCTGCTCCTCCAATTCAAAGGAAAAAAGGCACCGACAGTGCTGCAGCATCCCAGCTCGAGCATGGCGCTCCTCCGGCGTCAAGTTCTCGGGCATCTGGGCAGGAACTACCTCGGCAGGAGATGAAACGCAGACACCGTGCACCAGTCACGCACCAACTTGCCGAGGGCCTGGAAGGGCTCCGGTGGCGGGATTGCCTGGCCCTGGCAATTTCAACTACCAGTGGCCGGTGGCAGGGCAAAGCTCCCAGCCCAGCCGGACCTCTGTGACTGGCAGGACGGGCGTGGATGCCCGCGCCGGTGCCGGTGCCCCCATCACAGGCGGCCTCGTGGGTGCAAAGATCGTGCCAGGTTGATACGCATGCCAGGAACCGACCCTGACGGCGGTGGTGGTTGCAGCACACGGACTCCAGCGGCCGGACCTCCGCACGAAAGTAGAAGAATGTGCCGCGCGCAATCAGAGGAAGCAGGCCTGCAGCTACAGCCGTCCTTATTGCAAGCACAGGATGCGATACGGCAGATACTCTGCGGCTGTGCTTGAATGAGTCTGCGGCGTTGCCTTTGGCATGCCCATGCTGCCCTGCCAACATCACAGTGGAAAGACTTGAGTCGCAAGTTCCTTGGGGAGCTTTTTTACCGTGCGCCTGTGTGGAAGAAGGCGGTTGGGGCGGTGGTGACGACGGAGGAGGGCGCGACTGGTCGTCAGTCATGATAGTAAAGAACTTACACTCTGATGAGGGCTGTGCCAACAAAAAAAGAAAAAGTAACGAAACAACAGTGAGCAAACTAGTCATATCGGACATGCAAGTTGCAGGCATCAAAAACCCAAAACTCGGCCCGGCTTGGCTAACTGCGCTCAGACTCAGTGAGGCACCGGTTGGCCACTCGCACCACAGGGCCCGGGCCCAGCAAGCCCCGCCTTGCCGCGACGTAGTCTGCGAATGTGCGAAACACAGAGCTTTGCTTGAAAGAGCGCGCGGCCGGGCCTGGGCAGTGTAGCCTGATTCTGGCTGGGCTATGAATGCCATGCAATCATCCAATCCATAACGTTGCTACTGTTCACCACTTGGGCTGCTACCTCTCCACTCCTGGCCAGGACTCGCTTCCACGACTACTCCAGACTGCCCAACGCCAAAGGACTGTCAGACAAAGAACACACATGTTCATGACAAGCAAAAAAGCGAGAGAACACGAGCAGTGAGGCACCGCGTCTGGGATGCTGTCGGGCCTGCGCCGGCATTGCAGAGAGAAAACGCAGCTTCATGCTACCAGTGCAATTCACTGTCCGCAGGTCGGTGCACCGCTTGCAAGCTTCAGTCAATTTCGCGCGCTTCGCTCTGCGATCTCGGGATCGGAATGCCAGCGGCTCCACAAGCTCCTCTCTGGCCAGAGAGCTCCGTGGGCTTCGGCAGAGGCTCCTTGGCGTTCATGCGTAGCGAAAGGCTCCGCCTCAAACTCGCAGACGATGCCCTCGTACTGTCTGTAGCAACAGTGGCTCATTGTCCGGTGATGCCGAAGTCCGGATCTATCTCATCCACCTCGTCGTTGAACATGACACGTGCCTGGGTCCCCCAGCCCAAAATCCCGAGTCTGACGACATGGGACGGCCGCGCATCGAGAAAAATGGGTCTCTGAAATCATTCCGTGAGTTGCTCCTGGAGGAAGCTTCCGGCGACGCTTCGCCTCGCAGGAACATAGCGAAAGCCCCCGGCGAGTATTGCAGGAGATCGAAGGATTGGAGTGGTCTCTGGTCTGTAAGACTGTAAGCACCTTACAGGAAGGTCTGCGACATCGACGGACACCGCGGCACCTGGGCGCGGTGCTGCCGTGCTCATCCCGCGGCAGAATCGAGATCTCGTGCCGACTTGGGGCCACACCTCGTTTCCTTGGAGGAGACCGTGTGAGGCCTGGGGCGAGTCGGTGAAGTTTGAATGTTTGCATATGGCATAAGGGGGTTTCGGATTGATCAGAAAGACAAGCTGACAAGCCTGCCCTCTCCGCGTCTTGAGAGTCGTCCTTGTCCTCCTCAGTCTCCTCCCCTCCACTCAGCTCCTCTGAATGAGGGCATACCATGGCGACAACTGCAGACCCTGTGCTTCAGCGGAGCTGTCCTGGAGTTGCTCTGGTGACACCCAAGACTCGGCTGTGCACCCGCTGGATGACCTGATTATTCTTGGCGTGCTTGGCAGACTGCGCGGGGCCAAACGCGCTCGTGGCTCCAAGCGACCTCAAGGCTGAGAGCCCTGCTTGCGAGGCTCGCTGTCAGGCATGCCCTCCTCGCAACCTTTTACGCCCAGGACCAGCCCAGCTTTGGGATCTGTTGGAAGGCTCTTGGCATCGCCCTCCATGGCTGCTGGCACTGATGACAAAGACTGAGTCTAGTGAATATTTCTGGGAGGAAGGAAGCTGAAAAAAGAGTGGTCTCAAGTGTCGGTTCACACTGTCTTGCCTACTGTTGCAAGCCAGTCTGCTTGACAGCCAAGCATGCTTCTCCACCAATCTATGAAGGCAGGAAGCAACAGCAATGCGGGATCGGCGCACCTCTGCATGATCGAGAAGAGCGGCTTCTACAAGGCTGTGCTGCGAAGATGTGAGGGCGATGCGATCAGAAAGATCAGGCTGGAGTCAGTCTCTGGAAAGAGCAAACCTACGCCGGATGACATAACACACGTCGCCAAGATGTCACACTCTGAACAGAGCCATGCAAGCAGCGCAGCAAACACCCACTGCAAGATATCGCAGCGACCGTTCTGTCGATTTAGTTGTCAATGGAACGATCTTTTGACTTCAATGGAACTCTGAGGAATTTCCGATATGATATGATGTTGGTTTGGCATGGCACTCTCACCGCTATGTACAAGTTGCAAACAGCAGGAACATAGGCGGGACTTTGCTCACAGCCTACTCCTTCACCAGCTTTGGGTTGAAAACAAGCTTGAGACGAGCCTGTTTTGACAGCACTGCCAAAAAACCTCTGTAAGAATCCTATCTCACGGGGGTCCGGGATCGTCACATTTCTGGCCACCTTCCTGCTGCGAATTTCAAAGAACTTCAAGGCTTGAAGGGATGCGTGCTGCGCGTGCTGCGACCTGGAGCATCTTCTGGAGCCGCTGCGACTCTGCCCACAGCTTTGCAGCCTTCTGCCTGCCAAGATCGGAGGTGCAGCAGTGACTGAGGAAGCAGCACAGGCACAAGGTCGCCTGCAATCGTCACAATCCCTCCGAAGATCTGTCTCAGCGGCAGAGCGAGCGTTGCGAGACGCCGCAAACTCTTCTTCCCTCTGCTTGGCCAGCTTCAGCGCTTGGGTCATGCGCTGCAGAGCCAGCTCCAATGATGAGTCGCTGCCAGAGCCAGCCATAGTAAGCATTTCGGCATTTAGATATCTGGTGGAAAGATGTTGGAATCTACATGCACAATCCTTAGCTCTAATCAATGGGCGTTCTGACGGTATAAGCATATTAAAGGCACCCCTGGTGTGTGACAGCTGCGGCCTAGCTACGCACGCTTACGGAAATACCTGAACAGTGTGCAAGCTCTTGCAGAGGTGCAAAGGTCCTGTTTCTGCTCTTGACAGCACTCGTTGAAAGGCCACCACGGTCGTCTCCAGCTTGCTCGGCGGCAAGACAGGGACGCACTGAGACAGCCGGCGTTAGCCTCCTCTCACAGCAGCCACGGATTGAGCCACTGGTAGATGCTGGTAGACTGTGACTTGCTTCTATGCTCAGGCCGAAAAGGACAGTGTGTTTGCTCACGATCATCATGGCAAGCCGGATTCATGCGCTGCGTCACACGAACTTTCAAAATCCATGCAACGAGCTACAGAAAAAGACGACACATTGGTGATTAAAATGGGTGGACTGCCGGCAGCTCCGACGACATCCGCATGGCCAAGGCACAGTGCGAGAAATGCACGTGGAAGATGGGCTGCCAACACAGAAACCAGACGTCACACGTCACCAGCCACAAGTGCCAGGAGGGGCACCATGATGTGATCTCAAGCTGCAAGCTTCTGCGAGCTCAAGTGGTTCAAGCCTTCAGCGACAGCCTGTACAATCTCGCTCCCATTTGGGATCCTGGCTGCGAGCCGTGGGAGCTGCTCAAGGGGCCGACAACAGATGTTTTGAACCTCTTGCGCCTCAGAAACCGGGGTCATCGTCGGCACCCTGTGCTTCCCTGTCCATCTGTCCATGGCACAACGCGGTGCAGTACTATGGTGAAACATCTGTGCACAGCATATCACGCGTCCAGTAACCGACAACAGGTGCACACATCGTCGAGAACCATTTTCAAAAAAAGATACAGATCGGGGTGTAGACAATTCGCAGAGTGCCCCACAGAAAACGCAGAGCCTCTGAACATCTCATCGTTTCACGCCGTCCTGTGGGTCCAGCTTGCAAGACACCAAAACATGCTGAGCGCTCGGTGGAGCACCTGAGGCAGAGGTCCAGGTGTCCATCATGGTGGACAATCTGCCGCAGGCACTTCACCTAGCAGGCTTGGACGAGACGCTTCGTGCCAAAGTGTCCTGAAGTGTCCTGAGTCCCCGACAATGACTGCATGCTGCTTGCGCAGTTCCTCCACGCCTGGTCTGTCCATGAACCTCGACAGCCGTCGCTGCCATCGCTTTCAGAAATGTCCCAAACAACTGCAGGCCCAGCTTTAAATTCTTCCTCGTCGTGTCCGGCATGTTGGCCTCAAGCTACAACGAGACTGCAACGAAACCCTGGCCGGTCAGTGGGTCAAATCTGAGGCTGTAGCCGTGGCCTTGATCAAGGCCTCCCGCTCGTGGCCACTGTCCCCGAAGGACAAGATGTTCCGCCGCCTCTCGTTTTCTCTGGCCGGACTCTGGCCGCTCGAAGGCAGGCATGCACACTCTGCAAGCCTGGTGCGCCCGGGGCTCTGGAAGACCCGTCCGATCTCGTTGTGGAAAGCATGCAGCTTCCACTGGCAGGCGGCTCTGAGATTAGCAACTGTCTGTGAGCAACTCTTCACAGAGCCTCGAAAGGCGTCGGAACCAGTTCACTCTCGTACTGGGTGCGCGCTGACAGCGTTCTGACCTCGGTTTCAAGAGAACGATGAGGGGCTACCTCCTGCCCTTATGAAGTATGGACATTCCATGTATTCACGGTGTACCGCAAACGTGCTAGGCGGGAAGACGAACGATTGAACTAGCAGGACTTCTTGAAGCATCACAGAATGCAGAAAGTGCGTGAAGGCCAATCATAGGTGGTGAAACTGAAACCATGCTCGCCAAACCCCAGCATCCCCAGCCAACCACCGCTGGCGTTTGCCGTTGCCGAAGCACGACAAAGCCAGCATCAGCAGCATCATGCCCGCTTCTTACACCGCCACTCAAAAAGCCCACAACCATGCCGTCCCCCGCATATCCTGATCTAGCTGGGGTTTGTCGTCAATATAAGCAAGCCGCTGATCACTTCTGACCCGCTCACTATCTAAACCCCAAGGCATCTCAGAACCATGGATGCAATCTTTCTCACGACAAGCTGTCGTAACCTTGCGCTAAGTCTTTCATCTCCTACGACAACGCAACAAGAGTTCATGCTGCAGCAAGGCCCCTCAGATTATCAGGCGCAGGCCACCGCCAGGACTGGCAGCAGCTCGGGAAGAAACCTTTGGCAACTAAGCTCCACCTCAGCGGAAGCGATGATCCCTGGTGTCTGAAGCGGGAATCCATCTTCCAACGAGCAGATCACATAGACCAGAGATACTCAAGCCATTGTAGCTAGCCAGCGCGAAAACCGTTCATTGACTGACCACAGATTTCTGAAAACAGTGAAACGTGATGAACCTGTCGCGATACAGCCGACCATGTAAAGCTGCCCTCTACACATCAAATCTGCTTAGACCGTCTCCACTGTGCACAGAACAAACATGCCGTGCAAGACGAGAGCCCTGCCCAGCCATGCTCCGCATTGGTGACGAGTAACTTGGCGAGTCTGCGACTATTCGAAAGCCTCCCGAACAGCCGCGTCGTGAACACAATGAGGTGGTGGCCACAGTGCCCAGCCGCATGGCCTCGCCAAGTCAACGCGGCGTCCCTGGCTCTGAGTCTAGTCTTGGGCCCTGACCAGGGTCAGCGTCTGTGTCGCGAGCCTCGCCCATTAAGAGGCAGAACGGCACAGAGGCAACCTGACAGAGGCCGTCCGGCGCCGGACCTTGCCAGCTCGGAGAGCTTCGCCTGTCGTGAGCTCCCGCAATGCCGATGCTCGCATTTCCGCCGGGGAGTGCCGAGGGCCAATCCTGTTGCTCTGGCGTGAAGTCCTGTCGACGTCTTCCGGGCTTCCGCAGCTTCCGACTCGAAGGATCGAAGGCTCCCGGATCCTCGCCCTCAAGGCTGAGCCCCTCCTCCATGACCTCAGGCCCGCGGCACTGCAACTGAGCAGCGCGAAGAGCTTGCTGCTAAATCCAAGCTCAAAACCCACGAGGAGGGCATCACCGTGTCATCCCAGTCGAAGATGATCAAGGTCTCCTCGATCTTTGCAGAAAGTGAGAGAGGGAGGGAGAGCCGGAGAGCCGGAGAGTGAGAGAGGGAGGGGGGGGTCCGAAAGAAACGAGTGGAGGCTCCTCCGCGGAGAATTGATGCCGGCCCTCCACGTCATCCTCATCACTGTCCTCCTCGGGTCGGTCTGTTTTCAGTCCAGGCCCAAGACAGCGAAAACAGCATGCTTTCCCCCCCATTTCAAGGATGTCATGGCTGACCTCCTTCGGGAGCATGTCATCGGCAGGCCTGCATGGTCCGTGCGTGGCACCGCGAGTCTGGTGGCTGGTCCAAGCATCGCGCATGCGCTGGGGGCAGACGGGCTCAGCCGCCATCAACGCCGCCATGGCGTCACTGGACAACTCGCAGAATCTTCTCAAAGTGCTAAAGTTACTACAGGAAACATCGGAAGACATGCAGACTACCCCAGTATGTGAATGATTGCGAGTTTCTGCAGAATAAAGTGTTTGCCGAGCCGCCTGCAAAGTACCGACATCGCACATCACAAATCCCCGCACGCCCAAGTGGTCATGCCTGCTTACCTTTCCATGATCCAGTGAATGTCACAAAAACAGAAGTGATCAAGGTCTCACGCCGATGACTTTTTGCTGCACATCTGGCACTCGCTTTGCTCAGATGGAAACTGGCCCGGCCCGTAGCGTGCATGAGCCTAGTTCGATGCGTTGGGGCTAGCAGTGTTGCCTTATGACAATCCGGGCGTGTTTCCACGTGCCAGCCTACTGAAAGACAGGCTAAGCCTCCCTTTGACAGCATACGGAAAGAAGCTGACGAAGGGGGGTGGGGGGCGGGCAGCCTCCAGGAACAAGAAGCCTTTGCGGGCGCTTGGATCAGAAACGAAGCACCTTCAGAAAAGCTGTCCACCTAGGCTTCTTTTGTTGGTGGCAACATGCCCAACGTGACACGAATTGGGAAGTTGCAAGGCGGCCAAACATGCCACAAACAAATCTTCAAATTATGCCTCCGCTTGCAGCAACACAGCAACATCCTGTTCCCTCGGCGTCTGACCAGCTTTCGCTAGCGACTCCTCGTGCTGAGCCGAAGCCGCCGAGCTGTCTCTGCAACTCTCTCGGAGACGGCATTCGCCCACACCAGCCAAGCCTCAGGTCCGGGTCAACCGTCAGCTTTACCAGCACCCAAGGCCTGCAACACATCGATGCGATAGCCAGACACTTGTGCTTGCTTGGATGTCGGCTGATGCACCATGGTAATCAGTCAGAGTCAGTCAACAGGCCGCCTGTGGAAGCATTGACTTGCGACACCTGGGTGCGATCATGCCAGCTCGAAGATTTCGCAGCAGATCATGCCCAATCTCTTTATCTTGACAATCATTGGAAACGTCTCTGCCTGAGCGATCCTGGACAGAGCGGGCAGTGACGGGGCGAATGTGAGGCATACACGACCAAAAAACACTTGAAGCAAGACTTTTTTCTGACATCAGCGCAGGTGCTTTTCACACGGCAGAGTCGGGCGCAGAGTCCAGTCCATCGCAATTCGCGATTAGTGCTGGGAAAGCCGCACACACCCTGTGGTCAAGTTCCAAATGTGATCGGGGCAGAAAAAGGCCCACGCGATTTTTGCGCCGGACCAAGCCACACAAGCGATGATTAGGAGCAGCAGCGGGAGCCCCATGCAGCCGAGCATTTTCATGCTGTGCATCGCACGGTGTAAAAGCAGCGTGGCCCCGAGGCAACATCCGAGGATCACTTTGTCCTTGGCACCAGCAGCTTCTCGATGGAACGCCAGGGCCAGAAAGGAGCTCTGAATCCAGAGCTGCAAACATCGACCCAACAAAAGCTTGCCCAGCATCAGCAGCATGAAGTGAGCACTCTCCGAGAAGTGGACATGAGCTGCCAGGTTTCGATTGAAGTCTTCATACATGACTGCCGTGTCGGGATCCAGTTTATTGCCAAAAGGAGCAGCACCTTCTCGAGCATCTGCTTGGCTGTGATCCGTGAAATGGCGCTTCTGGTTCGCCATTTCCTCGGCTAGCATTGCCACGCTTGGCATCAGCGCTGTCTCTGCCGCTCGCGCCCAGGCCACGAAATCAGTACCAGTGGCCTGCCCATCGTGGCTGAAGGGAATGCAAAGCAACAGGCCGGCGACGCCATTCACGAGGATGACTGTTGCGGTAGCAAGAAGTGCAAAGCCCCAGAACCTTACAGCTCTTACGAGGCTGGCGATGAATTGTCCCACGAGGGGGACATCGCGCCATGCCGTGCCCCAATCCTCCGTGAGGATCTCGTCACATGCACGTGCAACGAAGGGAAAGGTTGCATCAGTGAAAAGTATAAAGCCTTCACAAAGTCCCAGCAGCAAGAGCCACTTCCTGTGCTGCAACACTCCGAAGTGCTTCAGGATCACAAGCTCGGGCTCAGACACTAAGGACTTCATTGCCGACCATGCACAGGACTCGGCATACAAGTAGTGAAGCTCCACCAGAAACAGTGGAAGCAAGCTGAACAAGGAGTAGCCCTGCGAACAGGAAGCCTTGAATTGCCTTGGCGCTAATGATTCCCAGCCATAGACAGCCAGCGGCAACACCACCCAGGAAAGCAGAGAATGCCGAAGGAATTGCGTCCGCAGAGTTACCTGGACACTTTTGTCAAGCTCCGGCTTTGGATTGCCAGCATTGGTTGCAACCCGTGAATATCCATCAGGTCTCATGGCACGGACATACAGCCAAGGGGACACAGCCGGAGATTAGAACATGCCGTTATCGGAAGTTTTAAATGGATGAGCTCGCACAATCTTGATACCTTCCTCAGCGCGGAAACCTGCCTCGACTCTTCTATATCATCGTCCGATCATTTTATCCGAGTCAAGCCAGCTGTCGACTTGAGCACTTCAACTCTTTACAGCGCATGCGCAAATCACGGCAATGCTGTGAAACCTCCTTGTCCTGCAGCCTGCAACCCGAAAACCCAAGCCGTGCTGCTACGCGGAAGGTCTCGTCGGCTCAAGCCGCTGCTGTGAGGAGAGAAAAGCTGCGCCCTAAACCTTCACGAAGTCTAAGTGGCCCTGGAGCGCAGCTGGGTTTCGGGCTCAAGCAGCCAAGGCCTCGCGAGGCGAGCCGCTAGGCGGCGAGCCGCGGGCAGAGCCCCTGCTCAGGGCTGCGTAGGCTTGCCAGAGTCTTAGCAAACCTCCAAAGACATCCGTAGCAGTGCATGCGGTCCCGCTGAACAGCTTGTAACTTACCCCTCGGCAAAGTGGAAATTTCCACTAGGATCTCCCGGCCTGTCCGTGATGTCCTCTGCCGTCATTCGGCTTCGCTGCGATCTGCTCGAGTGCATGGACCGTGCCTGGGTCAAAACTCCGCAAGCCAAGGCCGCTCAGGGGCCAACGAAACTCTCAGCGCGAGGCTGTGTGAAACGACCTGAGTCAATGCAAGGGCCCTCGTGGTCCACTCGTGGTTCTGGTTTTGGATCCGCGAGGTGCCTGCCTTGCTGTGGAAGGGGTGGAGGGAGGAGTGCTGACGCTCTCACGCCTCGCAGCAGCGTTTTGCTTTGCTACTGACTGCTGCAAAACAAGACCCGGCCTTACCAGGTTCAGGGGCAATCGCAGGGCTCGTAGCAGATCCGGTCCAAAGCCTGCCGCAACGGAGCTTTCGAAGCTTTTCTTCTGTCGCTTCTGGCGTCTCCAACCTTCGTCGCCATCGGAACCTGAAGCTGCCTCGGACCTTGGGGAAATCACCCGAGTGCTGGGGCACGCTGCTGCTGAAATGCGAGCTTCAGGCGGAGCTCCGCCATCGGGGCGCCCAGGTCCCATCAGGCACCTCTGAAGAAAGAGCGCCAGCGCGGCTTTCTTGAGCGAGAGATGAGATCCGCTGAGAGCGGCACCAGTAGAGCACGGCCTGTCGCGTCATCAGCTCCTCCAAAGTCTTCTCATGCAATGAGAGACTGCGCTTGCTTGCCCCGAGCTTGCCTGCTCCCACTCTGTCACGGGACAGTCCCAGGTGCTCACCTCAAGTGTGCCGCTGTCGTGCGATCAGCCTCTGTGACTTCACCTGGACCTCGCCTTCAACCGATGGTTGTAGTAGTATTCGCCCTCCTCCGCGCCATAGGGACCGCTCCAGTCCTGAGCCAAGCCGGCGCCCTGGCCCCCAACCCCAACCTCCGCTCTTCCTGCGCCGCTACGCACACCATGCCTCGAGACAGCGCAGTGCCCGCTGGTGCACCTGGTCATCACACTTGGCGAAAGGCAAAGCCGGCACTCAGCACCTGCTACTTCGGACATCCCCACCTCACGGAGGTGGTTTTGAACAAGGGCGGCGCAGCCCTCGTAAGAGGCCGACACCCCAGACTGGCACACAGCTAGATGCGGAGCAGTCTCACACCCAAGAGACGGAATCAGATTCCAAGAAGCAAGCTAATATCCGACAGAACTGGCGATGCACACAAGCAAGTGGAACGCACGGTCGGGGCCTCTCGTGCTCGCTGAATCACATCTGCGGCAAGGGATGCATCGATTGTGGACATTCCGTCCCTCACAGTTACTTGTTCAGAGATCGAGCTCGTCTCCGATCCAGCTCCCTGTTCGCAACCATCTCGTTTTACTCGGGGCCACCGGGGTAATTTCCAAATTTCACAGCTGCAACAGCATTTGCCAGATCGCATGATGATATCCACACCCAACTCGGAAGCATATCGGCCGAGCTTTGCCGACCATGCTTTCAAGGGTGTTGTGGGTGACACTGGGCAGTATGCCGAAAACTCGAGGGTGGAAGCTGTTGCAGCACTGCTTTGTTTATCAGCCCTGCCCTTTGACAGTATGTGCCCTCGCCGTGCACTCTTAGATAGAAATGCCACCTGCAGGCTCAAACTCTGCCCCTTGTTCTGAGAGTTGCTTGTAAGCCTCCGCGAAATCCTTGAAGAAAGCAGCCTGATCATCCCGGTATTGCATAAAGTATTTCTTGAAGCTCTCGTCTTGGTGAAGGCACCGGTCCGATGACAACCAAAGCAGATTGACATCCTTCTCTTCATAAACTGAGGGCTGGAAGTATTCGTTGTCAAACTTGAGCCATTTTGATGTCCACGACTTCCCACCCGGCATGCCAACTCCTCCTTTCCCATCGTGTCTGATGGGGCAGGATGCTGGCAGGGCACGCGTGTAAGGGCAGCCGTTCGACTCACCATAGCCCTCTTTGACCGTGCCGCTTCGCTCTTTGAAAGCCCGGCCAATCGTATGCGCCCCGGAGAGCGCAACGATGCCCTTGTCATCGAAGCCCATCCTGGAGGCCGTGCCCTTGCACACCCTGCCCATCACTACACTGCCTGATTTTGTCCTACAGAGTCCAAGCATAGGCTCTAACTACGACACTCGCAGCTCCTGTAGAAGATGTTCCGCAGGTGGCTTGCTGCGTCTGTGGCGCCGCAGCCAAACTTGCCCTCTGGACCGGGCTCGGCATCAGGAAGCCCGGCATTGTCAGCCGTACCTGCCAGGAGAGGGTGCGAACATTGCTCCGAAGGGGCTGCGGTGCCTCTGAAGCCCTTCCAAGACCTCCCCAACTGGCCGGGTCGAAATATTACTAGGAAAGCCTCGGGATTGACGGCCAGGGCATGCATCGGGGCCCGTCGCGTCCTGCTGAAACATGCACAGGACTCCGGACTCCATGCCGAATACCAAGACCACCACTCCGGTCCTTGCGACCATACTTCATCTCTATCTTGGGTCCACCAGCATGCTCAATGCTGACGGCTGCTGCCATTTGGTAGAGGTCCGCATACGACACCAAGGGGTAGTCGGCCTGGGCCCGGGTTCTGCAAAGAAGTGCCATGCCACCATGCCCTTCCCGGCCTTGAAGGGCTCCAAGTACTTCACCGCTTTGTCCAAGCCGTTGTTGGCCCCCATAGTGATCTCCGGGGAGAAGCGGATGGAGCCGTTTGCACCGCCCCTGTCTCCAAAGTCGCTCTTGGACTTGTCGTAGGTGCCCGCATCGTGCCAGGCTAGCCGAAGCAGGATGGGGTTGCAGTTCATCTTGTCAACGAACCTGAAACCCCCAACCCCTGCGGACACTTAGCCCCAAATTTCAAGCCAAACCTTCCATGAACCTTGCATGGGCACCATAAGCGTGCTCCAGGAATCACAAAGGCTGAGATTCAGACTTCCAGAGGTCTTCCTTTAGGGACTTCAGCTGCCCAGCATGGTCCATCCCTTCACCCTTAGGCTTTCCACCGATCCTTGCAGCACTGTCCGACGCGCAAAGCTTGCCCATCCTTCAGTTGCTCGTTCACTGTGCACTCCGCCGACCGTCCTGTCCAGGACGCCGGCAAGTGCCGCCTTGTCGCCCTCCGCCGCTGCCGGCGGGTAGCCCAACTCGGCAGAGCAGCAGGGACACTTCAAGCTCTCCCAACTCCGAGTCCCTCCACAGTCCGAGGCGCATTGGACACCAGGTCTTCGTAAGTCTTCAGCTGCCGGGCCTCAGGGAAGGCTTGGGAAGCCCAAGGTCGGCGCAGGCGAGGTCCGTGCCTTGGCCAGGTCTTCGATGTCGTCGGCTTCGAAGGGAAGGCTTTTGCAGCAGCCCTTCTCCACACCTGATGCTTGCCAAGACTGGAGCAATTGGAGCAAAAGTGTGTCGAACCAAGATTCCTGGCGAGGCACCAAGAGAGTTCAGAGTGTGCGACAAAAGCTTTGGCTGTGGCCCGGTCCGGATGCAGGTGCCGCATCCGGTACCGGCTTTGGTGCACTTCTTGATGTCCTGCGACAGGGCTGCACAAAGCTGCAGAGGATCTCCGAAAGCTCGAGACTTAGATTGGGGTGTCTTGGGTCCTCGAAGGTGTGAGCGCCGCCCTTTATAGCGTCCCGGATGACTTTCTTCGGAACAGAGTGACAGTTGCACACCAAATCGTCGTCTCCGAGGTTGGTCCCATCGCCGCCGTCATCGACCTTCGGCATCTTCCCAGCCATCAAATCCTCCGGCGTGAGGCCGCCGATGTCCGCTCTCTTTGAGACCGCTGTGAGTGATGCGAAGTCGGAGATGTCGCCGACTAGAATCCCACCCAGTAGCTTCGTGCCATCGGCGGTGAAGACCAGCTTCTTGTAGCAGCCCGAAGCCTCATCTTTGGCCACAGTCGTCTTGACTTGCTCAGGATCCGTTGAGGTGTACTGGCGCTTAAACCAGAAATCGGAGGAGCCACCGAAAGATGCCACGTCCACTCCCAACAACTTCAGCTTGGTCGACAAGTCTGCGTCCATGAACTTGGAATCTGAACCAGGGTTGGTCAGGTGGTCGGCGAGGACCTCAGCTTGCGTGTAGCCTGGGGCGGAAAGCTGGTAGCACATGCCACCGTTGTAGGAGGCGATCTCGCCAACTGCCCACACGTGCTCATCCGTCACACTCCTCATTGTGTGGTCCGTCTTGACACCGCCCCGGCCTCCCAACTCGAGTCCGCTGGCTTCTGCGAGCTCCTGACGTGGCCGCACGCCTGCGCCGACGATGAGCAGCTGGACGTCCAAGACCTGCTCTTGGCCTCCCACTTCGATCTTCACTCCCTTCAAGCCAGCGTCGCCCTGCTGCACCTCCAGGACCTTCACACCTGTGTGAACTTTGATGCCCAAGGACTCGATCTTGCCCTTCAGCATGGCACCTGCCTCGGCATCCAGTTGCACCGGCATCAGCCCAGGCGCGACTTCCAGGACGTACGTCTCCAGTTTCAGGTCGTAGGCTGCCTGCAAAAGCCGGAGGCTTCTGTTCACATCACACACAAGGACACAGGCTCCTCTGCTCCTCTGCTCCTCATCTCGCCTTGGCAGCTTCCAGGCCCAGAAGGCCTCCCCCAATCACTGCTGCAGCCTTCGCATTCTTGGCCCTCTCCGTGACCTGCAATGGTGCCAAGCACACGATTCTCCGGCTTTCGAGTGAGGGAAGACCTGCCTGGAAAAGGTCATCGATCGTCCGGTAAACATGCACACCAGGCACCTCGTGGATGCAGCGTGAGCATAGAGGTGACCAAACAGGACATGAGACAAAGATACGTGCCGAGGCATCTGCCGCTAAACACTGGGTGCAGGCAAGGCGCATCGAGGGACAGGCCTGGTACCGGCGGCAGCCACGGTTTGCTCCCTGTTGCCAGCACCAGTTGGTCGTAGGCAGTGCTCTTCACCTCACCTGTAAAGGCCATTTGGCATTCCGGCGTTCAGCTCTCGAGCACCGCAGACGAGGCCCCGCCTTTCGGCGTAGTGTACTCGACGCTTTTCGCGGAGCGATCGATCTTCGTCGCCTTTCCAAGGAGCAGCTCCACGCCGTTGGACTGACACCACTCCACACCTCGCACACAGAGGTCACACTCAAAACCTTACTGTCCTGAAATTCTGTCATTGAACCCTCTAGGCCGGTAGGCTCGGTCTGAGGGCACCACTACTGAGGGCCAGCTGATTGGGGTCCCGATGCTCAAAGAAGGTAGTCAGCTTCACTCTGTTGTAGGCGGGGTAATTCTCCTCGCTGATGACCACAACTTGCAGGGCTCCGCTTTTGGCCAAGAGCTTCGCCACAACGGCATGGCCCACCGGACCCCACCCTACCTGGAGCAGTGAGCAGTCATGTGTACCTCTGGTAATTAGCAAAGTATGCAGTCGCGGAATTCAGCGTGAATTCGCGTCGAGTCTCGACGACCACACGCTGCTTGCCAGCCACGGCAGACTTCAACTTCTGCAAGTCCGCCGCATTCAGCTGCGATAGCGCTGCGGCAAGCTCCTGGTCCTCTCAACTGCAAGCATATCAGAGAAACCCTCAACGAAAGTTGTCCTAGCTTCGCCTTCTCCGCAATTCTTTACTGTTCAACCCACCCACAAGCACCCCCTTTACTCAGACAGCCACTTCATCTGACTTTAGTAAGTTGCCCGAGTCCGTCGCACCCGCAGCGGCAGACTTCAAGCTGGCAGAGGCCGCTGAACCCATGGCGTCCAGATCGGAAGCTACCAGTGAGGCTGTGAGCTGCGGGAAAAAGCCGAGTTGCCCGTGGAATGAGAACGTTAAGTCTCGCATTCTCGAGCGCTTGCTGCATCTTTCCTGACTGCCGAACTTACCCAGCAGCTACATAGCAAGTACCGGCGGATGTTCCATTTGGTCCATTTCAGCACGAAGATGCCCAGATCCAAAAACCAAGCGCCGCACTGAGCAATTCCCGATACACCGCGTCCATGGGATGTTCCCAGGTGGACTGGCTCGATGACTGGCACAGGGCGGAGACGTCTGAAGAGCTTTGAATGTGTGCTCTGAGGTTTGCAGGCTCTTGCCAATCACTACTACCTTAGCACTCCGAGGACAAGAGCAGGGTAGGGATGAACTGGGGCTGAAGGCGACCCCCGATGAGAAAAGGCAAAGTGCTGGAGATTGTCACCACCCGTTGCTTGCTACAACATGGACGAGCTCAAATGAGTGGACAATCGTTGTCTGCTTGACGCTGGGCTCACCATTTGTACTGTGACACTGACACAACACCACCGCCTTCACCAACACAACACCAGCACCAGCAACTTGGCCGCTACGACCTCTGCTATGACCTGCTGTACTTACCATTTTCACCATCTTCACCTTGAGTCAATCGTTCATCATCCCATCACGATCGTCATCATCCTCTGCATCAACATCCGTCGCATTCCTCTTGACCACGACGATCGGCACCACCAAAAAAGACTATCAGTCAGCATCATCATCATCATCATCAAAATGGAGGCGCATTGGGGGCAACAGTAGACAGCTGGACCGGCAGCACGCAGCACGGGAACCTGATTGAAGAAGTAGACACGACCCTCGTCATCTGTGTACTCGGTCCAGCTCAACGGCAGAGGAGCATTGAAGGCCTGCAAGCGCTTCCAGATCCCAGCTCCCGTGATTGCTATTCCGCTCCCTCCTCCTGGACGACCCAAAGCAAGTCAGAGTGCTGTGTGAGGTCAATACCTGGTCTGGGTCGCTCATGGCAAGCAGGAATGCGAGGCAAAGAAGCAACTTGGCATCGCTGAGCTTTTGGCCCAGAGTCTGTGAGTACTGCAGCAAGTCTGACTCCTGGAAGAGATCATGCCATGGCTCAGGTCGACAACGTTTGGATTTGGCTGTAGACAACCTTACTAAGCCTTACTAGCAGTCCACAGATCAGTGAGACACCTCACAACCCATGCACCAGGCATAAACTCAAGCAAACAACAGGCAGGCGGCGCAATGCCCCAAAGACCTAAAGCCTCTCGCCACGCCCGTTTGGGCCACAGCAGTCGCAGAAGTGCCTTCGAAGCCAAAGACGGAACCTAAGCCTAACCCCCCGGTTTAGTTCTCGACCCTAGAAGCTTCGGGACTCCTCTCTCCGTCCGTCGCCGGCTTCGGCCTCCTCTGGTAGAGCAGGCAAAGACCTGAACAGAAGAATCCAACGAAACCTCACAAGATCACAGCAAGCAACGTAAGCCCCGAGCTGCGGGGCGGAGGCCGTTGCGACCGTCTGCGTCTGTGGTTCAGCATAAGCTTCTTGGCTGGACCATGCTCTCGCTGTAGGAAAGACTGAGTAGCTGGCCTCGTGAGGCGGCGCAGGCACGGCCGCCGCTGGCGCTGTCGTCGGGGGAACACCTCGAAAGCGCTTACAATTACTCAATGAGACATTTGATTGCCTAGGATCAATCGGTGCATGTCGTGTGGTCGGCGTGCTTCTTCCAATCATGTAGAAATATAGACACGCTCATAGTGACTGCCGATACGTTGTGCTTTCGTATGCACCCTGAACCGCCTGGTGTGGAATGCGGAAACAGAAGGAGAGAGATGCCGAGATTCTGCTTCCAGATGTCAGCGACCATCGGATTCTTCATGATTCTTCTCTCTCACAACTTCCTTTTTTCAGCCAAGTACCAGCGCCGGCATCTGCACCCGAGCTCATCTCTATTCTGCCAGGGGCCTCGGATCACCGAAGAGAAAGTATACTGCACACGGTTGCCAGATGCACTCGACGGCCGCAAGATTCCGGCTGCATTGGAAGCTGCGTCATGCTTTGCGCAACTGATGCCAGCAATGCTGAACCAAGCAAGGACTTTCTACAAGGTCAATCTGCTTGTAGCCTTGCAGCCACGGGCATCTATCCAGGGCATGTAGCCGCTGATCAATGGCACTGCTAAGCTCATGTAAATAACATGATCTCAAATCTAGACGGAAGGTCCAAGGGTTCATGCATATACCTGCGGTGATGCCAGATTCAGCATTCCGTGCGGTGTGATTCTTGATGGCTCATGAAGCCTCACTATTCGAGCCTGTCAGGCGAGGTGCTGCGACGGAAGCCCAGACCCTAAACCCTAAACTGTGACCCACTTCGTGCCGGGAGGATCGTTCCCATTAGGTGAGTCAGCACAAGACCATTTCTTACCACAGTCGAAGCCAGCTCTCGAAGGCACCCAAAAGGATCTTGCGGGTCCTAATCACAGCCTTCCAGCTTGTAGGGCAGCCTGTCGCCTTGACACGACAAAGCCTTGCCACGACCAGATCCATTTCTGCACGTTGCCGTGACACTGAATGTTGGCAGGTACAGACTGTTGACAGCAATGTTGTAATTGAACATTTCAGCCCCAGTTGGTTCCACACATTTCGCTGGCGCGCAGCCACCAAGGGTGTATGGAAGACTCACTTCACTGCACTTGCCGACGGAGGCTTTGCCGGTGTAGCCGTCCGCACAAACGGCATGCGCAGTGAAGTCGTCAAACAACAGGGACTTCTCAAACCTCAGCTGCTTAGCCGCACTTACAACCGAAAGCTTGTCATGGAGCAAAAGTTAAACACAACTGGAAGAAACGTAGAAACGGCCAGAGCACACGACGTAGCCATCCTCGGAGGTCCGCTTGGGAGAGCTGCACATCAAAGGGCAGCCCTCCAAGAGAAATGGCTCACCGTCTTTGGCACAGGCCTTGGACCTTCCAGTTCCCACACCGTTTTTGCACTTGGCCACAACATTGAAGGATGGTACCTCCACCGATGAAACCGTCAAGTCATACGCCGCCGCATTGCTCGGCTCGGCACACTTCGCCGGTGAGCAGCCGCTGAGGGAGTAGGGCTCGTTCGGGGCTGCGCACTTGGACACAGCCGCCGCACCTGTGTAGCCATCTGCACAAACTGCGTGGGCCTCGAAGTCGCTCATCAGCAAGGACTTCTCCAGCCTTGATTACTGTATCACTCATCATGACCAGTCGTGGCTAAAAAGTACTTCCTGCTTGAGGACTGCTTGCAGTCAGGGCTGGCCAAAAAGCAGGGGAAATGAAAAACATGCATGCTGCCAAGCAACACCGTGTACCCGTGCTCGACACTGTTCTTCGGAGAGACACATAAAGATGGACAGCCCTCCAGTACAAAAGGCTGTCCATCTTCGGTACATGCCCTGGCCTTGGCAGTTCCAACGCCGTTCTTGCAGTTGGCCACAATGTTGAACGATGGCATTTCCGCTGAATGCACCGTCAGAGTGTATGCAGCCTTGTCTTCAGCGCTTGGCTCAGCACATTTCACAGGCGAGCATCCCGTCAAGACGTAGGGCTCGTTTGCAGCTCCGCACGTGCCTACTGTCGCGGTGCCCTTGTATCCATCAGCACAGCTGGCGGACACTGAAAATTCGCTCATCACCAGCTTTTCTTCGAACCTTGCGCCAAGGTTTCTCAAAGCTGGAAGCCAGGCAGTACTTCAGACTAGGTAAAAGCGCGGGCCAAGTCACACCACATAGCCGGCCTCCGCAGCCTTCTTGGGTGAGGCGCAAGCATCCATGCAGCCTTCGAGCTCGAATGGGTCGCCATCTTTGTGGCACTCTTTCACTTTGGCAGTTCCAAAGCCATGCTTGCATTTGGCCGTCACACGGAAGAATGGCCGGGACAGCGAGTGGATCTCGACTTCGTAGTTGGCCTGGTCGACGACACTTGGCTCAACGCAAGTCTCTGCGCTGCATCCACTGAGCAAGTACGGCTGCTGTGTTTTGTCGCACGCTTTGACTTCAGGCGTGCCCTTGTAGCCAATAGCGCAAGTGGCTCGAACATCAAAAGTGTGAGGCATTCTGGAGCCTTCGTACCTTAGATCTGCTTCATCGGGTGCCATCAACGCCCACCTCCAACCGTTGGGCTCTGGCTTTCTGCAAACGAGGTACACTACATAGCCATGTTCGGCCAGGTTAGCAGGTGATGTGCATTCGCCCATGTAGCAGCCCTCAACTGTGTAGGGTTCACCGTCCTTTCTGCACTCTTTCGCCTTGCCAAACCCGATGCCAGATTTGCATCTGACAGAGACGCTGAAGCTGGGCCGCTGTAGTGAATGGACTTTCAGCTCGTAGCCTTCTGTCTCTTTCGAGCTGGGCTCAGTACAAACTTCAGGAAAGCAGCCGGTCAGAGAGTACGGTGCATCTGCATCCTCGCAAGCAGACACGGATGCACTGCCTCTGTAGCCGGCAGCGCATGACGCTGTTACGTGGAAGCTGTGCGCCATCTTGGAACCTTCGTACCTTATGTTGCAGACACTCTCTTGATGCAGTCGATTCTTTGACAGCAAAGCTCTTACAACCTAGACCCAGAACCATGCCCGATCAATCTTTTGGAGACCCGGTGAAGACTACACTCACGGAACCTTGTGATGCGACTACCTGCTCACAAAGCCTTCATTGATAAGTGTGAGACTGGCTTCACAAAAAACTTCTCTCAGTGGGGACCGAGATGTTTGCTGATACAGGAGGGCAACGCGAGCTTTGCTATCGGAACGTTTCTCCTGTCCTGTATCCCTCGAAATGACACCTGCAGACACCAAAGCTGCTGAAGCTGACCACTGCAGGTAATCGGACTTGTAGGCCCCGAGCCAAGATGAAACCGCACCGTCTCATATTAGTGTACTGGCCACTGACCGGGTCATGTTTGCCTGCAGAAGTGAATCGACCTATTTAGCTTGTGTATATTATATATATATATATATATATATATATAGATTATCTATATTACCAACAAACTACGTATGACGCTTCATGATAGGCAGTGCAACCTCACAGCAGGTCCGCATGACCAGTTAGTCTCGCACTGTTGGTTTGCACTCGTGTTGAAGTGGTGCTGGTTGCAAGAAAGGCGCACGACATAGCCTTGCGCCGCCTGGCCGACTGGCGATGCGCACTGACCGATGTAGCAGCCCTCGAGCGTGTAGGGCTCGCCATCTTTTGTGCACACCTTGGCCTTGCCGACTCCGATGCCGCTGCTGCACTTCACAGACACACTGAAGCTGGGCCGATCGATCGAAAAGGCTTGGAGCTCGTACCCCTTCCCGTCTGCAGGCGGTGCACATGTCTCTGGCACACAGCCCGTGAGTGAATACGGAGTGCCAGCTGTTTGGCACGTGGAGACGGAAGCAGCGCCCTTGTAGCCAGATGCGCATTTCGCAGTTACGTTGAAGCTGTGAGCCATCTTGGAGGCCTCATACCTTAGCTTGCGTGTCTGAAATGAACCGAAGAGACAACAAGGACACCAAAAGCGAAAGCTCAAGATGACTCCCGTCAAAATGAAGGAAAGGCGCACGACATACCCCTGTGTTGCGAGATGTGCAGCTGGTGATGTGCATTCGCCAACAAGGCAACCCTCGACAGTGTATGGCTCGCCGTCTTTTGCGCACGCTAGAGCTTTTCCGAAACCAACTCCACTGGTGCACTTTACTGTGACGCTGAAGCTTGGCCTTTCCAAGGAGAATGGGCTTAGCTCGTAGCCTTTCATGGCTGCTGCACCCGGTTCGGTGCAACTCTCCGCAGAGCAGCCACTGAGAGAGTAGGGTGTCCGATCATCTGAACAAGGTGACACAACGGCAGTTCCTTTGTATCGATCTGCACACATGGCAGTGACGTTGAATGCGTCCTTGAACATTGAGGCTTCGTACCTTAGCCAACCCACGACAACATGCACGGCGCGGGAGTCTGGATCTTTTGCACAACATCACAAGGTTTGAGCAAGTCGCACGACGTAACCTCCGTCTACGGCATGAACCGGAGAGGTGCACTGTGCCTTCACACCTCTCCTCAATCTTCCCTTCAGCGCCAGCGCCGGCGCCACGAACACGAGGAAGAATGCAAGCTTCCTCCAGATGCCAAGACATCAGACAAGCTTGTGCCTTACCATCGCCCGAAACACAGCTTTATAAAACCAGGGTGCATTGTGGTAGCTGCTGGAAACGGCCAGCGCCACGCAGATCAAGCTAAGCGCATTGCCACTGCGGCAACCTTGGGCGAAAAAAAGAACATGCACCAGAGAGGAGTTCGTTCACAGATATGGGTTCCGGACCCCCACACGGGGCGTGGACCAGCGTACATTGCGCTGCCCCTGATGTGAGGACGAGCCAAGACAGCCATGAAATAGGTGAATAGATTGAGACACACATTCCCTGCTCCACACGAGCATGCAACCAATAACATTGCAGGCAAGATTTCCACCTCGCAAGCGATGTTCGCTCACAGCCCAGATGCTTACATTCCAGGCCAGCGGTGGTCAGGAAGCCCCAGAGCTCAGACTCGGTGGCATACTTTGTACATTGGCAAGCACTTACCGGAGAATGGCTTCAGGACTCCATGCCCAAAGCCATGCCTTGCAGAAGACGGATGCAGCATGGTGCGATACTTCCAGGATTCCACGGAGCTTGGAACTTCGGGTCTGTATGTCGAACACTGAAAGTTGAAGCAGAGAAATCAAGGGATGACCGGATCACGAAATACATGAGCGCCCTGGATAGAAAACTCCATATCCCCACAGATTCCTGCCGGAGCGTCGCATAAACATGTCGGGGATGAAGCTTTGCCGGTATCTCCCATCTCCCCTCGGTGCCTAAGTAAGCCCGCACCGTCAGGTCGCCGGTTGCTTCGTGCAAGCCTAGGTACACAGAGGCGACCGTTGCTTCACACTTGGGGCTGTTGGTGCTCTTGCGGCTTTGGAAGTGGGACTCGTTTCGCACTTGACATTCAGAGCTCAGATGGGTTGAGGAGATGGAGAACCGTGGCAGTTGTGGAAAACTCGAAGGCGCAGGTTGGTGCCGTGTCTGCGGAGCAGCATCTCGCAACAGCCAAACAAGGGTTGTAAACATCTTCAAGGGCTGTGTGGATAGAGCGCGCGAGTCGAACATGCACCCCTCTCTCGATACATAATGCGCAAAAACATAAAAACTTATGACATATCAGGCACAAAGATGTTTGTGTCAAAAGGTCAGGAAGCGGAAGCTGCATCTGGACCTCATGAATAGCTGAACTTCCCGATCTTTGAAAAGGTCCCAAACCTGCTCTGGGACAAATAATTTTGTTCGCTTTTGAGCGTTCCCTGGACTGGAAGCCAACCACAGTCCACGGCCCCCGACTCTGTAGTGCTGGTGCCTGCCTGGCCCAGTCGCGCACCTCGGGCTGTGAAGCCAAGTTGGCCAGGCACCTCGCTGCGGTGAGGCTGAGCATTCCAAGAGGAGGTAGAGACCAGCAAGTTCAACATGTCGTGTGAGGGTCTCGAGTTTAGCGGGGTGAGGTAAGGACACAGTGATATCGGACTCAGATTATGGGCACAAATCGAAGGGTGCTGCTATGAGTCCGGGAGCGGAGCAACAGAGCAAGGCGAGGCACCTTTATTGAGACGTACGGTTCCAGGACAGTACCAACAAAGCAGCCTTCCTTTCCTCACACTGAGACTGATTTGCTCGCACTAGTTCACAAGTTTCCGATCGCTATCAGTAAACTTCGAATACATCTTCATCTTTTGTGGGATCCTAGCATGGGAACGGTACCACGCAGCAATGCTACCGGAGCGGCGTCGTGCACAAATGAACGACACATCACTCCGTTCACTCTCCTGGCAGATTCCGCTGTCTTCACCCGCCCCGCCTGCATGCAGCCCTTTGCAATGCAACCGGGCCGTGGCTTTGTGCGCCTTCCACCGATCTTCTGGTACTGGTATGTCATGGCTCGGGCCAGGGCGGTTCCCGGTTCCAGCCTCGGACGGCACAGGCTTCCGGCCTGAGCGAAAACACAGCCCAAGCCGATTGTCGTTGCTGCGATCATGCTCGTGCCCGTTAAACCGATGCCATTCAGTAGTTGCAATAGTGGTGGTGGTGCTGGAGGCGGAGGTGGAAGAGGAGGTGGAGGAGGAGGAGGAGGAGGAGGTGGTGGCGGAAGCACCGGCAGCAGCAGCAGCACTAGCAGTCACTAGCAGTCACTAGCAGTAGCAGCAGCAGTAGGAGCAGGAGTCGGAGCAGTAGGAGTTGTAGGAGTAGTTAGTAGTTGGAGCAGTAAGAGTAGCAAGAGTAGTAAGAGTAGTAAGAGTAGCAACAGTTGTAAGAGTTGTAATAGTAGCAGTAATAAGAGTAGCTAGCGTAGTTGGAGTAATTGGAGTAATTAGAGTAGCTAGAGCCGTTAGAGTAGTAAGACTAGTTAGAGTAGTTAAAGTTATTGGAGTAGTTAGAGTAGTTGGAGTGTAGAAGTAGCAGTAGCGTGGCAGGAGCAGTAGTAGTAGTAGTAGTAGTAGTAGTAGTAGTAGTTGTAGTAGTAGTAGTAGTAGTAGTAGTAGTAGTAGTAGTAGTAGTGGTAGTGGTAGTGGTAGTGGTAGTGGTAGTGGTAGTAGTAGTAGTAGTAGTAGCAGCAGTAGTAGCAGTAGTAGCAGTAGTAGCAGTAGCAGCAGCAGTAGTAGTAACCCATCCATTCCTTGTTGCATGCGATCACCAGAGCATCCAGGCCCAAACCCTAATGATGTCCATTCCGCATTGCATGCGTTCACCAGTACCCAAACCGCGAGCGACCACCAAAACAGCCCTGCCCGAACCCTCTCAACGTCCATTCCTTGTTGTGTGCGATCACCAGAGCATGCCCAAACCCGGAATAACGTTCATGTCTCATTGCGCGCGGTCAGTAGAGCATGATGTCCCAACCTTCGTAACGTCAATTCCGAATTGCGTGCGATCCATGCAATAAAACAATCGACCCTAACTGTGTTCTTGCGATCACCAGAGTGTCCACTGAGCAGGTGGCCCACATCTGCTAGAGCAAAACAGCCGGCACTACCAGTGTCCGTTCCTCCTTCACCCGAAGCCCTAAGCCTCGAAGCCCTAAGTTCTATCCAGTTCTATCTTCATGTCAATTTCAACAATAGGCCTTGGATTTTGTTTTGACACAATCCGAGACATGTTCGCGTGCACGTGGTGCTTTTTTTGAACTATGGTTGCCGACTTATATGTCTCAGGAAACGGCACAGCACAATGCACATCTTTTCGACACAGGATTCGACAAGCCAGTCAGGCGAAAGGGCTCACCGGACAGAAATCTTGATAGTGAGCTGTAGTTGCCTCCCTTCTCTCGAGCTTGATTCAGTGCTTTACGAAAGTGCGGGCTTCAAACTTCTCATCTTCAACCAAGTTGTCTACACGTCTCGTTCCTGCGTGAGCGACTGACGTAAGGGAAGGAATCTTGTTGTCATTACGCCCGAGGTCCTTCAAAAACGATAATGGGAATAGCGAAGAAGGCTTTGAATTTGAAGACAGTGCAGACTCTTAGCAACTCATGTTCATCGGGGGATTTGGGGAGGTCGGGATCGGCTCTTTGGTGGAACGTCCACGAACCTGAAGGTTGACGTCGCAGCCCCATGAGAGCGGAGGCATTCCTTTGGGGACCCCGCCACCCTCGCGCATGCTCGTTTCAAGTTGCATATTCCGCAGGCGGTGCGAACTAGGCCGTAGAGGTTGCAGCGGGATTTACAAGCGCAGAAGCAAAGGTCAGCTCGGATGGCGGTGGAGTGGTAGGATGGTGGAGCAGGTCCCAAGCTCCAAAGCAGTGAGCCTAAATCAGAAAAGCATGTTACATGCCAGCCGGGCAGCCAAGCCTTTATCAATGAACAGGAGCTGAACAGGAGCTTCGCTTAGTGGTGAAGAACTACCGGAGGATCGGATCTACAAGAGAGCTAGCCCACAATGCCTAACGCCAGTAGCTTGATGGGATTATTGTTGGCCCAATTGATGCTTTCACTGAATACTACAAGAAAACTGCATCCCGCCCTCTTAAGTCTTGCTTTTCTGCTTGTCAATATTATTCTTCTTCTCTGAAAATTATCTTGCTTCTTCGTGTGTCATTAATGTGTGACGACGTGTTTTGTTACTTGTGCTACTTGTGTTGTGTCTTCTTCCCCCTCTTCTGCTTCGTCTTCTTCTCGCTGTTCTTGCCATTGCTAGTATTCGGGTTCGTGTACATGCGAACACCTTTGCCCCATCAAATCAAATTGTCTCCTCAAAGGCTGGCAAGGGCAAATTCAAACCGAGCGAAGCGCTGGGTGCAGCAGTGCGCGAGGAACTTCAGAAGCGAAGCCTGGTTCGAAAAGAAGTGCCGGAAGTCCTCCATCCAGGTATCAGCGGTGCTGACATGGCCAGTGTTGGTTCGCAAGACTTTCCGGCCTCCTTCAGGGCCAGTGTACCCAGAATGTCCAGGCCTTGAAGCTTGCAGAAGCCAGCCAAAAGCTAAAGAAGCTTCACGGCGTGATCATCAAGTCGAGGCGTGGGCACGCGAGCGGGTGTCTCGGCATGACATGCATGAGCCCTGAGTTGATGGCCTGCCAGCTCTTTTCGAAGACAACTCCCGGAAAGTGAACACACGAGGATGCCTTCGGAGACATGCGGAACGTTGAACCCGAGACCTCAAGGGCTCAAGGGCCCGTGCCGAGACTGCAAGGGCCGACTGCGAACACTGCCGGTCTCTCAGGGCTTTGGCGCCATCAGGGTCCACCAGTCTCCGTAGCATGCGCAGCGCGAGGGCCTGCCCACTGACACCGGCCATCGTCTGAATGCAAACAAACGGAGGCCACAAGCCTGGAGCTCCGCAGGAACGTGCTCTTGCAGCAGCACCTGGTTTCAATCACAAATAGCACTCTGTGGTCCAGGCAGCAGTAGATTTACTTCCTGCCAGCACGGACTGCTGCTCGTGCACATGGGCGGACGATCTGGCCTCAGGTGTTCTTGACAGAAAACCAACAACTCTCTCAACTGCTTGCCCTCTGCCGCGAGCCCGTTTTGCAGGATATATGGTCGGAAACCCCTTTTTGCACGATGTGACAAGCTCGAACTGCACTTGTGCCTTCACATCTGGGGCGGGAATCAGAGGCTAGCGCAATCTGCTGCATCATCTCCTCCATCACATCCAGCATGGACGACCTCTTCACTCTCTCTGTACCCTCCCGACTGCCTTGCACATAGCGTACTACGGCTACTACGGCGTATTAGAGTAATTACTGGGTCCGAGTGCAGACACTTGGCAGCCCACTCAAAGCCAAGCCCAATCACATGTGTGCCTCAGGGCCTCTGGCAGATTCGCCCAGGACGACTGGAGCACCTCACAGCGGCTCCAAACATTGCAAGCATCGCCTAGCATCCGACACGCTTCTGTGCGATCTTCACCTTCTACATACACACGCCAACCGTCCTACGATCAGCAGAAAGCACACGCCCAAGACGTCTGTCTTTAGCCCAGTGGCCTCAAGGGCCTCCCCGAAACGGAGGTAGCGGCCCAGCTGTCGGACGAAGGCCGCCCGCGACCGGGGCTCCCCTTTCCCAAGTGCGGCTGTCAACTCCGGACCATCTCGGGTAGAGTGCAGGGATCAAAGAAGTCGAGAAAAAGCTAGGGCAGTTAGGGTTGCGGCACCTCTGCGACCTGATAAAGCAAGATCCCACTACATGGCAACAGAGACAAGCAGAGGCACAGAGAGAAAGAGAGAGAGAGCGAGAGAGCAAAAGGAGAGGGAAAAGAGAGACGAGAGTGCAAAAGGATGCTCAAAGAAACTCCAGTTACAAGGCTGCAGCACTCCTGGAGTACGGGTGCGGATTCAAGCTTCGTGTTTTTGTGCTACTCCACGTAGTCCAGCCTCTGAGGCGGACGAGGACTCTGCCCAAGCGGGGAAGCAAATGCCTCGCACAAAGCCGATGTGACACAGTGGCAATATCAACACTTACAGTGAGGACTCGTCCAAACGGCTGAAGTCCATGGGCCCCCACAAGGCTCCGCCTCTTCCTGCTGACTGCAATGCCTTCGACAGAACCTGCGACGCAGTGCATAACCATGACCGCATGAAGTCCACCTCAGCAAAACAGGACCTCGGTGAACCCAGAGTCTGCCGCCAGCTCGTGGAGGGCACCCTGCAAGCCGTAAGCGGATCCAAGGCTCAAGACCCCGAAACGCTGCGAGACACCTCCTGGCTGCTGACGACCTTGGCCTCCGAGCCGTCACGGGCACGGGGGGAAGGGTACAGCACAGCGGGGCGCTGCTCTGGCCTCGAACTCCGACAGGGCCTGGCCCAAGGCAGAGGAGTCCAAGCTGAGCTTCCTCTGGTCCAGCCTGGACACGCATTCGTGCTTTCAAGCCTGCATGGCGGCATCTCTTCCAAGGCAGGAGCAAGAGTCGCAGAGTCATCCCTCCAGGCAGAATTGGAGTCGGTGTCCTGGTTCCAAGTCGCGCTTCTGTCGTCACAGGCTCCCATTGTGGTGGCCTCTCAGACAGAGAGCCACTCCTTCCTGGCACACATGCAAAATCTCTGGATCGGTTCGTCTCCTCATGATGCCTACGACTGCGAAGAGCCAGGCAGCCTGACGGAGAGTAGCCTCCGTTTGCGACAGCCGCACCAGCTGACTGCAACCTGCCAGTCGACAGTTGCGACTCCAGTCGCAAGAGCTGCGTTGCCGCCTGCTTCTTTCGACTTGGGGCTTTCCCTCGCTCCCGCCCGCACCCAGGCCACCTCGAGGACACAGGCCAGCAGCGGAGCATCCTAGAAAGCATCCTGCGAAGCATCCTCGGGTCTTCGGCCTTCTTTCGTCGTGGCGCTCGCACTGAGGCCAACCTTCCTCAATGCCACAGTCCAAGTCTGTCACAGTGCCAGTTCTCCTCGAAGACGTATAAGGCCCATGCTCCAGTGCCTTCCGTGCTGCATATGCCTGGGCAATGCTTTAAACTTCAGCCGCGACCGTTTCACAAGGGAGTCAAGGGACTCTTCTCGCTCCTGCTGTAGGTTCGCGGCATTCTGCTTCATCCTGGAGGTGCACCTGGAGTCCTTCCTGATACGGACAATGCCCAAGGCTGACTGCGACACATTCTGGTGCCAGGACGGGCTGAGCAGCTAGCGCCAGCTTTTGCATCAGGATGATGGGATGACAGTCCTTCCCGTTTCGCCAAGCGTGCCCGCATCAAGGTTCGCCAAAAAACTCGTCCAATCAACGGCCGTCCTCCAGCACTGGCGCCAGGGCGGTGCCTGCATGCACGGGGAACACAGGTGGGGAGGGAGAGAGAGCGCGAGCTAGCGACTGCTGTGTTCCAGTTTGGGGCCAAGCCGTGTTGCAACACCAGCTCCAGGAAGAGCTGCGTAGTCTTTTCCAGCACCTGAGGCAACAAGTCTGTTCGAGCTTCAAGGCATCAGGCAGAATAAGGTGGTTAGGGTGCTAGGAACTGAGAGACCATGAAAAGGAGATGGCTGGAGCCTCGTCACGCGATCCTCTACAGAGAGAGAGAGAGAGAAGAGAGAAGAGAGAAAGAGAAAAAGAGAGAGATCATCCTCTGGCAAGTGGGCATGGGGCTCCGAAGACGTCTTGGCCCCTTGCAGGTCAGGGCAGCAGCAGAAGCAAGGGGACAGGTTTAGATGAAGACGAAATGGGGTGTGCTCCTGCATGGCAAACGCCACAACCTGGAAAGCGTGTCAAGCTCCAATCGCGGGGGCCCGTAGCTGTGACCTAGTCGCGTGGCCACAGTGTTCCAGAAAGTCCGGGTCTTCGGGGAGTGGCAAGGAGGCCTTGTGGAGAGGGGAGCCCCGACTGCCTGACACTGCCACCTACCCGCCAACTGGCACGCGACCATTGCACCAACTAGGCCACCAGGCCAAAGCCATCAGGGCCAACCCTTCCACGCCAGCAGCACTCCAGGGTTGAGCCGTGTAAGAACTGATGTGGCGTTTGGCAGCTGCAGTCCCAGGGCCACCTCCACCCTGATGGCCCCCAACCCAATAGACCGCTTGACCGGCGGGATCCTCTACAACCACATAGACTGAAGCGCTGTGCAGCATGCAGAGTGATGTCAGAAAGGAAGAGGAAGAGAGATGTTGCAGGCAAGAGCTATCTTGCGGCCCCCCTGCAGAATAAGAAGCCCAAAGCCCAAGCCTTGAGCCTCTCGTACAAGCTGCAGGCTGCAGGCACTGGCCTCGGGATCGGAATCCAGCTTGGTGGAAGGCGAGAGCAAGCCGAGCCTTCCAACCAAAGCTTGCAAAGCTTGAAGAACGTAGACGACGTAAATTTTGACTGCGGTTTCTGTCAAGATCCCGGCAGAACGAAGAGGCCACCAGCTGCGAGGAATGTCGGCAAGGCCGCACCGTCCTGCCAGGCACAAGAGAAAGGGTGAAACGTAGTCAACCTTGGAAGATTGATAAGCACAGGATCAAAGCAGAGATCCACTCTCTGCGGTGCATCAAATGCCAGATCAAGTTCGTGTGCTTGACACAAGTTTCTTCACATCTATAGCGCCCGTTGAATCGCGTATCTACTGGCTTCTAGGCCAACCCAGCTCAATGCAGCCTGGGCCGGCAGCAGCCTCCTGAAAGCGTGGTATCGATCATTGCCTCTCATGCTGCCCGCAGGGCCCCTGAGGCGAGGACCGCAGAATGTCCAGTGCATCTGTCCGGACCTTTCGAAGGCTACTTGGATCCAAGGCTCGGGTTCAAGTCTGTTTGCAGGAGAGCCTGCAGGAGCTGTGGACCACCAAGCATCAACATGGCCTCGGAGTGTCGACGAGAGATCCGCTTGCACTCAAACAACCTCCGGTGAGTGGTTTCGAGATGCAGGCGAGCAGGATGGACATGGCCTCGGAGCTAGCCTCATGTGCAACAGTGGCGACAAGCACAAAAGGACTGCGCCTTCTTGGTGACTTAGTATGGCTTAGTATGGCTCCTCGCCATGGGCTTTCAGCGCGGCGTGGCAGACCGTCCGGGCGATGTAGGAAATCTGTGTTCAATCCAATGATGCAGGCCGGAAGTCCCGCCACAACAGCTTGAAAGGAAGACATCCAGTCCTGTGCCCGGAAGGACGCGAAGATGCCCCTCACCTCTTCCAAGCCTCTACTGTCGGCCGGAAAGCTTTCGAAGCGGCTTGCAGCCTGGGTCCCGGTGCTGGGCTTGTCTGGCAACGGCGCGCCCGTCACCTGCTGTGTACCAGGGGCTCCTGTGATTCATCTTGCCAAATCGCAGGAGCGATGCCGCTCGCCTCAGAATCTGCGCGGTGGCAGGTCACCTGAGAAAGGTCAGGTGGCAGCAGCAAGGCTCTCTCTCTCTCTCTCTCTCCCTCCGCGCTGGCTCTGAAATGCACGCACCGTGCTGCCGTCGTCCAGCACTTCGCCCACCACGGCTGCCTCGAGCAAAGAACTGGCACGACGAGCAACTGGAGGACTGACATACGAAAGGGGGTTTTAAGCACAGGGAGCAAGGGCAGTGCAGGCTCGGGCTTCAGTGGCATTGCCGAAAGCTAGATCAAAGCTCTCGGTCACAATCTGTGCCGACTGGCTTAATTACACAGTCATTCCCTTCACACATAAGACCGGGAAAAATCTTGCGATTTACCCTGCACGACGAGCTGTATTTGAGGATGTAGCATCTGTCAAGAAGAAGCCGTCTGCCTCAGTCGAACTGACGACGAGAGAGACTCGCGATTTGGGGCAATGAGACTGAGCTCGGAACGCTGGCCATGCGGAAAAAGATCACGGGCAACCTTTGAACTTTGCCCAAAGCAAGGAATAGTGAATAGCAGCACTAGCCACTCCTTCTCCAAACTGTGCGCCTGCTCGGAAAGACGGACCGGAAGTCTTCTTGGATTCGCTGCCGCAGGGAGGCCTCAACCGGAGGAAGCCATCTGAGGCACAGAGAGTTTGACGAGGGCTGAGACAGGACAAGGATCCACGGTGCTCGCAGCATCGATTAACACCACGAAGCGCACCTCCCGCTAACCGGTGCTCGCTGTCATCAGATCCAGATTCTACGGCAGTCAGCTGCCTCTTCTTCGGGCCCTGCAAAGGCCACGAAGAGCTTCATTCTGCTCTTCGGGATCACAGGGCATGGCCCCCGCACGGAAAGCAAACACCAAGACTCCCCTGATTCTTTCGTGGAGCTGTGAGCACTGCTATCGAGCTGGGTCGTGCCGAGCCCTAGCTGGATGCTGGGGATAGTGCACCTGTTCGAAACTAGTTCTGTCTCGATTGAACGGCAGGCACCACCGTCAACTGGAACAACTGGATGCACATGCCATGGGCATCTCAGTACGCGAGCAGCCCCCTTTTGATCTCGCATTTCTGCGCACTAAGATACATTATGTGAAATGTCCACAACTCAGGCATGGATCATCTCTGACACATTGGTAAAGCTCCTCTGAAACTGCTGAATGAAGCACTAACAGGATGCTGTGAGAGGAAGGCCAGTCTGGAACCGGCTCTTCTCCCAAGAGCTTTCCACCTGCAGGCGCTTAATCCGGCATCAGCGCTTTGCATCTTTGCCCTACACACCCATGCTCAGCCTTTACACTTTCTGCTTCTGGCCTGAGGGCATCAACCGCTGATGGCGCCACATCCCTCCAGTTTGTAGGGCATATTGTCGCCACTGCACGGTATGGCCTTGCCAGTGCCTTTCCCATGCTTACATCTGGCCGTGACACTGAACGATGGTCGCTCTAATGAATAAGTGACGATATTGTAGTTGGCCTTCTCCGTTGAGCTTGGCTCTATGCACTTTTCTGGCTCACAGCCACCCACGCTGTACGGTTCGTTTGCTGTCTTGCATTTTGTCACGGTGGCGTTGCCCTTGTAGCCATCAGCACAAATTGCACCGACGTCAAACTGCTTCCGCAACATGGACCTCTCAAACCTGGACAGGAGGGCCGATTACTGACCATTACTTAGTACTGTCGAACCAGACCAGAGAAGAACTACAGCATCCGGCACAGGCAAGACACACGACATAGCCCTCATCTGCGGTCTTCTTTGGAGAAGTACACAATGAAGGGCACCCCTCCAAGATGAAGGCTTGGCCATCTTCGGAGCACTTCTTGGCCTTGCCCGTCCCAACTCCATTCTTGCATCTCGCCGTGACGCTGAAGGAGGGCGCATCCGTGCTGTAGATGGTCAAAGCATATGCCGCCCGATCTTCGGCGCTGGGAAGTACGCACTTCTTGGGCTCGCAGCCACTCAGAACGTAAGGCTGTCTGGCTGAAGGACACTTCGAAACTTTTGCAGTGCCCTTGTAATCCGGCATGCACAGCGCATCGACCGTGAACTCCTCCATCACGAGCTTCTTTTCGACCCTGGGAAAGCGAAAAAATGATGGAAGCAGGCACAAACAAGTTCCTGTGTGAATGAAGCCTTACTGAACAGGGCAGGCCACACAGTATAGCCATCGTCGGCCGCTCGCTTGGGAGAGGCACATGCATCCTTGCAGCCCTCCAACACAAAGGGCCCACCATCGTAGGCACACTCTGTGGCTGTTGCGTTGAGGAAGCCATGCTTGCATCGAGCTGTCACACTAAAGGAGGGCTTCTTCAGAGAGAAGATGGTGTAGTCGTAGTTTGCCGAGTCTTGCACACTCGGTTCCACGCACGTCTCAGGGACGCAGCCAGTCAAGGAATAAGGCTCGTCTGCCTTCGGGCACTCCGCGACTTTCGCGAAGCCCCTGTAGCCCTTTGCACACTCGGCTGTCACTTCGAAGTTGTGACGCATCTTCGATTGCTCATACCTGAAAAGCTACTAGTCTTCCACACAAAAGATCACCAAGCACGGCACAGGAACCGAGCTACCGTAGTCTACGACCGGGCCGTGGCACTGCCCTACTGCTTGTACCCTTTCGAAGCTACTGTTGTGCAAAACAAAAATAAAGCAAATTTGTGAAGGCTTAAGCTCGACAGAGCACACGACGTATCCGTGGCCCAAGTTCTCTGCTGGGGAAGCGCACTCACCGATGTAACAGCCCTCCAGCGTGTACGGCTCGCCGTCCTTTGTGCATTCTTTGGCTTTGCCATGGCCAATTCCACTGGTGCACTTGAGAGAGACGCTAAAGCTGGGCCGCTCCAGAGAGAAGACCGTGAGGTCGTATCCCTCCATCTCACGAGCGGTCGGCTCTGTGCATTTCTCTGGCTCGCAGCCACCCAGAGAATATGGCTCGTCGACGTCCTTGCACACACCCACCGATGCCTTGCCTTTGTATCCAGCGGCACACTTCGCCGTCACATCGAAGGAATTGACAATCATCGAGGCTTCGTACCTCATGGCAATAAACCAAAAGGGAGACTACGAGCCGAGAGTTGCTATGAGCAGAATTGCAAGCATTGCAATCAGGTCACACCACATAGCCTCCACTCGCCGCATTGCTTGGAGAAGTGCATTGTCCGGGAACACATCCCTCCAGGGTGAACTCATCACCATCATCTTTGCATGGGACTGCTCGAACCACCTCACCCTTCTTCTGATGTGTCTTGCATCTGGCGGAGACACTGAAGCTGGGGAGTTCCAGCGAATGCACTGTGAGGTCATAGGATGTCATCTCGACTTCACGTGGCTCTACGCATTTCATGGGTTCACATCCAGACAGGATGTACGGCGTCTGGTCTTCGGCGCACATTTCAACCTTGGCATGGCCCTTGTAGCCTTGGGCACAGCGCGCCGTCACCTCGAAGTGGTTCGTTTGCCGAGATCCCTCATACCTCAGAGCCATGTAAGCGTAGTGTCACTCAGAAACATGACTCACGAAACTTGAATCCCTCCACCAAGCTGCACGACGTATCCATCGTCCTTCTTGGCCTTTGGTGACAAACACTCCAAAGGTTTACACCCTTCCAGTCGGTAGGGTTGGCCGTCCTCCTCGCACTGAACGGCCTTCGGGATGCCAGCCTTCTCACCCTTGCAACGAACACCCACGCTGAAGCTTGGCATTTCCAGTGATCGCTCCGTCACCTCATATTGCACGTGCTCCTGGTGAATGTACGTCGGAGCCTTGCAGGTCTTGGGCTTGCAGCCGGACAAAGTGTAGGGCCCCTCGTCAACTGTGCACGCGGAGACTTTGGCATGCCCAGTGTAGCCTTTCGCACAGGATGCTTGCACGTTGAAGGAATTCGACATGATGGACCCCTCGTACCTGGGAGTTTCAGTTCATGGCAACAGGCAAGCTCATGCTTGCATAAACAACCATACATGCACGAAGACGAAGCTCGCGGGTTCGCACTAAACTGATTCGAAGTTAGCCTTCACTTTGGTCAAGAGCAACTTTACAAACAAAGCAAGCTGCACAACATAGCCGTCGCTTACCCCTCCTTTCGGAGATGTGCACTGCAGTCCCATGCAACCCTCCAGCGCAAACGGCTTGCCATCTCCATCGCATGCTGATGCTTTGGGAGTGCTGGTTTGCCCTCCCTTGCACTCCACCTCTACATCAAAACTTGGTCGTTCCAGTGACTTCACCTTGATCTCGTACTTGTGGCTAATCTCGTCCGGTGGTATCGCACACTTCTCTGGCACGCAGCCTGAGACCGAGTATGGCTCACCGGCCAACGTGCACTGGGTCACAACAGGCACACCCATGTAGCCCTCGCCACATTCAACCTTGACGTCGAAAACGGAAATCAGAAGGTTGCTCTCTGTCCTGGGCTTACAGGCAGCAGCGACAGTACTTTTCACACCTGAACACTGGAAAGACTTTCCACAGTGGGTACGCTGCCACCTACAGTAGTGCTTGGATTCAGGCAAGAGGCACCACATGTCCCTTGGGGATGACATCTGGCTTAGTGCAGTGCTGCTTGCATCCCGTCAGTGTGTAAGGCTGCCCATCCTTCTTGCAAGAGATAGACTTCGCTGGCGTGCCGACGTCAGCACACCGCGCAGTGACGCTGTAGCTTGGAAGCTCTAGCGACGTCTCTGTGACCAGGTAGTTGACCAGAGAGTCTGCGTCCGGTGTTGTACACTTGATAGGTACACAGCCGGCTAAGCCGTAGGGCTTGTCGTGCTCGATGCACTCGGTGGCCACAGGCGTGCCAATGTATCCTGCCGCACATTTTGCTGACACCTTGAACTCACGCATGAGCTTGGAGTTCTCCGTCCTGAATGCAAGACATTGTCGTGCAAGCAAGCGCTTACACATTCGGTGAAATATTGCGTCCAGGGCACACAATGTAACCTTCTGTCTGCGCCGGTGTGGCACAAACTGGAGGCGCACAACCCTTCAGGGTGTAGGCATGCTCATGGTCGGTGCACACTTTCGCCGTGCCGCTCCCTCCATACTTGCACCTCCAGGCCGCCGTGGGCACATGATGGCACACACACACACCCACACACATGAAACAGAAAGAAGCTGCATCTGCTGCAACTTCTTATATTACAGTTCGAACATCGTTACATTGGGGCCTCACGCCCACTTTGAAGGTCGGGATATCCAAGGAAGACTCCGTAAGATCGTAATCCGTCTTCTCGATTCCGACGGGGGCTTTGCAAGTCTTCGGCTCGCAGCCCGTGAGGGTGAAAGGTTCTCCGGGCTGCGTGCAGCGGTGGACCACCCCAAGTCCCATGAATCCTGCGGAGCAATCGGCAGTGACCTTGAAGGATCGGAAGTGCCGGTCCTTCTCGTACCTTGGTCTCGCGGTGTATCTCTAAGTCTCTTCTCTGTCTTGACTGCGTAAGGGGAGAGGCAGGGACCCCGGACCCCGCTCTCTTATGCAGCCAGGGTGCACTGTGTAGCCGGTTTCCTGCGTTCGATGGGGAGACTCACAGGAGGCCTCGTCGCAACCCTTCAGCGTGTAGGGCTCGCCGTCGAAGATGCAAGGGACAACCTCGCCGGCCATGCCTCCCTTCAGACATGTGGCCGACACTCCGAAAGTTGGCTTTTCAAGGGACGTCTCCTTCACCACATAATCCTTTTTGGCAGCTGCTGTGGGTGCGATGCACTTCATGGGCCTGCAGCCTGAAACGCTGTAGGTCGTCAGCGGCTTCGAGCAAGCACTGACGGCAGGCTTCCCGACATAGTCTGCGGCGCAGGACACCTCTCCGCACCGAACAAGCTCTACTTAGCTGGACAAGCAGACTTGCACCTAGCCCAGTGACTCCCGTGTTTCAAGCGTCAGTCAGTCGTTCTGAGGACGCCACCTCCACATCGAAGTCTGGCATCAGGAGGTTCTTCTCATGCCTCGCGTCTCACGTTTCGGGTCTCAAGCTGCGAGGGCATAATTAGAAGGAGGCAAGGAAAAGACTTGCCAGCTGCTTTCTAGACACACGACGTAGCCCTGCTCCACACCCAAGGAGGTGGAGTTGCACTGCAGGAAGCAACCCTCCACCTTGAAGGGCTCGAGGTGGTTGGAGCAAGCAGTCACCTTCCCCTCCGTGACTATCCCATTGGGACGGTATTTGCACCGCGGCACAACATTGAAGAAGGGTCTGTCGAGGGACTTCACCTCCAAGTCATAAGCCTGTAGCTCCTCCTTGCTAGGCATGACACACTTCGCTGGTTCACAACCTTGGCAACGCAGGACAAGGACAAGCAGACCTATCCAAAAACGGGGTCACATAGCTGGCATGGGTTATACAACTATATGCAAGAGGATGGAGATCTGATGCTTCGCAAGCGACCGGTGAGATTGTACACCTCCTCGTGGGACTCGCATGGTGTGATCTTGGGCGTGCCGAGGAACTTGTCGAGGCACTCTGCCTTCACGTTGAAGTCTGGCAGCTGCTTCGAATTCTCGAACCTCGGATTCAGAGGAACCTCAACGCTCCCCCAAAGTTCACTCACTCCACCAGATGTCTCTCGGCCGAGAAGCACCATGTAGCCGTTGCTGGTGAGATTTCGGGGCGACTTGCACTCCACGGGCTCACAACCCTGCAAAAGCGTCACATTCACGAAGCTTGTTTTGAGTCCTCCCACCCCCGCCCCCGATGTTCCCCTAGTCCCCCGAGTCCTCGATGACATATGGCAGATTCGGGCCCTTGCAAACGCTCACCTTGGGAGTGCCGAAGTAGCCCGCGGCACACGTCGCCGTGACGCTGAACATGTTGGGCGCCCGATGCAAGTTGCTCTCTGTGATGACATAGCCTTACACAAGCTTCGAATCATTTCGGGAAGTCTGAACCTCTCTACACTCTGACTCAAAAGAACAACGGGCTCCAAGGCAGTCCAGGAACCTGCTGTGTCATCTCCGACTGGTGACGCACAGAACTGCTTGGTGCATCCGCCGATTGTGTACGACGTATTATGAGCCTCACAGATCTTGACTTCCGGCGTGCCCCCAAAACCGTCCTCACAGTCTGCATGGACCTCGAAGTCCAGCTTCTGCAGGGACTTCTCAAAGACAATTAACCCATCTTCACTGCTTCGGGCCGCCGACGTACACTTGAAAGGTACGCAGCCATCGACGGAATATGCCGTGCCGTGTCCGGGGCAGGTCTTCACCGAAGCGACGCCCGTATAGTTCTCTGCGCAAGACACCTTCACATCCAACTTCAGCATCTTCAACGACGTCTCCTTGTCCACGGTGTAGCCGATGAGCTGTGGGGCAGCTGGCTTTGTGCAGAAGGGGATGGAGCAACCCTTCACGGAGTACTTGCTGTACTTTGAAGCACAAACATGAGTAGTTGCATTCCCAAGCGCATCGTCCGTGCACGTGGCCGAGACGTTGAAGGTGGGGACTTCGAGGCTAACCTCTTTGATCTTGTAGGCCACGGTGTCCGAAGCATCCGGCGAAATGCAAGGCTCTGGACGGCAGCCAGAGAGTTTGTAGCTCTCGTGGTGCGCCATGCAGGGCGCCACCACAGGAGTGCCATAGAAGCCAGCAGCGCATGTGGCCGTCACCTGGAAGCTCGGTCGTTCGAGAGAGCCTTCAACCACAGTGTAGCCCACAGTACTCGCCGGTGCGTTGCAGACTTCCGGCACACACCCCTCCAAAGAATAAGGCTTACCGTCCTCTTGGCAGGCCATAGTCTTTGGTGTGCCCATATACTTGTCCGCGCAAGAGGCATCCACCTGGAAGTCCAGCTGAGTCTTCACGTTTTCAACAACCAGGTGGCCGGCCGGCAACACCGGAGATGTGCACATGATCTTCCGGCAACCGGCGAAGCTGTAAGGCAGCGCATGGTTTTTGCACACGCCGACCTTGGGAGAACCGGTGTAACCCTCATCACAGCCGATATCCACCTGGAAAGTGGTAATTTGGAGTGACTCTTCGGCAAAGACCTTGTAGCCCGCTGGAGGGTCTTTGCTCATAGACTCGCACACTTCATGTTCGCAACCCTCAAGCTTGTAATACTCTCCGTGCTTGGTGCAAGGCCGCACACTGATCTTGCCCTTGGGAACGGTAGACTCGTTCATGTAGCCGGGATGGCAGCGAGCATTGACAGTGAAGCTCGGCACCTCCAAAGAGCCTTCCTTGACCAAAACGATGTCTCGCGGCACATTGCCGACGCGGGATTTGCAGACCTTCACGCTGCAACCCTCCAGGGTGTACGGCAGCCCCTCGCTCTTGCAGGCCTTGGCCACAGGGGTGCCGTAGTAGCCCGCAGCACACTCCGTCTTCACTCCAAAGCTGAGCTGCTCCAAGGAAGTCTCGGCTTTGACGATGTATCCGGTGGGCGGAGCCAGTGCCATGGAGGCGCAGACAATGGGATGGCACCCGGTCAAAGTGTAGGCCGTCTGGTGCGAGCTGCAGGAAGTCACCTGAGCTGTTCCGTGGTAGCCTGGCGCACAGCTGGCTTTCACGCCGAAGCTATGCACTGTGAGCGAGGACTCCGTGTTCACCACATACCCTTCCGGAGGAGTGTCTTTCAGGGAAGTGCAGACCATGGGCGCGCAGCCCGACAGCGTGAAAGGCTTCCTATGCTCGGAGCAAGGCTCAACGACCACCTCGCCGTACCATCCGGCCGCACACTTGGCGCTGACGTTCCAGCTTGTGAGTCTCCGGGAGGACTCGTGGACAATGGCAAAACCCTTAGAGGTTTGGGCAGTGCTGCATTCAATCTCATGGCAGCCACCAAAGGTGTATGGCCTCCCGTGCGCGGTGCAGCGCGTGACACTGGGGGTCCCAGTGTAGCCGGCAGCACAATCGATTTCGACACTGAAGTGGGGCCTGGTCAAGGAGGCTACAGTGATGGAATAGCCCTCCTTCTCTGCATCAGTGGGCTCTGTGCAGGTCTCAGGCTTGCAGCCCGACACCGTGAAGGGAAGGTCATGACCACTGCATGCCGAGACCACCGGGCTTCCCATGTAGTCCATCGCACATGTCGCCGAGACATCAAAGCTTGGCCTTTCAAGCGACTTTTCCGTGACCACATAGCCCTCGGTAGCACCCTTGGAAGGCTTGGTGCAAAGCTGGGGAAAGCAGCCGTGCAGGGTGTAGGGCTCGTCGGCTTTGGAACAATCCGTTACACTCGCAGTTCCTGTGTAGTTCAAAGCACATTTGACCTCCACATTGAAGCTGCGCATCTCAAGGGACTTCTCCTCAGTAATCGTGTAAGCCTTGATGTTTTTCGCGGGTCTGGTGCAAACGGAAGGCTTGCAACCGGACAGGTTGAAGACCCGGTCATGATGTGCACAAGCTGTCACCAGAGGAGAACCCTCGTATAGCCGGGCGCATTTGGCAGTTACTGCGAAGCTCGGGCGCTGCAGCGACTCCACCTGAGTGACATAACCTCGGCGCAAGCACACCCTGAAGACTCTGGGCCTTTCTACATCCGGCATCACGGCTAATGCAATGCAATGCAGTGCAATGCAGTGCAACACAGTGCACCGAGGCAAGGACCGACCACATCCAGCGGCTCGAGACATGTTTGCGGGGAGCAACCCGAGAGGACATACTCGCCGAGGTGCTCCGGGCAGGCAGCGGCCGCCGGTGTACCCATGTACTTGTCTGCACATTCCACGGAAACATCCAACGTGGGCATGTCCAATGAAGCCTCCTTAATCACGGAGTAGCCCACCTTGCTCTTCGGTGCAACGCACTTCTTCGGTTCACAGCCGGAGACACTGTAGGAGCCACTCTGCGTGGAGCACGGCGTGGCACCAGGATCTCCCATGTAGCCAGAGGCACACTCGACGTCGACCTCGAAGTCCGGAACCTCCAAGTTCTCGGATGTGATCTTGTAACCCGTCGGCGCAGACGCCATGTGAGATGCACATGTCATTGGCTCGCAGCCAGACAGGACGTACTCCCCATCATCATCATCGCACTCTTCGACCAGTGCTTCGCCAACGTAGTTCTTCGAGCAGCTGGCCTTCACGACAAAACCTGGGATTTCAAGATCGATTTCCTTGATATCGTAGCCAACCTGCTTCTGCGCAGAAGGGCTGATACAGTACTCACGATGTGTACAGCCGTGAAGTTCGTAAGGCTCGTTCATCTTCTTGCAAACATGCGCTGTCGGGTCGCCCTTGAAGGACTCGTGACATTTCACGTTGATCTCGAAGCTGCGCATGCTGGTGGAGACTTCTGTCACGTCATAACCGTGGCCCTTGATTTTCCTCGAGGTGGAGCAGTGCTTCTCAACACATCCAGTCAATCCGTATGGAGTGTTGTGCACCGAACAAGGTGTGACCTTTGGCGTGCCCGCGAAGAAATCGTCACAGGCTGCGGACACATTCCACTGGTAGATTGCTCTGGAAAGCTCAGTTACCTGATATCCGTCCATGCTAATCGGAGTAGAACAAACGATCGGGAAGCAGCCCAGGAGCGTGTACGGAGCACCAGAAATCGAGCAGACTGTGGCCTTCGGCGACCCATAAAAGCCAGGAGCGCAGGCAACCTTGACGCTAAAGGAAGCGGTCTGGTTCAGGGACTCCTCCGTCACATCGTAGCCTTCCAACTTTGGAGTGATGCAGATCTTCTCCGCCACCTGGTCGATGGCCATGTCTGCCATTGCCACAGCCTGATCATCCGACATGCCATGGGCTTTCGCCACCTTGAGGATCACGTGCCGGACAAGCGCCAGGGCTTTGGGCTCGTTCAGACCCTTCTCCTTCCCCAGCTCCACGGTGTGTCGCGCTGCCCAGAGGACCTGAAGCTTTCAGGGGCTGAGTTGACAGCACCGCCTGCGTCTGCTTTACGACTTCGCGAAACCCTTTGTGACGCTGGGGCTTCCTTCGACATGGTGCAACATAAGAAACATGCACAGCGGTCCTTGATCTTTGAGGTGTTATCTGATATCTGCTCGTGATGATCTGGCTCGATGCTTCATTGCACTTCCCGCGCTGTTGCAAGACTGATGGCCGTCAACATGTGCTCCATGCTAGTTTTTGGTGTACTGTACGGCGTATAGTCAGGAAGAAAAGTCTTTGCTGTGCTGTCTCAGTGGTTGCGACACCCGAAGTAACCAAACAGCATCGGTAGATCGAGCTGCAGCATCATGGGCTCCGAAGTGTCTGTCAACACACAAAAACTCCCCCATCTTGTTTCTCATCCGGCCAACTGCAGACCAAGAACTGTCGCACCCCCCCTCTGCATGGGCTACAAATGCTTGAGGCTTGAATTGAGCCGGTAAAGATCTAGACCCAAAAGCCTTCGACGCCAACGGCCTCTGCATTCTGGACATATGAACGAGATACCATCTAAGAGGAGCCATCAAGATCAGGCGGCACAACGGATTAAACACTAAAGGATGTCGTCGACGATCAACCAAAAAACGTAAGAAGGCCATGAAGGCCCTCTGCACGGATCGTTGGCTCGGGCATAACATGACTTAGAGAACGTCTGCAGAATGTCTCCACATGTTCTGGAAAACAAAATTGTCTGCGTTCTTCTTCCTGCCCCGGGCATGGAGATGGTGAGAAATTGTCGAGCATCTTTGTTGCTGGGGTGCCCCCCCTCCCCGTACCGCCCGGAGATGGCGACAAATGGAGACGCTGTGATGCTGATGATGTCGGGCTGTTGTTGGGTTAGCATCATGAGCATCGTTGCGCACCACCCATCACAGACCGTTCTGGCAAGAGGCGGCCAGAGTATCCAGCTTCCAATTGCAAAAAGTTGTAAGCGACGACGCTGGGTCGGTCGACTCCCGGACAATTCCAACGTCCCAATCACAATGCTCCAACCTAAATGAGCCTAAATGCAGCTACTCCCGCAACTGCTAGAAGTTGTACTATCCGAAAAACATGCTTGGATAAGAGAATAACTTGTAGGTTGCAGACCTCGTCTCGGACTGGCTGGCCGGCCGCACGAGAGGCATCGGAGGCTGCCAGGCCCGCCGATACCGCCTGCTCCTCCACGCTGCCCTCGGTGCTCTTTGTGGCCTTCACTGCTGCCTCCACGGCGACTTGGACTTGCACCTTCACTGGCTTCTTTTGTGCTCTTGCAACTGCTGCTGCCTTCGAGGCTGCGTAGTTTCCGGCATCCTGGGTAACCGCCTCAGCCGACGCGGCCTCGGCTTCCGTCTTGCTCATGCCGGCGGCCAGGGCTGACTTCACGGCAGCCGTCAACGCGGCTTCCTCGGCCATCTTGGCCGTTGCTTTGCTGTGACCGCTGCTTTCGGCATCGGCCGTAGGGCCAAAGAAGCTGCTGGCCGCCTCCTCCACGGCCGCATAAGCTGCGTTGGCAGCAGCTTCCATCTGCTGTTGCGGAGTCTGCGCTGCCTTGACAGCCACAAGGGCAGCTTCGGCAGCAGCCATAGCCGCTTGCTCCTCCACCTTCAGACCCAGCGACCGCGCCATGAGTGCGGCGGCCCTTCCGGCGGCGGCTGCCTGGTCTCGGACGATCTCACCACGTTGTTTGGCCATCAAGGCAGCCTCAATGGCCGCCACACGAACCTGTGCCAAGGCTACTGGATGCTACCAGTATTGGACTTCGCAAGCTTCTTGCGCCTGCATGGTGACATTTGTAGCATCGGCTTCGCTGGCGTCCTGCAAAGCCATGGCAAGTCCAAGGACATCCAAGGAGTCGAACCAAGCCCTAGGCGATCGAACTGAAAAAGCTAAAGGCTCTGAGTTTCACAGCCACAGTCCTGGCGCTCGTCCTGGCATGGTACACACAGAAAGGACCCACATATCATCTTCAGCTCCCTCCCCCCACCCCCGCCTTGCATGTAACGGCTGCGTACGGGTTCTTCTTCTTGCATTGTCCACCGTCCACTTGCGTTGAACAGCAGCCCTGCGAAGCAGTCAGGACTCAATCGCGCTCCCACTGTGTCCATCGGATCAAGAATGCAAGTCGATGCCTCCGAATCGCAATACTTGCAGGGCAAGCCACCGCAGAATCCGCAGTCCTCGGAGCCAACTCAGAGTAAACGGCGTGTGCCAAGCGTGCATAGACTGAGAGCCAGAATTTGCAGTGATGAGCCCAATGCTTGAGGGCGCTTGTCCAAACCACGAGCGTTGTCGGTAGCTGCCTGCATAGAGAAAGCATCAGAAACAGAGTGTCCCAGAATGTCCGAAGTCTTCTTGGCTGAGGGTCAAGCAGGTGGCTTCGTGCAGCATGTTGCCACACAGGCCTTCGGCGAGTCGCAGAAGGGCAGCAAGCAAAAGCGTTGACCCTACGGCTTAGGGCCCACGACGTGCCTTCACGTCTACGGGTGGAGCATGGTTGGAGTCCTCATACTCGCTCACGGCCGGAAGGGGATAACCAGTCGGGCTCGACTCAGGGCCGGTGTAGTACTTCTCCACCTGAATGCAAAGACACACGATCGAAGGGGATGGTCGGAGCATGCAAGCAGAGTCTGTGCTGTACTCGGATCCGTGCATATGGTTTTGTGCCCGGCATGTCGGCATCGTCGCCCGGCTTCAGATGGTTGCCGCAATTTTGGATGTCGTTCTTGGACGGCACCACCTGGTCACTACCACAGGTAGAACAAGATATAGCCGGTATAGCATGCCGTCAGAGGCCCCTCCTCGGAACACTGCGGGAATAGCAGCGTGTGGCTCCCTGGGTCCGCTAGGTGTCTAACGCATCCGAGCGGAGCAACAGTGACGCATCCAAGGCTGCGCACGCTTTGGAGGATTGTTGAGACACCTCAGGCAATGGCGCACTTGTACATGCCTTCAGCTCAGGTCGCAAGTACGGGCTCCGTGCTTTGCCACCTGCGTGGTACTGTTGGGCTTTGTGACAGCATCCAGGATGCATTCGATCCTCGGCTAACATTCTTGGCCAAGAGGCACTAGCAGGACATGACAGGGCTCTATGCAAACGAAAGCAATGCCGACAGGTCCAGGCCCTGGACTGCTCGATCATGACCAGCTCCTCTTGGAGGACCTATAAGCATCTCAACTCATCGATTCACTTGCGAAGCTTGCAGCGCACGGGAGCACGGCCCCTTCTTTACCAGAGGCACCACACATGGTCTGCTTGATCGTCTTCCTGAATGCAGCCGACTATCACACAAATGCAAACGTGCTTCGAACTACTTGTAGTTCACAAAAAAGCAGTCCAGGACGACTCCGCAGTGGTAAAGCACCTGACAACTACAGAATCGCTACCGAGCTGGTTACAATCCACAGCACAAAACTGCCGGAGGCACGTGTCATAGTCAGAGCACTTGGTATGCCTAGCCAAGGCCTGCTGACCTCGCAAGTGCAGAAGTCAATGCTGACAGCTTTCTCGACCGAAGAAGCATGCATACACATGTGTAGGATGCAGGCAGGCCATACCATCCAAGCTGTCCTCGCAAGAGTGATTGTGCACACAGTGTCTTCAGATTCAAGTCGCACCATGTGCCGCCGCCACAAGTGCAACTAATGTGGCCTGTAGTGTGTCACACTGCTTGGAGATGTTGAAGAAGTCCTCTCACGTGCCCAAGCAGACCCAGTATGACCCAGTAACTTACCGCGCTGCAGGCAAGCGTGCCCAGCCGCACAGCTGCCCAGCCTCGAGCTTCGAGCTGCAGTCGGCTTTCTCAGCCTCGCAGGCAAAACCAAAACCACTCGGCCTTCGCAGAACCCCGAAGCCAAATCTTGGCGACCTCTGCTGTAGCCGTGGCTTTCTTGCAAAGGGCCTGGGGGGTTCACTGCTTGGACGTCGCGGAAGAAGCCTGCTTTTGTCTGCGGGCCTCGGCAGTGAGATACGCCTCGAGTTTCTTGTCCCAGAAGTTGAACTGAGCCTCGGCGGATCTCTCACACGCGCTCATGCAAGCAGAAGTGCGGTGTTGTTGACTCAGGCCGAGGCCAGCAGGTAGCCTTCAGTGTCCTAAGGGCTCCAGGCATCACGCCACGTCCCCTCCAATCAGCAGCCACGCAGAGCCCGCTGCCACATCACCAAGGTCCACCAAGCCGGAGGGATCCGCATCCGGGGCCTGCCACCCGACAACTCCCGAGTATGCTCAGCTACTTTGTCGCTCTTGGCTCTTAGGCGTCAGCTGTGTTGGAGAAGATCTCGAGCTGAGAATCACACTGCTTCTGCCTCAAGGAATAATGCTGCATGCATCCAAAACAGACCGCACCCCAGACCATGAGCTGTAGGAGCCATGCCACGCACCAGTTGACTTTGCAGACCTCGGCTGCAAGAGAACTTCGCCCCATGCTTGGGGCTAGTCGCCGGCTCGGCTTCTTGCACAGTGCTGTAAAACTTTGTGAAGTTGTCGTCGCAGGCGGCCTTCACAGCTTCCCACCTGGCAAACGCACGCACGACAGAGTTGAACAAGAGCAAACGGGTACAATTGACGTCAGATCTGATCTACATCAGTCATGGACTGCGCCTCATCCTCTCATCATCGACACACGTGTCGTACAGCAACTTTTTGTCGTTCTGAGCACAGGGCAAGGCCGATTCAGGTTTCAACTCCTCTGGGGGATGGGCAAGGACATGTCCCACGAGCCGAAAGAGCAAACAAACGCACTTTTCGCATGAAGAGAAGCGAGGCGTGATGCCTGCGTCTGCCGGCAGTCATTGTGGGCTTTCTTGTCAATATCAAGACCACCTGAATCATTCAATGCAGGAGCGAAATTCGTTCAGCATCGGCGTGTTTATTCCGTGAACACTCCAGCAAGGTCACTGTACGCTTGCCCAGCGTAGCTGCCGCCAACCAGTATCTAGGTAACAAGCAGAAGCACCCTTTGCACGAAAGGCTGCAGCAATTTCTGGGTGCCAAACCGCATTCGACCAGGCGAGGCCTCCCAGCACTAAGCACTGAGGCGTGCGAGGGGCTAACCTAGAAAGCGAGCCTGATGACAAGGTCGACAAGCAAGAATCGAACTGCTTGAAGTGGAGTCCCATGACGGACTGGCAACCAAGGGTTCAAGCAATTCACGGCCCTGTCCGCATCATGTTGGCGACGGCCTTGTCAGCGTCATGCTGTTCGGCGAGAGAAGATCTCATGGTAGTGTTGATCATCTCAATAACCTGATCGGCGGCACGCAAGAGCTGTGCTCCAACTATCATTTGCGGCAAGCGGCATCCACCGCAATGCCAGCACCGGCTGTAAAGCAGCGGAATGCTCACACGATTGAAACAAGCAGCTGTAGACATGTAGAAACTCATGCTCTTTCCCGCCGGGACTGCTCTGTCGGTGCCCTCTTCGTGGGCCATCTCTATGAGAGCCTCGGTATCAGAACAGCAGGTAAGTAGGTGGCCCCAACAACTGGAAAGCGCTGAGAAATAAGGCCACTAGGCTCATGACATGCTTCACTTTTTGCAGCTCTCTCATCCGATCTTCGTGAAATTGGCCACCAATCTCCCGGGGCAAGACATTCTGCAAGAGCAAGATGAGCAAGAGAGCCCAGGAGCAGGCAGGGCGGGCCTTATGGCGCCCTTTGGCACCATCACTGAGAGTGACCTGGTCTGACCTTTCGGATTGCTCGGATTGCGGCTGCAGGGCTGCGTCTACGGGGCAACTGAGCGGAAAGCGACAACTGCAAGAAGGTTTCAGAACTTCTTGCTACTGGTAGCTCCTGAGTTTCGGCTCACCAAAGTAGAAGAGCAAATGCCAAACCTGACAAAGTCGGCTCTGCGTCTCCGGCCATCGACGCTTCTCCTGCATGGCGCCGACTGCCTGGCACCACAGAGTTGCTTGCATATAGGCATGTCGATTTGCGCGGATTGGTTGTGGCAATCAGGGTTATTTGGATTGGAATGGGGATTGGCTTGCAAAGTCTGAAGTCTGAAGCATGCCCTACAAACAGACTGGTTTCCAAATTACAAGCAGGGCCTTTGAACGCCAGCGCTGGCGCCAGGAAGAGAACAAAGGAGACCACAAGCTTCCTGGCAATAAGAAGTGTGTGGATTGAATGGGCCCCAGCTGAAATAGTAACCTGGCTGGCGCACATTATGTCCACGCTTTAAACGTGGGAAAAAAGGTTGCCAACACACGGATCTCAAGCAAATGGCCGGTGTGGTAACCTTGGAAATTCTTCAAGAGCTCAGGCCAAGATGTACGGTCCGCACCGCAAACCGATACGACTATAGACTGTGGCACTGCGGGCTAAGCTCGGGACCCAAGCAAGACTATCTGGAAAGAGGGGTGTGGATCAGCGCACATGACGCTGTCCCCCTCACTTGGAAGCCAAAGCAGCAGCACAGCGACAAGCCAGCGTTCAAAACTGTGAAACTCTATCCGGATGTCGAACAAACCCTCATGAGACCCAGATTCCCAGATCTTCAACTGGCGAGGCTTCGGGAGAGGTCGGATCCACAGGGTACGGGGAATAAGAAAAAACAGGCGCGGCTCCCGAACACAGAGAAAGGACCTTTTCGAGCACGTGTGGCCCATGACGTACCAGCGTACCAGGGACGTTCGGTCCCTTTGAGCATTGAGCGCCTTCAACAGAAGACTTCGAGCGCCTTCAGCAGGTGCCCAAAATTTTGCATGACTGAACGAGGCTCGCACCTGCAGCTGTGACAGCGTGCACGGCCTCCGCGCCCGTTTTCTCTGTCACAGGCTTTGTCGCATCAATGATCACAGAAGTCTCAAAATCACGACGCAAGGCCTGCAAGGTAGTGTATTTCACGCAGTAGTCCAAAGCGAGGCCGGCCACATAAACATGCTGAATGCCCAGCTTTTTGAGGGTGCTTCTCAATGAGTTTTCCTCGATTCGTTTCATGATCGACGGCTTCTGGCTGGACAAGTACATGCCATAGTTATTCGTGAAGGCACCGTAGCTGTCGACGACGGTCGTGAGCCCTTTACGAATGATGAAGGCGCTATTTGGCACGATGACATCATCATGGATGTGTTGTCCCCAAGTACCTTGAATGCAATGGTCTGGCCATAGCTCCTGCGAAAACTGGACATGCACATCATTGGCGGAGCAATTGCCGGCTGCAGATTCCTTATAGATGGACCTGTACTCCTCACCGCAAACCTCCTCGAAATTGGTGTAGGCCATGTCGATGGACTCGAAAGGAGACAGATTGAAAGGACTGTTAGAAGCGAACGAGATATGGTTGGCCGGATGGTAATCTGTTGTGAAGCCCAAATAATCCCACTCTTTCAAACCACTCAGCTTGTTGATGGTCGGGATGATGGACTCGCCACCGGCTACAGGCAGTGTTCCGTTAATGAAATCATTCTGCATGTCAATAACAAGCAGCGCCGATTTCGGCGGTACCGTCATGTCCTTCTCACTTCCCACGGAATGGCGCTGTATCAGGGCGGCTTCTTCGCTCCCGGCGGTGCATGCAATTCCTTTGATGCAACAGGTGTAGAAAACAGCGTCGAGCCACGGTTTCAATGACTAGCTAACTCACTAATCAATGCTCTTTTGCCTTCAAATGAAAACGAAACCTGACTCGCAGGCTGGATGCCTTCCTCGCAACCAGCATAGCTCCCTTGGACCGAAGCAGCCGTCACGAGAGCGAAGCCAAGCGAAAAAGCTGGGAAACCCCGCCGCATCATGGCGCGTGCGCGAGCTAAGGACTAACGGCCCTTTCTTGCACGAGTACTTGTGACCGGCCAGCTGGGCGCTGGGTGCTCGGCTCGCAAAAGCTGCGCCAACATGGATGCGCTATGCAAGGCAGAGCTTCGCTCAGAAATGGCCTTTTTCTCCTCCGCACTGCTTTTTTTGGGAACTGGTTTAAAGGATCTTAAAGGGACATAGGAAGCCACACGGTTGGCTCTAAACTCCCCTCAGCCAGCTCCAGTCGGAATTGCTCCAGGCGCCCCAGCAAGCGAGGTCTCTCCATTCAAAGGACCCAAACTGATTAATGCTACACCGGGCAGAAAAACGGTACATGATTCATGTTCAAACCATAAGACAGCATGTTCTGCGTCCTTCCCGCGCTCCTCCTGATCTTCCGTCGAGCCCCATAGGACCAGGGAAACCTTGACAAGGAGCCAACCTTCCCTCCTTGGCCTCAGTGCAATACCTTCCTCTTATGACTCCTGTGCTCAATCCACAAGCTCCACGCGTTTGATGTGGTCAAGGCGCATCCGCACGAGGCAGGAAACTTACCCGTTGGGCGTGGCCCCGATCGACTCGCGCAGGGAATTTCTCAAGCAGTGCTCTGCTAAGACGCCCGGTGGCCGACTGAAGATCCTGAGATGTGCTCGGAGGCTACACAAGGAGGGATGATTCCTGATCCCTAACCTTTTGAGGTTTGGGGCTTAGGGCATTTAGGGGGGGGGAATATTCCTTCGGTTGTGGTAGGGATCCCCATTAAGGAAGCCTTACTTTAGGATATTGATGTCGGAGCCTGTGGCCGGGTGTCAAGCCTCGAGATCCACACACCTGAAGTCACGGAGCATCCGCACGAGGCGGAACACTTACCCGCAGTTGGGTGTGGAACACACAGAAGTTTTGTGGTCGATCGGAGATCCGTTTAAGTTGTAAACACTTGCGAACATAAAGCTGGCAGTTGCCGGACGCGGCCTGTGTAATATATTCCCATCACATACCCGAATCTCATATGCGTACACCGTAGATTGATTGGCGCTGCACCTCTCTGCGCGACGAGTTGTTTCTGTGGCTGTTAGAAAACGGAGCTTTCCTGGGACTGTGCCTATGGGCTACACTCGGACACTTTTCCTTCCCGTGGCCTTGTAGACGCCGGGTGTTCGAGCCTTAGTGTTGCGGCCCGCGTTCCTGCATCATGACCTGTTGTCACTGCAGGGCTGTACCTGAGTCAGAATGCTTAACACCCCGCCTCAGAAAGCTGTGAAAGAGTTTTCCTGAAACACTGTAGCAGGTTTCTGCACTTCCTGCTGGTTCTAGAGTACACGCTTCCTAGTTGAAGCAAAAACGGCTTGTGTTCCTTCACTACGGGCAGCGTACTGCCGCCACTAAGCTGTCCAACACACGCAAAAGTTCCTGTACACACAAACTCACTTCCTCAGTCCTGGTAGTTCCAGGTGAACGTGCCACGGTGCACGTCAAGGGCGTTCCTGTAGCCGTCGAAGTAGCTGCAAGAACCTTCCCTTTCCATCTTCTCATCTTTCCTGCACGTTTGCTTCCTGTGCAGTTACATCCATGTACGAGTGTGGGTCACCCACACATCGCGCTCTGCCTCGTACCAGAAGAAGATTCCTTCTGGTGACGTGTAGGTATCGTACTCCTGGCCGTCGAAGGTGTGCTTGCCGTAGGTGCCGACGGTCTTTCCTTTCTTTCCTGCTTTTCCTTCCTTTGCTTTTCCTCCTTTCTCCTGGCCTGCCTCTTTTCCTTTTCCTTTGTTCTCTGTGGCTTCCTCCTGCGGTGGCTGCGGTGGCTTTGGAACTTCTTTTCCTTTACCTGCTGCTGCGGCTGCTGCGTCACCCTTTTGGTGCTTGTAAGCCACGTCTGTGCCTTTCCACTCTTTTGTTCCTGTACTCACGTCGTGCTGGTAGATCTCGCCGTTCTCCACATAGTCTTTCACCGGACCACTCGCGAAGGGGTAGGTGAACTGTGCTTCTCTGTTCCTGTTGCGTTCCTCACGTTGGCGTTGTTCCTCCACCTTTTCTGAGTGAAGGCGTCTTCCTTCACTTTGCCTTCTTTCCTTCTCCTCCGCGTAGCGCTCGTCCGTGGTGTGGTCGTCTCCTGCGGTACTTCCTGCTGCGCTTCCTGCCTTCTTCTTGTAGAACTCCTCGAGGTTCTTTTCCTGGGTGTAGTACTGCTCGACGAGGTTCTTCCTTCTTGCCTTTGCTGTAGCCTCCATTTCTGCAAGCTCTCCTTGCAGCGTTTCCATCTTTTCCTTCTGCTTCTCTTCCTTTGACTTCTCCTCTTCTTCGTAGTTGCCGAAGTACTCCTCGAAGCTGTGCCTTAGCTCTGCCTTCTTCTTTTCCTTCTCCTGTTCCAACTCTTCTTCCTTTCTCTTCTCCTCTGCTTTGCTCTCCTCCAGAAGCTTGCTCAAAGCTTCCTGCTCCACTGGGTTTGGCTGCTGGCTGCTTCCGCTTTGTCCTCCTTCTTTTCCTTTTCCTTGGCTTCCTTTCTTCTTGTCTCCTTTCTGTCCTGTGGCTTTTCCTTTGCCTAGCTGGCTCTCCAGAGTCTGAACTCTGGTTTCCAGCTCGTACAGCTTGTAGGCCTGGTTCTCCACGCGGTCCAAGAGGTGGTTCAGCGTCTCCAACATTTCCTGCTGGCTCATCTTTTCCTTTTCTACCTTCTTTTCCTTTCTGTGCTCGGTCACACGGCTGCGGCAAGGGTGTTCCTTTTGTGCTGGCTCACACACTGCACTTCCTACCGCAAGACACTCAACGTTCCTGAAACTGCACTGCTCGCTGACACAAAACTGACTGCACGCGATGCTGGGCAAGACTGTTTCCTGCCACTGCAAAAACTCGTTCCAGGATGCTTCCTGGAGGTGCGGTCCGAAGCTCGCCGTTGGCGGTGCCTGCACGAGGACTGCTTCAGACGGGTCTGCACTCAAAAGTAAAGCTGCTAGCGTAAACTTTCCTACTGCTTTGATTCTGCTGACTGTGCGCTGGAGCTGTGTCTGCTGTCTGTGCTCTTGTAACTCTTGCCTGCCGACTGCTTGTCCTGACGAAAACGACTGAAAACCTAGCCAGCGCAGAAGCAAGTTGACTCTTCCTTGTGAAAGTGGCTTTGTTCCTATGTCTGCTGTGTTGTCCTTTGTGCCAACTTTGGAGATTTCGATCTCCCCTGTCTTGTGTAGCTCTTGGAGAAAGAGTGTTCGTATCTGCAAATGCTTAACACGTCCTTTGCCTTGTCTTGAAATGATTCCTTGTGCTGCTGTGCTGTCCATGTGGAGTGTAAGTGTTGCTTTCCTGCGGGTAAGGAAGGTGATCACTTCCTTAATGTGAATACCTTCTGAAACTGCTGATGCGGCTGCATAGTATTCAGCCTCGGCTGAAGTAAGGCTGATTGTTTTCTGGCAACGGCTCATGCTGAAAATGAGCTGTCCATCGAGAAAGTAAGTGGCTGCTGTGGTGCTCTTCCTTGTTCTGCGATCTCCAGCCCAGTCTGAGTCGGAGTTCCTGCTCTGGTGGGAAGTCGAAACTTCCTTTGCGTACTTGGTCATGTAGGTTGCTGCACCCACGGAAGGTTTTCCTGTAAGCAAGACAGTAGTCTTGTGTGTGCTTGTAGTAAGATGCTGTATGCTTGAGATGCTTTTCCTGCTTCTCAGTGGGGTTGCTCATCCCACTGGCCAACTTCTGAACTGCGAATTGCAGATCTGGCCTGTCCTGTGCAATGTAGAGAAGAATCCCTACACACTTCCTGTACCTCGCTGCGCGGTCTGCGTTCAAAGGCTTGCTTTTTGTCTTCTTCCTGAAATGCTGCGTTGCACGGACTGTTCTTTGGAGCTTTTCCTGAAAGGTGTAGTACCTCTTCCAACTTCTGGCCGTACTTGGGATCTGGCAAGATCTTCAAGAGGTAGTTCTCGTAAACAAACTTCCTTTTCAACAAACGGATGGTACTCGAAGAAGATCCTTGTTCATATTCCTCTTCAGTGAGAAATGGTCCTGTGACTGAAAGAGTGTACTTCTTCTCTAGCTTCTCTATGACTGCTTCGAGCTCTCTTCCTTTCTCGCCTGCCTGGATGTCATCAACATGAACAACAATCATGCTTCCTGCGTCTGTTCTGAACAAAGTGGGAGACGCAATGCATCTCTCCATTCCTTGGTCTTTGAGGTCGTCTGAGAAAAAGTCTGACCAGAGGAGTGCTGCATCACGTTGTCCTGGAAGAACTCTTTCCAGGATCATGGCCTCCTCATCATCTTCACCAGATGGGAAAAGTTCCTGAAACTCAGGAGCCATTCTGCAGGCGCAAGGCACCTTCTGCGGTACCTGTAAAAATGCATCTTTCACGTCGATTGCCCACAATCGCATCTTTTCCTGAACTGCCAAAAGAGGGATGATGCGAATAACGGACGACGAAGTCGCTGGACTAAACACATCAGTCCTGAGAGAGCCAGTTTTGAATTCCCTGGCTACTAAGCGCGCTCTGCGCTTCCAGCTTCCTTCTCTGTACCTCCAGTCGAAAACAAATTTGGTTGTCAACCACTTCATGCTGCTGGAAATTCCTTCTGCATCCATGTCTCGGATCTTTGTCCTTTTGATAGCTTGCATTCCTTCCAAGCGCTCCATCTCAACAAGGAGTGCTTCACGGTCAAGTTCCTGCAGCTCTTCAGGAGGTAGGTCTGGTGGACCTGAGTCTTCGTCACTGTAGACGAATTCCCACTCGTCTTCGTCCTTCCACTGCAGGTCCTCAAAGTCTTCCGCGTCTCCAACGTCGTAGGCTTCCTCGTCGTTGTACTCAAAGACTCTTCCTGCTCGCAAAAACTTCGAAGGTGAACCTGCTTCTTCAAACTCAGGGTTTCCTTCTCTTCTGACGGGGATCCTTAGATCTTCAAGTGGGGTATCATCACCCACAAGAGGAATCTCACCTTCTTCCTGCTCCATGCCTAGAGCGCTGCTGCTGTTCTCATCCATTGCCAGTTCCGATGTGTTCGGATCTGACGCGCAAGGGTTGTCAGTGGAGTGACTTTCCACTTCCTCGTCTTCAGCTTCTTCCTCTTCTTCCTGCTGTGCTAGTGCTTGAGGTTGGTGAGGTTCTTGCTGCACTTCCTGCTGAGGTGGCACAGGTGTAGCTGGCAAAGCTGGTGTTCCTATTCCTCCTGTAATTGCAGGGGTCATGGCATTACCCCCGCCTCCGCGAATAGGCAAAACAGTCGGAGGTGCTCGAGCGTCTGGTTGAGGTAGACTCTTCTTTGGCAAAACTCTTGTTCCTAAGGTCGTGGGCTTGATGTCCCACGGGTTGATGGTCATGCCGGCAATCAGGTCCTTGTCAAAGTGTCCTGCCATTCTTTTCGCGCTGCGACAGGCTCGGATTCCTGACTGCGTGTAGACCAAGAACAGGTTGTTCTCCGTCTTGCCGAGAAAAGTTCCTTTGCACCACTGGGCATCACCTTTCCTGCGGGTATGAATACCTGCAGAGGGCACTACGTGACAAAGTAGTGTCTCGCCAAACTCGACGACTGTGCCTTGGTAGGGCTTGCTGTTGACAAACTCGAAAGGAGTCATTCCTGTAGCTGAGTGTACATGAAAACGGTTCAGGCACCATGCGGCATGGCAAAAGGCCCATGCAAAAATTGGTTCCTGGTGGCTGATTCCTAGACCAGCACGTTCCTGAAGCATCTGAATGTGACACAGTGCCTGACGTCGAAGAGTTTGCACCATTCTTTCTGCAACTCCATTTGTCTGATGTTGACCAGACACGCTATCCTGCAAAGTGGTTCCAGTACCTTGACTGGCTCGCTTCCTGTGTACTGCAGCTTTCAATGCCTGCATTGTTGGTTCGTTGTCACCCTTCAAGTTGATCGAGTCGTACTGGAGCTGGACCGTCATTCCTGTGATCATTTCGGCCATGTAGTCAATCAGGCCTCTTCCTTTCTGCGATGTGGGGATCGCCATGACGTTCCTGCTCCAATCATCGACGACGATGAGAGTGATTGCTGCCGGTTCCTTTGACAACGAAGTTGTAGTGAACGCAAAGTCCATGCAGATAGTTGGTCTGCTGCTTCCTGTATCTTCCTTGTTCTTGTTGCCGAGGAACTTGGACTTGTGAGGACTTTCTCTTCCTTTGCACGATACACAAATCGGGCACCAACTCTTGTAGGGCAAGTGAGTGATGTTGTGCTTGTCGATCTCTTCCTGAGTTGGCTTCTCGTTCTTTGGAAGTAGTTGTGGTTCAACGTGTTCCTTGTAGGCTTTCTCCTGTGAGGCTCTGTTCTTGGCGACGAAGTCGGCGCGAGTAGCTCTGCTCAACCTCAACAAAAGTTCCTTCTTTGTGCCTTTGGAAGAAACACCAAGTTCCCTGCACAAGTCGCGCAAGTCTTTCAAAGTTGTTTCCACGCTGTACTCCCAACCTTCGTGAACAAAGGTCAAGCTTCGTTCAACTTCTCTTCTGTCTTTTGGTGCTGCTGGCTCCTTTTCTTCTTCCTTGTCTGCTTCCTCTGCTTCTTGTGCTTCTTCTCCTGAGGGCTTTGCTTCTTCATCTACCTCCATGCTCTCATGCGCTTCTGTCCTCTGCTTCTTCTTGGGTGCTTGTAGTGGTTCACGTAGACGAAACCTTGTCTCACCAGTCCAAAGAAGACTGGGTCGCATTGGCATCTGATCTTGTAGTGCAGGTTGTTCCTTGAACGAAAGGTTGTTCTCAAAGCTTCTTCCTGTATCTTCGTTGATGCCGTAGGTGACCCTGTTGCCATCGAAGTTGTTGAGGTCTGTAGGACAACCAGGTATTCCTGCAGGATTGAAAAGAAACTTCCTTTGTGTTCTGTGGTGACGAATCACTTCTTCACCTGTCTCTGAAACTTCCCAGCTGTCGTCAGTGAAGACCTCAAACTCAACGTTGTGGTCTGTTCCTTTTGCTTTGCAGTACCTAACTGGACTCTCAGGTTGCGCTGTGAAAATGGTGATGGTCTCTGTGTCACCGTAGGGAAGCTCCATGAAGGGATCTTCCATTTCCTGGTAGGGTCTGTTGATCTCCACCAGGATCCATTGTCCACTATTGTCCTTGTTTTCCTTGGCGAAGGTAGTCCTGTAGAAGAGGCTCTCGTGAAACGACCTGGTCATTGTCGGATCCACAAAGTGAGAGTTGTTCATGCCGTGGTGGATGGTTCCTTCTGCTGGAGTAGACCAACCTGGCCTCTGTTCCTTTTCCAAAAACTGAAGTGCATCACTAAGGATCACTGGAACAAGTTGCCCTTCACGAACGGCGACCACTGCCTGCACAAAAGCGCTGGTTGCAAGAGAGTTGTTCCTGAAGTAGATCGGGATCTCCGTGTGCCTGTCACTGTCAACAAGGGACATGCCAGACTGATCATTGCCATGTGGCATCCATCCTTGTTTCATCATCTTTCCTATGGCCAACAACGGGTTGATCACATTCCCGATCATGAACACTTCTGCAACTTGAACTTTGTTTCCTCTTTTGTCCTTGAACTCAAGGTTGATGAGGCGATGTACCTGCACGGCAATGGCTCTTCCTTGTGCGTCACGCAACTGAACGGACTTTACCTGAACTTTCTTTCCATACTTCCGCATCCAAGTTGGAGCAATGGAAACATCTGCTCCAGAGTCGAGGATCACCTCAATGTTCCTTGGCTTCGTGAGAGGTTCCTGAGTGACTGTCCTCACTGAGAGGACAAGCTCTTCACGGTCACTGTACCATTGGTACAGTGGATCTTCCTTCCATCCTTGACTTTCTTCTCCTTCACTGTCATCACATAGAGAATCTTCTACCTGCACCATCATGATGTTGTTGAAGTACGTTATCTCATAATTTGTTTCCTCTTCACTGTCGATGGGGTAGATCTGCGGTCCATCGTGGGCTTGTTCTGGTTCCTCTCCAATGTGGTAGAGAGTAACTTGGCGTACCTTTGCTTGTGTTTTTGTGGTGCTTGCAGTGCTTGCTGAAGAAGTGGCTGCTGTCCTGGTGCTGGTGGTAGGAGTTGCTGAGACACTCGTTGGTGCTTCACTTTGCTCGTCTTCCTGAACGTTCCTCACTCCTTGGCCCATGCCTCTTTGCTTCTTCCTGCACTGTGCTTCGTAGTGGCCGTACTTCTGGCAGTAGTTGCACACACCTAGTGCTGAGCCTCCTTTGCTGTAGCTGTCTTTTCCTTTGCCTTTTTCTTTGTTGTTGTAGCCTTTTCCGTTGCCTTTGTATCCTCCTTTTCCAAACCTTCCTCCTCTTCCTCTTCCACCTTTCCAGTTTCCTTTCCTTCCGCCTTTGGACCAGCCTCCTTTGTCTCCTTTGCCTTTGCCTTTTCCTTTCCACTGGTCTTTGCCTTTGCCTTTTCCTTTTCCTTTCCAGTTGCCTTTGACTTGAGAAACGTCCATGGCTGCTTGTCCGCCATGGTCCTTGCCACTGTTGATCAAGTCAGTGGTGGTCGGCTGTGTCCATCTCTTTGCGTTCTCGTAGGTGGTGAGGAAGCTGCGGAGGTCGTTGTAAGTAGTGTCTTCCTTGATGTTAAGGAGAATGTGCTGTCGCACCTGTGCTGGAACACTGTCAAAGACAGTGCCCATCTTGAACGAATCTGAGGTTTTCTCGCTGCTTGCTTTCTCGTAGTCATCGATCAGTTCCTCAAACTTCAAAAAGTTCTCGTTGTAGGTTTTGTCCTTGTCGAAGCGAAAACTCATGACTTCTCGATGTAGCTGTAGAGACCGTGCCTTCGTGTTGGGCTGGTTGAAGTTAACAAGCTGACGATATGCTTCGATGCCGTTCTCTTCCTTGACTGCTGTAACAACACGCTGTGGACGGTTCCTGGTGTAGCTCGAGAGAATGCTGTAGAGCTTCTTGCTTTGTGTCTTTTCCTTTACGCTGAGCTTGTCAAACTCGAGCTCCTTGGCTGGTTCCTTTTCTGCTTTGTTCATCAAGGTCAGGATCTCATCATCGATTGCTCCCAACCATGTCCTTAAGCGGTGTTTGCACTCAGCAAAACTGCTGCGTTCTTCCTGCCACGTACTCGGCGAAAAAGCTTCTGGTGCCTTCACCAGCTTATGAAGCTGGATCTCTCCTTTCTCGCGACTCTCAACCAACACTTCCTTTATTCTTGAACTCAGCGCTTCCTGAGAAAGTGCCATGTCCGATCTGGACTGCTGGAGCACGTTTTGCAATGCTCCGACTAGGTTCTGTTCTCTCTGTTCTCCCGCTGCAGCCAAGTGTTCGAACAGATTCGCCATTCCTTGTGTTCGGTCTGTACTGCTGGCTGCTGACTGTCTGATTGCTTCAGTCATCTGCTGAATTTGCTGTGCTGACGCTGTTGCCTGCGTTGCTAGTGCATGTATAGCTTGCTCCATTCCTGTCGCTATCTCTAGGTTACTGTAAAGCAGAATGCACATGAACGCGGCCTTGTGCATCTTCCTCTTCTCGCACAGCGAAGGGCGGTTCCTTCGCTTAGCTGCTCGGCTTCCTGTGAGGCGAAGGTGCTTCACTTGACACAACAACGACAACGCGACCAAAAGTATCATTCCTGGAGCTGTTGTTGCAAAAACCAACAGCTTCATGCTCTGACTCCAAATTCTTCCTTCAAACACGTACATGATAAAGCGCGCAAAATAGTGAAACTTGACTGTGATCACAGGGGCGTAGCTCGACTCAAGGCCCCTGCTGAAAAACATGTACTTCAGGGACTCAAACTCTTCCTTGGCAATCTCCACGGAGTTCACTAAGTACTGCAACTTCTCTCCTAGGTTCTCCATGATCGTGTAGTACTTCTTGTTCTGCGGTTCCTTGGGTTCCGGGTTGTAGTGCGTATTGGGCTCTTCCTGGTAGGAGGCGACAACGCGGCTAGGGACACCATGTGGTTGTTTTCCTGGGACATCAAGCTGGGGTTTGTTGTTGTACTTGTACATCTCAAGGGCATAGGCTTGTTCTTCCTTGAGGGTTACTTGCTTTCCTGCGTAGACACCGAACTCAAAGACCATGACAACCAAAACCATCACCAGACAGAAAGTCCAGCGGCATACTCTCATGTCGCTCCGCACATCCGGGAGTTCCCGGGACGACATGTAACTTCCTGCGTGGCAATCCTTGCATGGCGCAAAGGACACCACTTCTCTCGGTTCACCTCCACGCAGGAGATGCTCACACTTCTTCCTGTGGTATTTCTTCCCAGCTTTGGAAGTGACGAAGTGTTAAAGAACGGGCTTCACTAAGGGTTCCTACCCACAAAGACTGTCGGACACTTTTGTTCCTGGGCACGGTGTGTCCTGGGGTCTCGAGCCTGCACGTCGCGTGTGCGTGACGGCTGTTCCTGTACATTAACTGTACTGCACTAGCTGTGTTACTGTTCCTGGCAGAATGTTTAACACCCCGCCTTCGGAGTTAGCGAAAGTTCCTCGACTGAGGTGACTCCGACTTTTCCTTGACAAACAGTAAACACGCTGCAGTTCCTTTTCACTTGCAAAACAAACACTGTTCCTCATCGCAAACGTATGCGCACGTTCACTCGCAATCCTCTCCAAGGTTGCTCGACTGTACAAAAGACGTTCCTGCACTTTACCTAGATCACCACAGAAACAAAAAGGGCTGTGCCACGGTTCCTGTGTCCTGCTGCTTCTTTCCTCGGCTCTCTGGCCTCAGTACTGCTCGCGGTTCCTTTGCTTCACTGGAAGTTCACTTTGCCTTCCTCTTCGCTGTCTTTAGCTTCCTCTTGGTCGTGAAGCTGTTCCTTTAGCCACTCTTCTTTCATCTTTGCTTGCGCTTTGCACTTTTCCTTTCCTTGCTTGTCCTTTGACGCTGCTTTCCAACCTGTTTCCTTTGATCCTGAATACCAGTACCACTGTGTCTTGGCTTCGTTCCACTTCCACTGGTATTTCCTGTTCTGGAAACTGTAGACTGCAAACCAGTTTCCTTCAAACTCTCCTTTTCCTTTTCCTTTCATGAACGATGCTTCGTTCACTGGTCCTTTGGCGGACAGTTCTGGGTCGTCCTTGTCTTCTTCCTTCTGCTTGTGCTGTGTGACGTTCGGTGGCTCCTTTCCTGTTGCTTTTCCTGTTCCTTTTGCTTCTGGCTTCTCCTCTTCCTTTGCTGGTGTTGTGTCTGGTTCTGTGGGTGCCTGCGACCCGGCTGCTGATCCTCTGCTCTCAAGCTCCTGTGTAAGGCTTGCAATCCTTTCTTTATCCTCTTTGCGTTCCTTCATCATCTCCTTCATCATTTCTTCAAGCTTCTGGATCCTGTCTGCTTCACCTGATCCTGTTGCTGTTGTTGCTGCTGCCTTCTTTTCTGCTTCCTTCTTGGCAATGTACGCTGACGCTGCCTTTTGATCTTCCTCTCTTTTCTTCCTGGCTTCCTTCTCCTTTCTTTTCTTCTCCTGCTCCTTTCTTTCCTTTTCCTCTTTGGCTGCTGCGGCTGCTGCTTTCTCCTCTGCCTCCTTTGCTGCTGCCGCTTCGGTCTCCTCCTTTTCCTTTGCTTCTCTCTCTGCTTTGGCTTTGGCTGCTGCTTCTACCTCTCGCCTTCTCTCGGCGGCTGCGGCTGCTTCCTGCCTTGCTGCTTCCTTGTCTCTCTTCTCCTGTTCTTCTGCTGCCGCTTCCAGAATCAACCTTGCTTTGGCAATTTGCTCCTCTTTTGCCTTCTTCTCCTCTTCTGCTTTTGCTTTTGCTTCTCTTTGTTCCTTTGAGATCCTGTCCTGTTCTTCCCAGTACTTGCGATCATCTTCATCTCGAGGTCGAAATCCTGTGCTTTCTGCTCTTGCCTTTGGCTTTCCTTTTCCTTTTCTTTCCTTCTTTCCTTTTGTTCCCTTCTCGTGCTTGTACGTGTAGTCCTTGTCGACCCACTGCTTTTCTCCTGTAACTCTGTGTTGCCTGTAGATCTCGCCGTTCTCGGAGTATTCCTTCCATTCGCTGGCGTAGTCGTAGGGGTACGGAAAAAGCTTCTTCTCCTCTTCCTTTTCCTTGAGCTTTGCTTGCTTTTGGCGTTGATCTCCGCGATCTTCTTCTTTCTTCTCTCTTCCTTTGCTTCCTCACTTTCTTCTTCCTCTGCTGCTGCTGTTCCTTCATCGGGGTACTCCCCGGGATCTTCTCCTCCAACGTAGCTGTTGACGTAGGCCTCGTTCTCGTTGCCGGCTTCCTGCTCTCGTTCCTGGATGCCCTCGAAGTAGCCTCGGTCCGAATATTCCTTCCTTTCCTGGGACGTAGGTGACGTAGCTCTCGACGGTGCTGTTCCTTGTCCGTGTCCTTCACGACGTAGTTCACCTTCTAGCTCTCGGTCCTTGGCTTCTCTTTTCCTTTGTTCTTCTTCGTCTTCTTCCTCTTCTTCTTGTTCCTCTTGCTGCTGCTCGTAGAAGTCCTGCATCATCTGGTTCAGCTGTTCCTTTACGGCGTCACATGTACCTAGGACGAAGGCCATGTGTTCCTTGACTTGTTGCCGGTCTCTGTCGTTCTGTTCGGCCATTTCCTGAACCTGGTGCTTGACGTCGTAGATTTGTCCTGTCAAGGACTCCACACAACCAGCCACGTGTTCCTGGCTTTTGCGCAAACGCGCAGCTTCCTCTGTGTTCTTCCTGATCGACTCCGCGATCAAGTTCCTTTCATCAGAAGCGTTCCTTAAGGCTGTCGCCGCTTCCTTCAAAATTTCCAGTTCCTTGAAAACTTCCGCTGTGTTCTTGCTCGAACTCGCGCTTGCTTCCATGGCTGCTAAGGTTCCTTGGCTCTGTCGTTCTAAGGTTCCTTGACCTTCTGCTACCGGGCGAACTAGTTCCTGGATACCTGAGCGTTCCGCGAGTGTTCCGCAGAGTTCCTTGAGCTGCGAAAGCATCTCACAACATGTTGTTCCATGCGCTGTTCCTGCAGACGTTCCTAGCTCACATGCACTCGTGTCACTGCACATGCCGTCCTGCTCACATGCACTTGCACAACAGAAAACATGTTCCTGAAAGTCTGGCTGAAACTCTTCTTCCTGAACACAACTCTCAAAACAATGTTCCTTGAAACTCTGAATCTGAAGACTGTCTGAAATACCTGAAATTCCCGCAAACAACAAAGCTGCAAAAGACAAAGTTCCTGGGCTCTTGATCATTCTTACAACTGCTTTAGCTTGTGTTTGGGCCTTGTGTTCCTTGAGCTCTTCTCTGCCTACTGGTTCGTTCTCGCTGGTTTGAAAACCTAGCCAGTGCAACAACAGTCTGATACGTTTCGCTGAAAGGGGCTTGGTACCTATGTCGGCTGTGTTCTCCTTGGTTCCTACTGGGTGAACACTAATTGTTCCTTCTTTGTGGAGGTCTTGAAGAAAAAGGGTCCTGATCTGCAAATGCTTGACTCTTCCTACACCTTGCCTTGTAATAATTCCTCTAGCTGCAGAAGAATCCATGTACAAGTGTACCTTGCATTGTTTCCTGGTCAAGAATTCTACTGCTTCCTTCAACAATATAGAATCTGACGCTGCTGACGCTCCTGCGTAGTACTCTGCTTCACCACTGCTCAAGCTAACCGACTTCTGGTTCCTAGAAAAGGAGTAAATGCACTGACCGTCTAGGCAAACAATTCCTGAAGATGTTGAGCGCCTTGTGTCCTTCTTTCCTGCCCAATCTGAATCGCTGAAAACTTCCAAAAGGTGGTGTTCCTTGGGCCTTATTCCTGTAAAGTCGTAGTTACCATTCCTGATGGATTCATGGAGATTACTGAGTCCTCTAGGCGTTTTCCTGTACACTAAATGGTATCCTTCAGTTCTCGACATGTACTGCACTAGGTGGACTAAGTGTTTCCAAGAACCATGTGTTGGTTCCGACATCTTGGAGGCCAAACCTCTCACGGCAAACTGCACGTCAGGGCGGTCCTGACTGACATACAAGAGTATGCCAACGCTTTTCCTGAACGATGCTGCTTGTTCCTGGTTCAAGGTCTGAGTGTTGTCCTGTTCCTGCGACTCTTGGGTGCACGGAGTTGGCTTCGAGGCTTTGCTGGTAAGCTTCAGTTCTTCCTTAAGCTTCACAAGATACTTCGGGTCACTCGTGATGTGGAGCTCGTGATTGTGGTAGCTGAATTTCCTTTTAAGGAATCGGATTGTCTGGTGTGACTCTCCTACCTCAAGTTCCTGCTCTGTCAAGAAGGGGCCTTCAACCTTTAGCTCGTAGGTTTCTCCTAGCTTTCCTAGCTTGGGCTCTAGGTGCCTTGTTTTCCCTGCTGCCTGAATGTCATCTACATGCACAACAAGTATGCTGTTCCTGTCGTCACGAAACAAAGTAGGGCAAGCTTTGCTCCTATCAAAGTTCTGCTCTTTGAGGGTTCCTGCAAAATGATCACTCCATAGTAGTGCTGCATCTCGCTGTCCTGGAAGTACTCTAAGCAGTAACAAACCTTCGTTCCTACAACTGGGGTCCTGGTCGCCAAACAGATCCACATATTCCTTCGGGAATTGACATGCACATCGAGTCCTTTGTGGGACCTGCAAGAATGCGTCCTTGACATCAATGGAGTACAGGGAATGTTCCTGTTGTAATCCCAAGATCGGGATAAGTCTCACCAACGATGCGCTCGTAGCTGGGCTAAACGTGTCGTTCCTTACTTCTGCTCCTTTGAACTCTCTCGCTACTAACCTAGCTCTCCGCATCCATCGGCCGTTCCTGAATCGCCAATCGAAGACGAATTTCGTCGTCAACCACTTTGTTCCTTGGTTGCTCTCTTCTTCTTCTGTCTCTCTCTCCTCTTCTCTCTCGAGTTCTTGCAAGGGTTTCCTTGCCAGTGCCTTCATCTCGGTGAGTCTGTTGATCTCTGTGAGCATTGCCTCACGATCCAGTTCCTGCAACTGGGCTTCTGCAACTTCTGGAGGTCCAGAATCTTCGCTCTTGAAGATGTCTTGTTCCTCATCGGAATCGCCAATGTCCGAATATGAATCTTCCCAGAAAATGTCCTCTGTACCTGGTTCTGCTTCAGGTAGTTCTTCATCATTGTGCTCAAATACTCTTCCTACGTTGAACGGAGGGTACTTCTTCTTCGGAGAATCA